AATCAAAATCGGATCAAAGACTTTACCGAGAAAGTGGACACACCCCTGTAGATGTTTGCCGACACTTGCCAATAGTTGAACAGATCTCATGTCAGCCCTGTAAACTCTCAAAATATCATGTATACGCCCATGTTCCATGTTCGCCCGGTGGATCCTTGTTGAAATTCCTCCAACCCTCATGTGAATCATAGCTTCCTTTCGCCAAATCCTATACACCCCACATGGGCTTGCAATGCTCTTCTTGTTGTCCTTAATAAAACCCTTTTGAAAGGCTCATGACACATAAGTGTCCTTTTAGTGCTTTTTTGTTCTCCGGGAAATATAGTTGGAGCTAACTGTCTTTCTGGCGTACGCCCCATCATTCGTTGCAACACTCTCGGCTGTCCAGGAAGAATAGGGTTCAACCGAAAATAACAATTAGCCTCTACCAAATCTTAAGCTTCTGTTTGCCAGGGTTGCTATGCGACACTTCTTCACTTTAATTTCTGAGGGGGTGCTCAAAGCCTCAAGCTTGTTTTTTGCAAGAAGTCCCCTGCGCGGTGTATATGCAGGACACATCCGCCTTGGAACTGGGTAAGTGGGGATAGTGACTATTTTCTATACTGGGTGGTCATCCAAGCAGACCTTGGTCCGACTCAAGAAAGAGACTGAAGATCGGAATTTGCTCAGTGAACGTGAGAATGAAGGGAGCTTAGTTTAGAGAGAAACAAAAGGTTGAGCACCACCTTCCAAAGATTTGGGGGTATCTAATTTGACACCCACGAGTGCTTCAAAATCGTGATCTTGTTTTGTTTTGGTTGTTAAGGGGTTCCCCTATTTTGACGAGCCATACCCTTGTTGCTAATAGGATATGTTTCAAAGAAGGCGTCCCACAGACAAGTTCCGGGCGAACCCTGTTGGTTTCTCTTTAAACCCGCGCCCAAATTGGGTACCGAGCCACAAAAAGACGAGCCACTTGGATACAGATTAACAGCTGTCCAAAGCAAATCGACCTGAAATGCCCAAAATGGTTTAAAATAACATCATTTTTCCAAAAATGAAGTCAAATGTTATATAGAATGTCAGTATAGTTTATATATAAAAACTCTAGCAAATGAAATAGAGTGTTTTCTATTTGTTTCTAGATTTTCATCAAATATACCTCTAAATCCTGAAATGCCCGAAATGGTTTTCCAATTTTGGTCCCTTTGTCACCCCAAAAGGTGATCACCGGAAGCCTTGTCCGGGTCCCCCAATTCGGCCACGGAGAGATTTTTGTACGTTTTGTAGGCTCTCTTCTCCGTGGCCCTGGTTGCAAACCTCCGAGCCGCCGGGGGCCGAGCGGCCGAACGGCCGAACTCGAGAGGTGCAGCTTTTGGGGTCTCAAAAAGCACGAAGAAACCGAGCCCCGAGTGATGTTTTTGGAGGTACCATTTTTGTGCTGAGACGGATTCACCCATCTGGGTATGAATTTTCAGATTGGGAGAGTCTCCGGTGGCCATGCGGGAGATGTGTCCACTGGAGGGTCCATGTTGAAATGGGAGTTCCAGTTTCGAGTCGTAAGGGGGAGCCTGGGGAGGGTTGTGGCCCGGAAAATGGCTCATATGTTTTGCGGGCCCAGACTGCGTCGTTTTGCGACATTTGTCTCGGTCAAGAAAAAGGGAAAAAGATCCACTGGTCTCAAATTCAGCTGATCCGAATAGGTAGGTTTTAGGTCACATTGAGGTGTTGTCATTTGCTAAATCCGGATTTCGGTTTTAGTCACTGCGAGCTCCTCCATTCGCCAAATGCGGAACTTTCGAACCGACCCGGTTGGAATTTAAACAAGCGACTTTGTGAGAGCCCAAACAAATTGGGAACATTCTGGTAGATTCATACTGGTGTGTGTGCGAGTGTTTCCTAGTGAAGGATCCTCTTTACGAGAGATACCCCTATCAATCAACAATAGGTTACCCGTTTTCCAAGCATGGAAATTGACAGCAGGGGTTCAAGAGACAAGAGGTCTGAAAACGTCCTTTTTTCTTTTGGCCCGTCCACTTTCATGATCGGGTTTTGAATGCAGAGGTCTCATTTCCCGGGCCATCCAAAAGCGGTCACCGCTGACCGCTGGAACCCGTGCCCTGGGTCACATTGAACATACATGGCGCTGGATTCAGATGGTTTCAGTTTTAGTTTCATGTGCCAGTGACACCTACTTAGAAGCTCAGCCAATTTTGTAAGTAGGTTAAAACCATGGTGATAAGTAGAGTAGCTGGGGTTGGCCCGCTTGTAATCATGGTTATAGCCATCTTACCAAGTAGCTTGAACACCCAAGGAGTCTCATTCAAAACCGGGGTTTCTGAAGGTTAGTAAGGGGCAATCCCAGCCAGAAATGATTGCGGCCGCCTTTTCAATTCCTTACATGGTTCTGGGTTCACCGTTTTGCCACCAGGTTTTGATTGTGACTCAAGTAGGAAGCCACTTGTTTCACGAGCATCTGCCGTATGCGCTGAGGTCATTCCTGAAGGAGCCATGGATGCTTTGCAGGCCAATTCATTTCATCGCGGGCAGTGATTGATATAATATCTGGGTATGGGTCAAAATGAAACCACCAGGGGACCGGTTCCATTTACCAGCGTTCCATTGTGGGTACCTATTTTTGACCCACAGCCATCTGGGCAACTACAAACCAGCGTTCCTGAGGGTAAACCAGCTCCCCCATGATAAAGGCCCACTGGGCGATTCTTGAGTTCACTTGGAATTTAAATGAACTAATTGTATAATTTTGGCCAGATCGGAGTATCTTAAACCATGTTTGGTGGACATACCCCTTCTCGAAGCATCATGAAAGCTGACACAGGCCCAATTAACGCGGGCGATGAATGCTTTATGGGCAAATTCAAGCCAGCTTCCGTGACGGTGAACCGGCTCCCCCATGATCATGATGAGGGCCCGCTGGGGCAATACTTTTTCTTCCGGGGAAGCTGTTCTATGAGTGTTGGAAAGAGGGCAAACCGCACCAAGTATTCCTGATTGCACAACAAAGTTCCTCTTTTTACCAGCTCCGAGAGACAAAACCCCCCCATTGCCCTAGATATTGCACGGAAGCCAACCATACTCAACCAAACAGGTATGGTCGTAAAGTAGAGATTTTGGTTCCTTGCTCCCTTGTCATGGACCATCATGGACCCCCCCAAAGGGGTGCTATGGGGAGGGGGTCTATCTCTCATTAGGCCCGTCACATGGCCCGGGGGTCCATGACCGAAGCGGCGTCTCGGATGTTGGCTTTGGAGTCTTCAGGTCCAGCTCCATGTTCTCAGTCCTGCAGGGTTTCTACCGTGAAACTGCTTGAAATTCGGCGGGAAAATCATAGGAGGTCTTGAGCCACCCGGAATTTTCTCACCAAACACGGAGTCTGGATATGGTGTCAACTTTGAAGGCGTTTGCCATGGCATTTGCCGGGGTTGAAGCAACATTTTTCCCCCCTTGAAAATGACATTTGTCGAGTTGGGGGTAGGTTCACAACGATTTTGTATTTCCAATTCACTTGGGTGGGCCTCGGGTTTCGGGTGGCGCAGGCTGTGGGCGGAAAGGCGCCCAAGGTGAGTTTGCAGCCCTTCGCCTTTGAGTGGGCAGGCTGGAGTGAGTTTCCAAGACTTGGTGGCTCCCAGCCATCCCCTTAGCTTTTTAGCCTTTTAGTGTTTAGTGGTAGTTTCCATTTTAACCCACTAAAAGTTAAACTTTTAGCGGGGGATCTGAGGGCAGCCCAGAAGAGAGCCTTGACCAACTTGAGATCGAAATCTTTAAAACCCAACATATAGAAACTGATGAGTTGTTTTGGGGGAAGGCCAATTGTGTGAGTCAGAAAGAACAAAGCCAGTTCAGGCTTTCTGTTGCCCACTCCCTTGTGAGGAGGGGTTGCCATGAGGACAAGTAGGAATTGATCAGGCGACCCCCACTTGGTGGTTTGGATTGATTTGGGAAACGAATCCCCTGGTCCTCGTGGCGAAATGGGAAACACGTCTAGCCTCCAATCCAGACCACCAATGAGGGAGAAGCTGAATTGGGTAGATCTGGAATTGTTTCAATCCAATGGAGGAATACCTTGATGCTTTGGGTTCACTTCTTGGCAAGTTATTTTTTTGGTTGTGCTGTTCGTTTTAGTAGGGGGAGCAGCAAAAAGGTTTTTGCTACCATACCAAGGGTTGTGCAGTTGGAACTTTAGACATGGTACTTCCCCAAACACTTGTAGAACCCAAGCCACAAAAGACGCAGATTTTGCGTGTGGGCATCCGGTCATCGCTTCTGAAAACATGGGCAACACCTCAGAACCCTTGGCTTCTCTCCGGAAAAGCGACGCAGGGCTCGGGCCTGCCTTTTGTTTTGACAGAACTCGTTTTCAGACCGGAGGACGGCATGGTTTGCCTTTCCTTGGCGCAGAACACGGGAAGACCATCGATTTACTTTGGGAATCACTGACAGACTCCCAGTTGGTATGCGCCCGGCGTCCGCCCGTTCGCGGCTCGAAAGAAAGCAGAGAGAGCCAAGCCCGCACAGCAGTTGCCAGACTTTTGCCGTGTTTGGTCTGCTTTTTTTTTTTCTCACCAGCAAAACCAAACACTCTAAACGTCCCATTCGTTTGTAGTCAAGGTTCCAAAATATTATTCCCTTTTATGCTCGAGGTGTCGATACTTCGTCTGAAGGTTTCATTTCTACCTTTCTTGCTCGTGAGCCCCATTTAGCACACAGAATTGGATACACACAACAAAGAGAGACAACATTGGCTCCCCTAGACTGGTTGGAAAGCAAGCCTTGGATCAGTTTCAGACCTTTCCTGCAAGCCAGACCTTGGGATGGATTCGGGGGGCTTGTCCCTATTTTGGTTGGAATTCACCCACAAGTTTAAGCCTAAACTTGAATATTCGGCCCAATGCTTTGACAGCGTGTGTTTTGTTGGGGGAACCCCTTTTTGGTGGGTTTAATGAGAAAACCGTTGAGCCATTTGGTGGGTTTTAAAGCAGACACAGCCACCTATCAGCACAGTTTGACCAGTTCTTGGAATCGCTGCCCAGAGCGCAGCCAAGCCGACGTGAGGCCCTGTTGGGGGGAGGGAGTGAACTCGCAGCGCAATGAGAAGATTGTAGATGTCAAGTGGCTATGGGTCAAACTTGGTTCCCTTACCCAGGGTTCCATTTTGGGCCTTTTGGGTACCCATGTTTGACCCACCCAAGTCCGAAGAAAAAGAGTCTCTGTCTGCGTTCGGAAACCGAATCTATACCTCAGCTTGCATACCCAAGCTGTCCCAGAGCTTCAGGGTGAAATGAAAGCACGTGGGCGGCGCCCATGTCATCCATTTTGGTAGGGGTCGCTGGGGCCTCCCAGAAATTGTGCTATTGTTTGTAGGCTTCTTTTGATCCGGGAAACCTAAATTCTCTCCTGTTTTGTTGGGTATCAAGGGTGAGGGGGGGGGTTGTTGCAGCTCGTTGGTGTTCGACATCGGTTCAGAAACTGCCAACCTATTGTAGTCGCTGGGTCTTTGTTTTGATTGGGGTAGTTGGCATTGACCATGGAGTTGTCTTCAGAATACGTGAAGCATGCAGCAGAATATATATATATATATACATAATTGTGACAACTGATTAGTAAACCCCCCCCTCCCCCCCCCCCCTCAAGGTCGACAAGGTTTGGACAAGTCCCAAAAAATGAGATTTTTGGGAGGACCCCCCTGATTGCTCTGGAGCCCCTTCGGTCCTCGTCCTCTTACTTCTGGTCCCTTCAGGGCAGTAGGACTTTCAAAGGCAACAGCACATTTTTTTGGTTTTGAGCCCAAAAGGGCCCTGATTAATCGCGGGGGGGTTTCCTGTTAATGAGGGGGGACTGGCCTCCAAGGGGGATCCCCTTTGTGAGCTTGAAAACCTTGTCATTTTAAACAAATTTTAATAAAGACAAATGCATTTCGGGGGAAGCACATTTTTGGCAACAACTTGAGGGGTTCAATAGTGACTTAGTATTGGTGGGTTTAAGCGCAGACTAAGCAAATACTAAGCAAGAAGGAAAGCACCTTGTCTGGCAGGTTTTTGCAGGCTTGGGGGCTGCAGAGGGATACCTTTAATCAGGGGGGGTTTTTGGGGAGGGCCCAAAAATAATTGGGTAGGGTTTTTTGGGGGAAACCTTGTTGGCACTTTACTTTAGTATTGGTGAGAATCTGGGGGGGAAAAGGGGGAACCTTATTCGGGGGGGGTTTACTAATCGTCTCCTGACATTATATATTATACACTATACATATATTCACAATAAATGATCGACTGTGGTAAAGGGAGGGCATGGGACACAGGAAGCCAAACAACACAAATTCGTAGAAGGGTCAACCCAACATCCCAAGTCATGTGGGTCACCCTGAGTACTGATCGCGCGAACACGTACGGACATCAAAGTCCACAGTCCAGTGCGTTGCTTTCCTTCCCGCACCTTTCCCATGTCATGTTGGTTTCCTCCAAGCAAGCTTTTTTTCAGGCCTGAAAATTGAAGGAGGGCTTGCGGCTATCAAGCAAGTCTTGGGAGGATTTGCTTTCACCGCCTTTGAAAGGGTCATTTTGGAGCGTCACCCAGCTTGTCTTTTGGGCGCACTTAGTTTTTCCAACCCCGCCAACCTGTTGTCTGACGCATAGAGCACAAACACAAAGAGGGTCCAAATGCACAGGTTTGGGGGCTGGGGAAAACGAACGGATGCGTTTGTTGTCGCCTGCCGTTCGGTAGGACGCCATGTACGCCTTTGCGCCGAACCCCACCGCTCGCATCGACTACGACATGTGCCATGGCTGTGTCCGCGTTTGTCGGGTCGATTTCCCTATGGGGGCTTTCGACGTAAGGCCGTGGGGCATTTGTTCGTTTGCCGACAGGCCAAAAACAGCTTCGGATGTCCATGTTCCTTTTCAGTACACCCCTTTAAAACATCACCGCTACCAAGCAAATCTCACCATAAATGGGCCAAATGGTAGTTTGTGAAACCACTAATATACGCAAAGCAACTCGCCCAAATCTCCGCGGGTTACCATGACGTGCTGAGACACGTGGTGTGTGTGTGTGTGTGTTTTAGTTGAGGGTGGTTACTTTTTTCCGAGGTCGTTTTTAAAGTGAGACAAAAAAAGAAGCCATGTTGTCGGGCTGCAAATCCCTAATTATTTTGGCACACAGTGCATATACATATCAACCAACATGGTGTAACCAAACGCTTCTCGGGGTCTGTCAAATGAGAAGGACTTCGGCGGATGACCCGTGGGCCGTGGACGAGGACTTCGGGCTCAACTGAAGCTGAGGGCTTCATCTCTGACAGAACTTTGGGCGCATTTTGCTTGGATGTTAGGACTTCAACTGTTTGCCAACTAATGGGTTTTCCATCAAACCACTAGAAGTTGAACTTTGCAGAAAGCAACCGAGAGAAGAAAAAACAACTTGCTGTTGCTCAGCGGGGAACGAGAATTGGGATGACCCCGATAAACCAATTTTGGTGGTTTCCTTTGAGGGAATCCCTGGGTTCATTCCCACATTCCCTACTGAGCACGGTTTTTGTAGGGTATGAAAGGGAAGCCCAGGCTAAATATTATTCAGAAGCACGTTTCGTCACAGCTTCCGGTCTGAGAGTCAGCTTTCAATCCAAATCAGCTTTCGAGACCTGTCTCACAACTGGTTTGTGGGCTTGCTAAGACGAAGGCAATCTTGCACGAAGAGTCATGTGCGCATGGTTGGTCTATGGGCGGCTCATTGCGCAGGGCTTATGATTAGAGGTGGGTAAGATGACACTTGACATAACTCTCTTCTTGGAGGTAGGCCAAGCTTGTCCCCAAAACAGTTTCGGACCCCTACCAAGCGACGGGCTTGGGCTGGCCTTTGATGATTGGTGCTGCTTAGTAAACCGCCCTTTTTGGAAGATGTCATGATTCACTCCCCCAATTCCGGTCCTCTTTAGTTGTCTATGGTGTTCTGTTTGTTCGTCCAACAGGAGCGTAACAGGGGAACAGGACATTGTGGTGTTACCTTTCCAGTGCTGCAAAAGGCTCATGATGAATCAGAGGGTTTTGTCTTATTAGGGTGGGACGGGCCTTGAAGGTGGGACGCAACTTTGTGCGCCTGTCAAGTCTCAAACGCTTCAAACAAATGAAATAGATGAATTTGCTTCTTCTGAATAGCTGATGTCTTAAGGATCGGGTACGGCGACCCGTGGAACTTGGGAATACACATTCGCAATATACTTTGCAATTTGGAGTCATTATTTTGGAGTTTACGGGGGAGGGGGGGAGGCTGGCACTGAGTTTTTTTTTAGGGGGGTGCAACAAATCTCCTTGTAAAGCAAGAGGCCGAAGTAGCACCTGTTAGCGTGCGCAATACCTTGGGCGATTTTTATTAGAATGCTGCATCGGGTTACCTGAAAGCAATGCAGTTTTGTGAGGGGAATGTGGTTTGTTTGTCTTACAAATTAGTTCTTATACGTTGACAACCTTTGGTAACCTGGTAGATTGCCGCCGTGCCAGGACCCGCCCGGCCAACTGCCCAGGCACGCGGTTGATCCAACACGCGTCGATTCCACCAGAATGAAAGCTCACGCCCCCTGCAAATCAGCATGGAACCCAATACAGACGCGGGATGTCAGAAAGAAACTCTGCCGAAAGCAAGGGTTTTGTGGGCTTTGTGCGTTCAATGTCTTACCGCCAGCTTCTGGGCTTGGGTTCGAACCCATTTAATGCAGTAAGCAAAAGGTTCAGACTTTTGGCCATGTAAGTGAGGAACAGGTCCGTAATTACTCTAAAACCTAAACGGGTGTGTAATTATTTTTTTTGCGGACCCCCCCCCCCCAAGTCCAGTTTTAGGCGCTGGGTAGAGTCTTAGTTCACTCTTCTCCTAAAAATATGGCATGTGTCATAGTATGTCATTCCAAGGTCCGAAAATCGGGGTCTCCGATGGGCTTGCCCAAACTTCACTTCTCAATCTCGACGTCACGGAATCTGATCGTTTTGCCGAGGATCAGCTCTGTTTTCACGGAGAGCATTCTTCTCAGGGGGCGAAATGTACAGCCAGATCGTTCCCTTGAAAGGGAAACCACTTGACCCGCTGAAAGGTCAGACCCGTGGACCATGCCAGGAAGTTCCGAAAGAACATAAGGGGAACATCAACGGTAAGTGAGGGGCCAAGACGGAAGGGCCGGGATTCTGCCGGGTTTGGGGTTACAGTGTTGGGGTCTGGGGAATTCTAGGGTGTTGGGAATGAACCTAGGGATTCCCTTAAATAGGAAGCCACAGCGGATGGGTTATAGAGGTCATTCCAATTCTCATTCCCTGCTGAGAACCAGCATGGCATTCCAGATCCCATTTTTCCAAACACTGGCAACTCAACAGGTATGCTTCCTTTTAGAAAGCCAACATTCCAGATCCCATCCCAGATCCCTGCTTTGTTTCTCGGGGCACTACGCGGCGAGGCATCCAGCCAATGGACAGGCCGGATGGGGCATGTCCGCCAGTTCTTTTGGATGCAACGCGTGTAGATGTCATACGGCAATACGGTATTTGTTGCAAGAATCGAAACTCCTTTTACAAGGTTTAAACATCCTAAGACTGGCACTTCAACAGGTAGCCTTGTGTATTGTTTACAACCAGCTCCCTTTTGGTTGGAAGACTCACCTCACCGGTGACCGGAGACCCGCTTGTGACACCTTAGGACGTTCAAAAGCGCATCAGCGGGGCAAGCGACAGCAACCGCTCGACCTCAGGGCCCCGAATTGTTGGGTTTCCGGGACCCGAAAACCGGTTTGCCGCTACTGAAATGAGCAGCTTGGGTTACACCATGGGGTGTGGCTTGTCATTTTTTGTGTGTACACCTTGTGGTGTTAGAAACCAAGAGGAAACGAAAACGAGCCATCTATACCTTTTTCCACGATCGGACACGGCAAACCATAGCAAAATCCGGCGGCCTCAGGGTGATCAAAGAAGTTGCAACCGAACCTGGACTATACCTCTCTATCATGGCCAGATTCAGACCCAAAACAAACCTCCTTATAGGTAGCGAAAATGAGACTCCTGGAAGACTTGTAACCAGAGGAACTAAAGAATTCAATGCCCTCGACCAGCACATTTCACCGCACAGGCCATTCCGGTCACGTTCATCGGAGGATTGGTGGTTTGGGGATTTGAACCCCTCGTTCTTGTAGAGGGTAAGTAGGAAACCAGCCCGGACCACCTCCAAACCACCACCACCAATTGGACTGCAGGGATGCTGAAAATTTGCAAGGCAGTTGGCAAAAGGCCAAACCGTTGCTTTTTGGGGCCAAAGTGAGTTTAAAGGCTGAAATGAGATCAGAGACGGGTATGCTCCCGGTTAACAAGGTGGTACGGCGGATGCCCCATGGCCCCTGCCATATCGCAAGTAGACCAACCGAATTCAACCGCACAGAATGGTGAAATACGGTAAAGCATGGGGCCTGGGGGGGGAAGGGAGGGGGAGGGAGCCCAAATAAGCCTTAAAGGCGGGCTATGTGCCAGGCAGCTCCTGGTTGGGACGCTGAATCCTTGCGATCCTTCACACCGCGCGGAGCTCAGCAAAATAACAGAAGACGTGCAATGAACAGGCTGGAGACGCCTTCAAGCAGATTGCGTATGGTTTGATAACAAGAAAAGTATATTTTGGCATTGGGTGTTTATTTGAAAAGCGAGTTTGTATGTTTCAGAGTTGAGCAACCATGAATGAAGAACCTCAACACAATGACGACAAGGTCAGCTTTGAGGTGATCCTTCAGAGGAACGGCGTTTCTTACACAGGTGAGCCAAACTGAGGACCGGCTTAAGAAAAAGGAGCTTTGAATGTGAAACGATTTGCGGATGGTTCTAGGATTTGTGTGTCACAGCCTGTCCCTTTTGGTGGCTGCTCAAAAAGATTCGTACCAAGGCATTTTGGCAGATGTAGCCAGACTAAGACCTGGGAACCAGTAGCTCTTTTGAGCCGGCCCTAGAAACGCAATCAACTCCACGGGCTTCCGCCTCCCTAGCTGGGAGTGAAACCCTACCTGGCGATTCTAAAGCTTGTCGGACCCGAAATGGAGGCAAGGTTCTGTTGAGACCGGTACCTGGTGGCGAAGCCATGACGGGAGTTCAAACCCAAATTGAGTGAGCATGAGTGAGCTATTTGTTTCTCACAGACCCCTAGACCCGAACACACCCCAAATGGACATACATGCTAATAGTTATCAATTTACTGAGTTTCACAACCGCCTCTTTAGAGCTATGGTTAGGTGATGGGTTTGTTTCACAAAGCACAAGCCGTAGATTCAAGACAGATGTATGACATCCATACACTTCGTTTAGGGTTTGTTTGCCTCCTTCAGCCCTTGTTTGCTTATGTGAACCTCACCATCGTGTTTTGGTTAGCCTGGGAGCTTGCACCCAGGATTCCTAAACAACAAAGCGGCCTCTCGTTCAGATAAGTTCTGGAAATCCTGAGATGTTTCGCTTTCAAAGATTGTATAAACCGGTTGACCCTTCGAAGTGTAACACCACTTTAGGTCTTGGCATGCCTCAGAAGAAGTCTGATATTTCCCTTTGAAACAAGAGATCTGTGATGATTGGGGCACGTATCCGCATCCTGGTCCGCTTGGTTGAAAATAGATGGCACCAATTTCAGCTTGGTTCAGCACAATCTCCGGTGCCGACTGTTTTTTTCTCCCCAAAGGAGCACCCAGTTTGGTTTGCCTTGGCTCTTTTGGGACACGTTTCAGCCGGATGGCTCAAAGCTTGCATCGTCTCTGACTTCCATGGGTGAGAGGACGCCCAGCGGAATCAATGAGGGAATGTAGCCAACATTGTCAGACTTCGCGACACTTGTGTCTTTGCTTCATGACCGGATCTTCTTGGAAGGTCTGTGGCTTTGCCCTGATGTTCGCTTTCAACTGGCAAAGTGGTCTACTCCATTTGGGCCAGCCCACGCCAATTGTCAGTTTCCATGCCGAGTTCTTGTTTATTTTCCGGTTGCTTTTGAAGGGAAACTATCTTGTGGTTGGAAGGGAGCCAAATCTGCTAAGAGGGAGCCTTTCGGAGCTACCGATCGGAGTTCTGCTTACGGACATGGTAAAGCATCGTAATCCGTGGCACCGGAATCAAATTGAGCCAAAGAGTTCGCGTACGGCTGGACCCCATCCCTCGCTTGACGTCCATGGGCCGACGCTGGGGGCGAGCTGATGATCAGAAGGCAAGCGTGAAGGAGACCACCGAGGCAGGGAACCATACTTCAAGGGGCAGACTTACTTAGCAAGTGATTAGTAAGCCAGGTTCTAACCCACTTAGGAGACTTATAAACCCATGGCAAGTAGGTTATACCCTGGCCTACCAACCGCTTGCTAACGCTGCCCCAGACTTCCGGTGGCCCAAGTGGCAGGCTCACCCCCTGAGTTCCTGGAGGTGGATTTTTGGGGAAAAGCTGAACTAAGGTTGCAATGGCAAACGTCAAGTTTGTTCTTCCTGGGCCAAAAACTCAGGATGTTCTTTTTGGCTGGGTCTGCCTTCAAAATCCACCAGCCACACAAATTTGACCACTGGGAGTCTAGTTACGGCATGCCATGCTCTGCTTTGTGGCTTCGAACCTACACGGTGACCCCCGGAGATTTGCGCGGAACCTTGCGGAGAACTGGCGTGCCCCAAGCTTCCGTGAATTCTAGAGTTCAAAAGGGACAAACACCGCATTTTATCAACCATGCTTCCCTGGGTTTGATTGAATCTAGCTTCACATTGGCGTCAATCCCGGCAATTGAGCGGCTGCGCTTGTAAATGCTTTCGGTCTTGGGTTCTTTGTGTATATCAGGCTTCCATTGTGGCTAACCTGGTGCAAGTGGATCATGGCTTCATCTCAATGGCTTTGCATGCAGTCAGCACACAGCGCCCGAAACTTCCTCTTGGCATCACCTTGAGAAGCAGATGGAACACAAGCACTATGCTGGAGCCAGGTGACATTTTGTTCCTTGCTCGGAGTAGAGAGTTGTTGTTGTGACTCATTTGATGAGATAGTGGAACGATGCGAGAACTTGTCAAGCAACTGGATGGTGTTCTTAATAGTAAAAAAGAGAAGAACGGCGATCGCAGCTATCGCAAGGAGGAAGCACCACCGTGACTGTGATCAATAATATGTGTTCCATGTGAGTAGGGCCTGAAACTCCTACTGGCCATTTTGCAGGTGGTTGGTTCCACAATCTACTACACATGAGGTAGCAAGGCCTTGAAACCTCTATATCCATCGTGGCCGGAAAAAGGAGAAAACACACAAAAAAAACTGGTGAGGCTCGGAGGCGTTGGTCTGCGATTTCAGCCGTGAAGGTTCTTTCTTTGAGGTACATGTCGTATTTGGGTGTCTTGTTTGTTGGGCCCCACACAATTACGCTTGTCCTTTCGAAATCCCCTTTAAGCACCACAAACAATGGGTACGATCAAAAAAGACACCTCTTTCATAATAATATAATTTCCATTTGCCTAGATTGGTGATTCGTGAGTCACGTCGCTCAGTCCTGGATACAGCCTATCAACATCCAATATTTCGTTCCATTTCAACCATCGATTTTGCGACAAGCAAGCCGTTTTCTGTCGGCATTTTTCGGAAAGAAGGACCCCCAAGAGTGGGGAGGTTCCCCGTTCCCGCTCACCGATAGGCTCGCAAGGATCTGCGACGATCGGTGTGGTATGCCACTCGGAACTTCAGAGGTTTTTCCCTTTAGGCTGTCCTCCCTCCGTGGTTTTCAGGATGGTGACCATACGCGTTATTTCTGGACCGCTCAACAAGAGCATGTCCTCCCCGAACGCATCCAACACAATTATTGGTGTCCGAGAAGGACAGAGAATGCCCGAAAGCTGAGGCTTCAGGAATCGAGGGGTTCTCGAATTGATGTTTGCCGCCAACAGGGCCTCGTGCCCTGGAGACCGGTTTAGCCTCTGCTTTCCAAAAAGGATGCCTGTGCACCAGGCCCTTGCGGGCTGACCCTTGGTTCCAGGTTATTTTTCTTTTGTTTGACCTTTCTCCCCAAAAGTGGCATGTCCGAAAGTGGCTCCCACCAAGGTTCCTCAAGGCTGGCTTGAGTTCATGACAATCTGCGGAGCAACAATAGAACATGATCCGGTAGCAAGCAGCATTTCTTCTCGCCCATAGGCGTCATGCCCGGAAACGCACCCATGAGACCCTCATCCAGTTTCCCCGCCATATAGAAGCCAGGAGGCAAAGTAGGCCCCCTGTTCACTATTTGCAAGCGAAATCCGAAAGGAAGGATCGGTCCCCAATTTACAGAAGCCCAAGAGTGTTTTTGTTTTGGTTTTCCTTCTTTGCAGGACCTTTTTGTTTCTTTGACCTCGAGGGATGGGGAGAGAGGCTGTTTTGTGGTGCTTGGAGAAAAACACGAAAGGAAGGAGTTAGAACCCTTGCACCAAATACCCCCCCCTTGTCAGGTAGGTTGACAAGGAGGGCCAAAGTTCAACTGGGTGTGGGAAGCCCCAAGGAAAGGGACCCATTTCGGGTAGGGGGGACCCAACTGGTCGATTCTCCTGGGCTGATCTCAAGGGCAAGCCCCCAAAGCCACGAAGGGGTCAGCTGCAAGCGGTGGGATCGAAGTCGGTTTGCATTCCGACATATCCCTGCATAGGGGTATCGTCTTCTTGGAGAACCTTCCGTCCCCTCGGAACAAGATCAGAGAATGGTTTGCCTTGGAAGTCACAAGGGCGACCCTCGAGAAATGACACATCCATTGCTTGGAGCGGTTTTTTTATTTAGCAGTTGCCTGCATTTCGGTGAATACCCCATATGCGAGCGTTGGACGATCTGGTCTTCGAAGCATCAGGACAACCACTTTGGCCCGGTGTCCTTGGGTAATGTCTTCGGTACCACGTTGTTCGTTTGCGGCGTGGCCAATTTTGTGCATCCCGAAGATAAATGAATCGGAGCCGCCCCCCCCCCCCCACTGGTTAATGGTCTGTTAGGTGACCTCCTAATGGCTGTTTTGGGGCCATTTGCCAGCCATTGGGGGGTGGTAAAAGAACCCACTAAACATACGTGTCGCCCACAAGGTCTGTTTTATGCTGTATGATCGTGCTGGCAGGTTTTTAGGGTTTAGGTTTGCGTTTTTTAGGGTTTAGGTTTAAGGTTTTTAGGTTTAGGTTTTGGGTTGTTAGGGTTTAGGTTTAGGCGTTTTAGGGGTTCGTTTAGGGTTTTCAGGGTTTCCACGGTTTTAGGGTTTAGGTTTAGGGTTTTTTCGGGTTTAGGTTTGCTTGGAGCTGGCTGTCCGGCGCATGCGAGGCTGGCTTGTCTGGTTTAGGTTTAGGGGTTTAGGATTGTGTTGATGATAGCACTATATAACCAGAAAAAATGGCCGCGCTCCATGAAGGGGGTATGGAGCATGAAGGTGGGGTGGGGCCCGGGGGGCTCGGAAGTGCGTTTTTGCTGCGCCTGCCAAGCTTTTTGGAGGTCTCGGGGACCCGCTTCCGGGCGGTCGCGGGCAACACATACGTTTTGGCCGTAAAAGAACCACTTTCAAAGTGACCTGAAATGCGGGAAGTGCCTGTTGGAGCTGAGTGGCAAGCCCGCGGGTGGCCAAATGAGGTGGAGAAGGGTCAGCGCTACGACGCGGAGCTGTCGCTGGCCTGGGATCTGCCCAAAGCTAAAGAGTCCGAGGACGGGGGGGGCGGGGGGCAAACCGCCCTACGAGTCTTTTCGTCCATTTGGGTACGGGTCAAAATTAAACCACCAGGGGACCGCAGGGTTTACTCCTTGGTTCCATTTGCCAGGTTCCATTTTGGGTACCTATTGTTGACCCATGACCATATTTGTCAATGATTCCATTTACCAGGCAGGGTTCCGTTTTGGTGCCTATTTTTGGCCCGCCCCCCTTTTGGGGGGGGGGGGGGGTTTCAAGCATGATTGTAAGGACTGAAGGGTTCGTCCATCGGAGGGCCCGGGTCTGCATTGGGGGTCATGACCCTTGTGCCTGTTTCCTATCCCAGTGGATGGCTCAAAGCCACCAGGACCTAGACTCCAATTGCAAAGGAGAGTTTGTGAAATTGGAGCTGAGTCAGAATATAGCCATCATTGGCTAGGTTAAGTTTCAGCTGCTTCCATTTTGGTCCTTCCTTTTATTTCCCATTTCAACTTGGTTGCAAACTTTCAAGGGGTCCGATCAGCTTGCGCCAGAATCGGGCCAACTCGTGCAAGCAGCTTGTGACCTCGCCTGAACCTGGGAGTTGGCAGACCTGACGCTTAAACTGTGTGTTGGTAGGTTCTTCATGTCCAGGTCCCCCAGTAGTGCCCTTTTTGCCTTTTTTTTGGGGGGGGACTCTATGAAAATGCAGAAACAATGGTACCAACTGAGTCTAACCTCTCTACTGGAACACCTAGATGTTCTTGTCAGCCGAAAGAGCCACTTTTCAACTGGCTCAGCGGCTACCGATTTGGCCCCCTGAGGAGGCCAAAGACTTCCGGCAAAAGCTGCAAGCGCGGCTCGGAGAGCGTTTTCGGCCTCTTTGACATTCACATGCCTTGTGGCTTCCAGCCATCCGGTTTCTTAGCCTTTTAGCATTTTAGTGTTCAGTGGTAGTTTCCATTTAGCCCACTAAAAGTTAAACTTTTAGCGGGGGATCTGAGGGAGGCCCAGATGCCTGACCTCCAGTGGACAGCTTCTTGGTTTTCTTTCTTTTTTTCGGGGGAGGGGGAAGTCCAACATCAATCAACAGAAAAGGGGGTCCGTCCCCTTTCCCCTTTCCCGACGGCCACTTGAGATCTGGGCATGTGGCTTACTAAATACGGTTATTGGTTGGCAAAGGAGCTGCAGTAGGCGGTAGAAGGAACACACACCGCCCTGCTTTTTTTAGGGTCCTGCAGGCCTGATAATTTGTTTCAGGGAACCTCGCCAAGGCAGGGTCGCGGGAAGTTTCCCTCTGGTTGCAGCAGCACCTTCGGGTCTTTGATACAGTTTCTTTTGGGTGATGTTGGCCGGTAAGGCCATGAATTTTGAGAGTTGGACCCAGCTCAAAAGTGGTTAGGGGACCTGACTCCCTACCTAAAAGATATCCACCAAAGGGTCCCCAATTATGATTCATTTGCGTATAGGAAGACGTGTCATGCCTGTCTTCCTCCGCGCAGTTTTTCTTTTCCGCCGCAGGCGGTTTTGGCTGTCCACGGGCCAGAGCAAGGAGGAGGTCGCCGAGCGCTTAGGAAAGGCGCTCGGGGGGTGCGGAGCAGTTCCGCTCGTTGGGTTCCACTTGCTTAGAGGGAGCGTCCCCTGCTGGGGGGGGGGGTTGAAACCCACAAAATTGTTTTTTGTTATGTTCCCCTTGTTGTCTTTAAAGGGAACTTATCACTACTGCAAACATGTTTAACTTTGTCCAGGAGGCTGGAGTGATGGAAGTTGGGGTTCTCTGGTTGAACTGGTAAAGTCGCGCCCAGCCAGACAAAAATAATGGAGTTGGAGCTTTTTGGCACAGGTTCAATGAAGCGCCAAGAAGTCAGTGACCTTGCTGAGGCCTTAAAGGGATCTTGAAATCAATTGGCATTCTTTTTGAGCGACCCCTGACCAGACCTCCGGTGTTGCTTGCTTTGCTAATTTTTTGAAAGAGGGAGCTACCAAAGAAGGGTGCCATTTGTTTCCCATGGCGACTGGATGTGTTTTTTTCTCCATTCAAGGACCAGTGCCGCAGGATAAATTGGACCGCCGCATAAAGCTGCGCTGTGTGCAAGTCGAGCACTTGGAGCGCTGGATTTGGGTACCCCCTCTACAAATACCATCCAACGGAGGCATGGACTTGGCATATTTGGAGGAAGTTGGCGCAGGGGATCGACCCTATGGCAGAAATCGGGGGAAATGAGTTGCGGTCGGCGAGATGAATGGAATGGTGGGAAGGCATGCATCGGATGGAAGGAGAAGTCCTAGGCTTTCAGTGTACTTTTGTAGCCTCTTAGGCAACCTGCGGAAGGCAATCAGGGACTCAGGATTTCTGACCCGAATCTGTGGAGCTCAAAACGAGCCGATTTTCGAGAAGCAGCTTCGGATCGAAGATCCACTCCAGTCTGAACAGTGAACGTGCATGGGCTTAAAACCATGTTTTTTGTTTCCCCTGCTGGTTTTAAAGGGAATCGATTTGACTACTGGACTTGTTTTTGTTTGTTCTCATTTTTTCCAGGGGGCGAAGAAGCAAATAGAAGACTAGGGCCTGTTGAACCCGGTGCGATCCAAAGCCTTCCACTGGATCTTTCCTAGTGCTAAGGGTACAGCCCTGACAGGCTTGTGGCTGGGTGACCCAAGCAGCTGGTGCCGCACCAGAGATCCCTAGGCGCGGAGTGGATCGGAGTGAATTGGCACCGTTTCGTGTTGGCGTCCCGTCTGGTTCCGGGTTGGCTTTGGAGTTTCCTCAGTCGGTTTGTTGTTGGTTTCTCTTTAAGGTTTTCATTTGTGGGCATGGAGGGGTTTGGGGTCTTCCAGACAAGCAGGGGATCTATTGTGCCGCAGTTTCCACAACCAACTGGCACAGCACCTTCTTTTGCAAGGGATTTGTTAGGCAGATCCAGTCGAATCGTGTTTGCGTGTGTGTGTGTGTGTGCCTTTTGCTGAAAGCGTATCTTGAGGTGTGGCTTCCAAAAAAGGCCCATCCGTTTTCGTGGGTTCCGATGTGAGTGGTGTTATTCAGGTGGATTTATAGGGAAACCACAGAGAACCCCACTACTTTTTTCTTTTCTTTTTTCGGTGGATGGACAAATTCCCTGCGCACCAGGTGGGATTCGTGGTTTATCAGTTTATCCCAGCATCAAATTGGGCTTCATCTATTGCCACTGGTGCCGATCACTGCGGATTTTTTCGCAGGGACAGTGACACCAAGAGGGGGGCCTTTCGGGGGCTACGCCTATGGGCCCAGATGGGTTGTTTCATTCTCAGACTTAGTTCTTGGGGTTCCTTCAACAAGGAAACTGTTTGTAGGGGGTCTGGCCAAGACAAAATTGTCTGGCACGTTGCCAGGCTTAAGATAACCGCTTTCACAAGTTGTACGCTTCAACAGCACAAGTTTACTGCAAGGACCAGTCGGGTCAGGGTCGAGTCAAAGCCTTTCCTGGTTGCGTGTGGCTGTGGAAACCCGCAGACCTGTCCCCCCAAAGGGCTCCTTCATTTGACAGGTTCGGGTTCGTGCATTCAGGTCGGGGAACATGGGTCAAATTTCGTCAGAAGGTGGTTGTTTCTGCTGTGAGCAACCTGGCGAAGGTCGCCCGTCTCGGAATAGACCCCCCCTTCCCAAACCTCGCTTCGAGGATTTTGGTTATGGGAGGAAGACGTTGTTGGGGGGTGCTGGTGGGGGGAGGACCAAACACGGTCTCCCAAAGGGTGGGTTTGAAAACGGCCCCTGACCGCTGCGTTTTTCGGCTGCCGTACTTGGGATCTTGGACGAGAGGGTGGGGTGGTGGGGGAGGGGGTGTACCAAACATCGGGGCTCCCAAACGGTGGATTTGTTTATGGCAGGGATGGGCCGCAACGAAGTCCAACCCTCTAAGAACTGAAGGAGCGTTTGGATGAAACCGGTTTTCCACGAGGGCAGTGCCGCGCTACGTGGCGGAGTACAACCTCCGCATGCTGAGCCTCGGCATCGAGCCCTTCCGCCCGGCCCTGCTCTGGAGACGCTACGCCGAGGCGGATCAGCGAGGTGTCCTTTTGGTTTGGGCAACAAATCGAGTTGGTTGGTTTTCCTGGTTAGCTTGGTTAGTTTGGTTAGTTTGGTTAGTTTGGTTGGTTTAGTTGGTTTAGTTTGGTTGGTTTGTTTTGTTTGGATTCCTGGTTTACCTGGTGGTTCAATCATAGCCAGTGGGGCATTTATTTTCCAAAAAGGACACCCACGGTCCAGCGAATGTTTCCGAAAGGAAGGCCTTTGGTTCTGTTGATCCGGAGGGTGACCTGGGGTTTCTGTGGATGTTTTGAACTATATTGATCACACATGCTTCTCAGGTCGTGGGTTGGTTTGGTTTGTTTTTTGTTTCCCAGCCTGGAGACCTCGAGGTCCCATTTTGCCCAACATCGCAAGTTCGGAATTGCAGGAGGGAGATTTGGAACAGTTGGTTCCCCACAATTCATAGGTTTCCTTTTGCTTTCCTCATAAGCCTGCCCAAAAACGGCGACACCGGATTTCATGGGACAAACCCACCTGGAAGCCTCCGAGGGCGTGGACTTTGGTCCGATAGATGGGCCGCTTTGAGGGGAAGCGCAGTTCATGGTGCATGGCCTGTTGTGCCTGAAGGAGACTGGATGCATTCCAGGTTGAGGGCTTTTGGTTGGATGCCGTCCAACTAGCGCTGCCTTTGTCCTATTGCTGAATCCAGGCAGGTTCAAGAGGGGTCAACGAATCTAGACGCAGACAGATGAAACATGCTCAGGCATGAAGGCCCTTTGCTTTAGGATCCGTGTCCCATGTAGGGCTGGTGAAATCATGTCGCCTACCCTGTCTTGCACACAGATTCGGTGAAGAGCTGGTGTTTGTGGGATAGAGCTAGGGTAAGAAGCGGGCATGGGTGCCTGATGACAGCGCGTCACGCAGAATACCGGCAGAATACCCACCCAGTGGGCTCCTTGCTCCCTTTCATGGAACTGAAAAACCTTGACACCGTCTATTTTTTGGCACTGTATCGATTATTTCAAAGATTTGTTTTTCTGAATTGGGACCCTCCCCGTTGATGAACCAGAGCTTGGCTTGAATGCCAATGGATGTTTTATCCTTTCACTTTTTGGGAAAACCATTTTATTTTTCCACTAGCCCACAACACAAGAGGCAGGGGGTAGCCATCAAGATAAGTCCCGGGTGCCCGAGGGGCCATACCTCTTGCGCCAGGATACCGAGGGCCTGTACTTGGAATGCGCGCAGCAGATGCCCTGGAGACAGGCAGGGGCTCCTGCAAGAAGGGGGGAAATTTGCCTGTTGTGAATGGAGGTTATTTGGGTGCTAAATAGCCAATTGTCACCCAAATTGAAACCAACATGAGCTGGGTCATGTTTTCGCAGGTTCTTTTTAAGACGATTTTTCTAGTTGAGACTTGTTTGAGATTTACGAGAACAGGGGGGGCATTTGTCTCTTTGTCTTTGGAGGGTATGCTCAAAGGAGCCCAAAGGACACCGGCCAGTTGAATCGGAAGCTCCTCTTCTGCAAAAGGATGCCTGGGCTCACCGATCAGCGCCCGTGGCGCCGCTTTGCTCGGAGATATCCCTTCCTCCGGTCTTTGAAGCATAGGATTTTTTTGCTCTGCAGGTTGTTCGAAGCGCGAATACGGAGAATCACAGATTTGTTTTGGTTTTTTGGGAGAAAGGCTGCGGGGAGGAAGGGTAGCCTCGACAGGCTTGAGAGTAGAAGTGAGTTGCGTGGGGAGTGGCCTTTGGCCACCTTGGTTTGGTCTTTCGACGAAAATTTGTTTGACTACCTGGGCCTACCTGACTTGAGCATCATCGCCTTGCCCTGAAACCCACGATGGGGCCGTGTCCAAAACCCCGCCTTGGCAAGCCTTGGAGGCCGTCTTCAGAAAGCGCAACTACGAGACGGGGGAAGTTACGGCCACTCAGATTTGATGCTAGGAACCCGACCCCCTTTCATAGAGAGCCACAGGGAATGGGTACGGAAATGGGGATCCAACAAAATCGTTCTTTCCTTGTGGCTTCCCTTTAAAACCACCCAAACACGGGGACCTTAAATGGCCGCACATGCCCAAGTTTTACAGGAAAGTAGCGAAAGTTATTTTGTTTGGGGGTGTTGGGCAAATTTCCTGTAGAATGTCCTGCTGGTTCTTAGGCCTGTACAATCAAACTTGGCAAAGTGAGGGTATGTTCAAGCTACTTGGTAGGTAGGTTATGGCCGTAGTTACAAGGGAAATCTTCCCAGTTACCCCACTCATAGCCATCCTACTTGCTAAGTTGGTTGAACCTACAAGGGCCCTTTCCCTTGTCCTAAGATGCGCGGCCAGTGTCCAGCCTTTTGACCCGTCTGTTGAAACAAATTGTTTCGGATCTGGGTGTTTGTGGTGTTTGTTTTCTCGGGACCCTATATTGGCGACACTTTTTAATATTGGGATTTATGTCTTCCAACCTCTTTTGTGCGGGGTGGTTCCTTCTTGAAAACAGAAGCAACTTGTATATATCTGCACTTTTGATGCTTCACATGGGGGGATCGACCCCTAAGCCAAGTTTTGTCGACTCCTTGGAGCCCGAACAGGGGGACTCATCGAGTTCCGTTTTGGAGGCAGTTGCACTCAGTCCTGGTCCCGTAGTTCTGATGTGAGCTCATTTATGTGGAGCCATGTCTGGCGTCTGGTTTCAGGAACACATGCATAACGCCTAGAGATATGGGCATGGCGTTCGTGGGTTCTGGCTGATGATTTTGGGGACACCTAAGGGTGCGATGTTGCAGAAGATAAGAACCTACCTGACGTTTGACATTTGAAGGTTTCCCAAGTCTGGATCAAAGATTACGCAAACACAAGTCACTGACGATACGTAGTATTGGTAATGTTGACCACAGATGAATGAGCCCGTCCTATTCATAGGGGCCCCTCCGCTAGTGGTGGTGTACAGAAACAGGTTTTGGTGACTTATCGGCTCTTTCTAGTTTCCCTACAGGCTCTTCGTCGCATGCATGCAAATAGCAAGCCTCTTGACTCAACTGGCTGAGAAAGCTTGAACTAATTCCCATCCAGCAGCAATCGCCACTAAACCAGGGACCCACAAATACAATAGGGTTGGTTAATCCGGGGTTCCCGCTACTTGTGGGTTGGGGGATGTGACGGGTCCACCACAATTTTCCTCTGAGGTTACAGGTATCGCGTCCAACCGCCAGGAGCGGGCTGAACATGTGAATAGGGATGGGCGCTGGGCATTTTGTTTACATGGGGGTAAACGGGTCAGGATGTATGAATCATATATATATATACATACATATACATATTATATATATATATATGTGTACATGTATATGTGTGTACATGTGTATATATATATATATTCCCCCGCCAAGATCCGCGCCTCTGGTTTGCAACCATTGTTGCTGGACAGATGGACCTCCTTTTCTGCGTTTACCGTGCTTATTGGACAGCAGCGTTTGCTTCTTCATTTTAGGGACCTCTCAGCATTTTGTGTCTCCACAGCCTCAAACCAATGAGAGGTCCTTCAAATTCAGCTTCCAAAGCGCTCCCCAAAAACGTAAGCAAAACACCTATTTTCTAGAAGTCTTGCAGAACTGCGTGCAAATAATAGAGGAGTACAGCACTTTCTGCTTTCGGGAAGCTGGATTTGAAGGACCCCTCAGCATTTTGATTTCGTGTTCCCAGGGCTCAAGACCATGTATTAGGGACTTCTCAGCATTTTGTGTTTCCATCAGCTCAAAACCATATTTTAGCTTCCTGAAGCAGACAGTGCTGTACCGTCCCTAACACATAAAAAAGATAACATCATTTAGATGCAAAATCCAGCTGCGCTGTGTGTCTTCGAGCTCGAAGAGCGAGGGCAAACCCTATCCGTATGGTATGCCGCTGACGTGTTATTTGCACCAGAAGCTCCTCCTCACCCCCTGCATCACCCGGACACAGGCCGATCCCAAAACATCCCCGACATCCCTGGCCTTGCGACGGGCTCCTGATACCACGTTGCCCAACCTTCACCAAACACAATAAGTACCGCGCCCCCGACTGTTGCTGGTATCCCCGCCAACATCCTCTACATCCTCGCCAGCTTCACTAGCATCCCCAGCATTCCTGCATCACCGGCGTCCGGGCTTGTCAGCATCCCTTGCATCACCTGCATCCCCTGCATCGCGCCAACCCTCCAAAAGTGGCTTCATGAGAGTAGGCTTTGGCGAGGGGATGCCGGGGATGCAATCTTCGGTGGGTGGCAAGGGTGGTATGGGTGGCAAGGGTGGCAAGGGTGGCAAGGGTGGCAAGGGTGGCAAGGGTGGGAAGGGCGGGAAGGGTGGGAAGGGTGCGATTGGTGTATAGCTTGCTGGAGACAGTTTCTTTTGAGGACCTTTCAACTTTGCCTTTGAAGCCACAAAACAAGGGACCTCTCAACATTGTGTGCTTCCAGACCCAACGTGCTGAAAGGTCCCTTGTTTTGAGCTATGCAAAAGGCAAGGGGCCTCGCAGCATTTTGTGTTTCACATGTTCAAAATGCTGGGGTGCCTTGTTTTCAGCTTCCCGGATGCGGAAAACACATGACGTGTACATGCTCTGATAGTAGATGTGCCAGAACCTGCGAATCCAAGTGGAGGCAGCTGGACGAGATGGACTAGAGGATAAGCGGTCCACCTGAAGAACTGTGGCTGCACAGCTATTCTCAGCCATTTGATAGCCACCTTAATTGAAGGGCCCCTGGCAAGGGACACCCTTCCCATCAAGGACTCCTAACTTAGAAGCAAGTTTCGAAGCTACGTGACATCAAAGCTTTGTAGACAACTCTTGGCGAACGAAGAAAGCCCCCGTGGCTATCAACTCAAGAGGGGCGTACACTGCGTCGAACGTGCTCTGCGCTTTACCTCTCTTGCTAGATTCGCCCAAGCCGTATTGAAACTCAGGGAGATAACGATTCTGAGTCCGACCCTGGACACGTCAATGACACTTCGGCAGTGGTGCGCACTATCCCCCTAGCTTAGACATTTTAGTTGCTGCGATAGACTCTGCATAATCGGTTAGATGATTGCTTTCTCAAAGGTATGTAGTTTTTGGAAAGAGTGGCGGATGAAGTTGAGGAGAAGGAGGAGGAGGAGGACTATGACCTGGGCGTTTGCACCAATTGAGCCACGTCTTGATGTTGAAGGCACGCAAGGCGTTTTGTCTGCATGAGTTGAAGATATGTTACCAGGTGATAAATCCAGCTTACCGAATTTTGAGGTATGATGCGCCGGGTTTCCTGGCTGCAGCATACAGCGCAATCGGATTTTTTGCCCTTGTTTGAGGATAATGAGGGGAAGGGCGGCGGGGGACGAGGAGGAGGAGGCGGAGGAGGAAGAGGATGAGAAGGAAGAGGGGGAGGATGAGCAGCAGCGGACCGAGGTAGTGAACTACTCCCAGATCCGTCCTCTAGGCCGCCCGGACGCAGCAGCGTTCCGACATGCATTTGGGTTCGACCCCGTCAAAAGCGGCTGGTGGACATAATGACACTCCACTCGCATGATGTTCACTAACCCACAATATGATGTTGGAGTCGCGCAATTTGAGTTGTCCTTGAGGTCCGGATTGAAATCAATCCGGCAGAGACGGCCATTCAAAGACAGGCACGCGGATTTGGGCGAGCTGTTTTCAGGCGTGTTTAGCAGTTCCACAGTAGTTGGCTTTCACAGAGATCCTGGATCCTTGTACTGCTAGGTTTGCCCAAATGCATGTTCGACACAGGGAATCACTTGGCAACGCGACGGCTTTGCGCACGTGTTTTGTGATTTTTGTTTGTTTTGTGCCGAGTATGTCATGCCTCTTTGGACAGCTGAAGGCTGATGGAGACTTAGGTTGTTTACGGGCCCCTCAGCACTTTTTGCCTTTGAAAGCTGAAAACAAGGGACCTCACAGCATTTTGTGCTTCCACGGGCCCAAAGTGCTGAGAGGTCCATTGCTTTCAGCTTTACAAGCGTGAAGGCAGAAACATGTTCTGTTTGAGGGCTTGTGTACAAGCAAAGCGCAACCTCAGTTCTAACAGGTTTCCACGCTTCAGACTGCGGGGCTTTGAGTTGAGTAGGATCTGAGTTAGAGCTCAACTAGTTTTTTGAAATAGATTTACAAAATAACTAGAGCCCTAATGAGGAAAGGTGGTTGTTTCTTCTAATTGGCTTACCCGGAATTCTCAACTTTAAGCAAGAGTTCCTTCTCAAGCAGGTTTTGAACTAAAATTTGATTATGGCTTCAAGGAATCCGTTGAATTTTGAGATGTTCAACTGGATGTTCTTTCCAAGTAGGAATCTAACTAGAATTTACAAACAGTCGAAAAGAGAAAAACAAGCTGTTCGCTTCTTCAAACTTGCCTTCCCCTTAGAAGGAGCGAGCAAACCAATAGAATCCCAAGGACAATGCTACTTCAGCTATATTGGTTTACGAGTGTCAAACAAGGCGTTAAGTTTGAGTAGGATTCACATAAACATGTTCATCTTAACTGCACGTTTAACACAAGTTCATTTCCAAGAAGGATTTTCATCAGAACTTAAGCAGAATCGATTGAGGAAAAACACATTGGTTGTTCTTGCCGGCCTTGTCAGAAAACATCTCAGGCGCGGATCTTGTGGGGGGAACATATATATATATATATATAGATTTTGTTTTATGTACTTTGCTAGTTTGAGGTGCGTACATATAGACCAGGATCAGAGGAGTTTTGGTTTGTCAGCAAGAGCCGAGGTTCACAAGAGGCTGCGGGGGCTGTTTGCCTATGTATATTTGGGTGTCTTTTTTTGGAGGGTAGCTTTTTTTGGTGCTGGGACAGAAGGGTCCCTTGCCGATCAATGCATGACATTCACGACGGTCTTGCCGTGCTACCAAATATCCCACGGGTTATTGCCTTCCCCGGTTTACCACATGATGAAGCAGCCGTCCTGAGATCAACTCTTGCATGCTTTCCCTGAAGTAAACTGTTCTGCAAGAACTGCATGGCTACGGCTGCACGTCGCAAGGGTGTGGCGCCAAGCGAATGGACTCACGTTGTATACAAACATGTCGCCCAAAGATGGGCGGCCGGATTTTTGCTTGTGAGGGGGAGAAGCGGTCAAGCGACGCATCTCCAGGGATTCTCAGTTTTCCAAATCGGAAACCCTGAGATTGCTTTAACATCCATCCTCAAATGCAAATAGAGATTCTAACAATCCCATAAACATGTACAAAGTAAAACCAGGCATCCGTGCGCCAAGTGCAAATCCCGTAGCCAGGATTCTCTGTGGCGCCTTTAGCTTTGTGAGGCTCGTTCCAGCAGCCACTCATCGGCTGCCATATGGCACTGCGCTTCATGCATAGTTCATACACATATATATATATATATAATGTATATACGAGGGCTCCCCCTTTTTACATGCCAGTTCTTTTTTATTGGCGAGCTCACCTAGGGCAAAACACTCGCTAAGATGCGGAGGTCCCTTACTTGGATCGAGATCCAATTCTTGTTTCAGGTTTTGGACGAAATGCAAAATTTGGAGGCGCACGCACACTCGGGCTGGAGTGCATGGGCACACCCAGCAAATATCACCAAATGAATTGGGGGGGGGGGTGAAACCTCAGGAAAAACCTATATCACCGGGGGGGCAACATGAATGCAATCAACCCTCGGAACGGAAGGACTGCAGCTATCCCACCTTGGCCACGGGGATCCCGCGCCTGGATGTGGTGCTGCAGCGTCTCAAGAGGGACCTCCAGATCCAGGAGGGTGACATGCCTGGGATGTGCTTTCCGCTTTGCCGTGGTACCAAGGGTTCCCTGTTGCCTAGGTCCCCCAGTAGTGCCCTTTTACCCTTTTTGGGGGAGGGTTCCCCCACTAAAATGTTCGGGGGCCTCCCCGAGTTCCTGAAAGATCCGTCGGACCATGTCGGACCTTCAGGCTTGACGGATGTTTTTCTTTTTCGACCCGGGGGTGACTTGGGGAAATTTTTGGTGCCGTTCAGAGATTCAGTCCTGAGTGCCCCTGCTCCTAAGCCCTAAGCTAGTTTGTATCCACCCTCGGATCCAGCAACATAGAAGCTGACTAGTGACTACAGTGCTGGTGGGCTCTAAGTGGACGGCAGGGCAGAACCCTCGTAGGTTGCAACAGGGCTGCTGCGAGAGCGCCCCAAACTCCCGTTGGCCATTTTGTCAGATGGTTCTATTTGGTGGAGCCGAAAAAACACTTTATGTTTCTCCAAAATTGGTATTGGGTCCTCTTGCGTGTTTGTTCCGACCAGCCTTCTTGTCGAAATGCAAGGCACCCAAGCTGAAAAGCTACATTCCAGACCTGAAGGGGTTGCTTCCGTGGCAAAGACAAATCCGTTTTAATGCAACAAACGACTCTCCAAAGTGTTTGTTGTTTTTTCCGCGTGGCCACTAGGCTTCTGAGAGAAGAGTAAACAATTCCATTAAGCCGACTATATCTATTCTCAAAACATATTGCGGATGATACGGGCGGTGCTTGCGAATGTGCTTTGCGCTGAGGTGTCAAAGGGAAATTGCCCCGCTGATGTTGGCATGAACCAGCCGCTCAGCGAGGGGAACCTCCAAGCTCATTTTCAGCAAGGCCGCAAGCTGAACCTTACATGTGGACAATCACTCAAACTTTCGACGTGTTGCGGGAAACTTCTGTTGACTGCGTGCCAACTAGAACATATGTGTGTTGACCCCCCCCCCCCAGAGGCCGCAAGAATCCGCAAGGGATGCAGATGCCTTTTGCCCTCCTCCCATTTGGCACCCAGTCAGAGCCCCAGCTGAACAAGTGCTGCTGCGGGCCAGGATCCGAGGGCATTTCTCCTGAACAACTTTTATCCAGACGCTCGGTCAGCATAAGTGCATTGGGCCCCACCTCTACCAGAAAGGTTCTCAGAGTGCTAAGAACCCCTCCATCAAAAAGGATCTTTTTCCAGAGGGGTACGGGTGTTTCAGGCTTTCTGCCTAAGAATTTGATGGATGCTGGTGAGTAAGGGGGGTTCTGGGACTTTCCGTCGGACAGTTTGTTGGGTTTCCACGCCTTTCCTTTGGCCCCGGATGGGTGGTTTGGGCCCGTGTGCCTTTCGATAAAACATCTTCCGAGCACTGGGGCCTGAAAAGGGGCTGCGCGGCCTCTGATGAGATGGCCCATTCGGGGGTAGGTTCCTCAGGTTGGGAAGTCTAACACCAGCTTGCAGGGATGCTCAATGAGAGATGCTGCTGACGCCCTAAATGTTGCAAGTAAACAAACTATATGCGCAACCACAAGACCATGGCACATCACACAAAACTGGGGGGTTTCACGTTCGCTTGCAGAATTTTGGCCTCCATCGTATGTCCAAACCTATGAATCAAGCCCAGAGGAGGGGTCCTCTTTTTCTATGGTTGGTGAACGCTCCAAGTTGGGACTGAGGGCTTGGGAAGCAGCGATTCTTACCGGGAGACCTCTGGGTTGGTCAAAAGCTTAGACCTTTTGCTCAAGGGCAAGAGCAATCCAGACTCGACGAGTTCGGGCTACTCGTGGGGTCTTGACCATTCTAGTGGCAAACATAGTTGGAAATCGACGGGTTTCATTCCCCCCAAATCACTAACCCAAGGTTTCAATGTAATATACCGCCTCTATATAGCCACTATATAAAAGGGTGTGTTGTATACCCCGTTTTTTTTGTTGGGTGTAGTGGAAACACTTGTAGTGAAAGATGTTGTATCACGCAGACGTGGGCCACAAGGAAGGGAACACGAGCATCGCGCCTCATCAGCACGACTTCTGGTCGGCCATCCTGTCGCTGGGCGCGCCGGGAGTCTCAGCCTTTAGTGAATTTCTCATTCGAGTTGTTTGACTGACTTTTTGGAAAGAAACAATTGAACAATGACAAACATCAAGTTCTCCGGGAATGCAATCTTAATGACAAGTTCTGCGTGTCGCCTTTTTGGGACAACAATCTTAGTGACAAACATAAAGTGTGGATTTTTGTTGGCCGGTTTGGTTTTGTCTCAGCAGAGGGAAACCTTGGAAATGAGCGGAATCCTTGTGGTTTCCTTGGAACAGCCCAAGAGTGGTACAGTACCTTCAACAGACGGACACACTCACTACACTGCCCAATTTAAGGCGAGCACACCCTGGGGAGAGACGGGTGAAAGCCATGATTCTAAGGGATTTTTTTCCATTCTCCTGACCCATAAATCTCTCTTTAGAAGCCACCCATGTTTCAAGGCGCTTGGCCCATGTTTTTAAGAGAAGGATTTGTTTGAAGACGGCTACAATGATGTAGGCCATTCACTTGGGGGTCCGATTTTGGGTTTGGTAGTATTCTGCAATTTGCAGACAGGGATCTCACAAGGAACCAAAGCGCCCTGAGCCATCAAAGCTGTCGCAGAAGGATAGTCCCAGTCCACTTGCTCATTGCCATACATCCGACCCGCAGATTCTGTCCAGTCTTTGGGTAGACCCATCAAACTCCAGATTTTGATTGGGGGAGACATTCTCATGTGGTCTCAAGAACCGGTATTTCGGGCGGCACGACCTGGTTCCTTGCTTGGTAAACCCCAGCGAAAGCTATAGAGTCGCGAGTGGGTTTGTGGCAGGCGGCTTTGGGAGCTGGTTCCGGTTCTGGTGAGCTTCCGAAAGATTTGGGATGATTGGGCTTATGTTTGAAGCGCGTCCCGCCCAGAAAGTCCCAACATCCCTTGCCCGTAACGGTCCCAACATCCCCCCGCCTATGAAAGGGGGGAGGTAATTTCTCATATGATTTTCTTTTGTGGGTACAAGGTAAACAATGGAGTGCTTAGCCCACGTCTTCAGAGAGTGCGGATGCCATGCAGTTGGGCTTCCTGAAACAGCGAAACTGACACTTCGACATGGCGTGGCTTCACCCAAATCCGACGATGGAAATGCGATAGGGAGGGAGGGTCAAATCAGGGGCACTTTTTGTGTGACTGATGCGGTTCCTACCTTAAACAAAAGAAAAAGAAGAGCGCAACACCAGGGCCGCAATGTTTGTTGACGCCCCAAATGTTGTCGGCATTTTCTTTCCGCAGGTCTCGCGTCTTCACGCTGGACGGATCTCCCGTGCTGCTGGGCGACGGGGATGTTTTGGTCATTGGCACCCAGCGCCACGGAGTGCCTAAGATGCCGGAGGCGAGAGAAGCGTCGCTCGGCAGGTCCCTTTGGCCGATACTCAAGCTTCAAGCCAGCTGCCCAAGAAAAAACGGGTTCCAGTCAAGGGGTTCCGATCGCTACTACCAAAGGACAATCTTGTGTGTAGCATCCTGCAGCCCAAGTTAGAACCCGTTGGTTTCCTTTGGTTGCCTTTGGTTGGACCCATTTCCTGGCATGTCCATTTTAATGGGTCACCATTCTGCCTCTTGCGCCAGGCACTTCAAAGCAAATCTATTTGAGCTTGGCTTTTTGGGTGGTTCCCTTAACATATGTTTTTACCCCGACATGGGTCTGTCTCAAGGGCCGCAAGAATGGCAGGTTTCTTTTATTTTTTTGGCATCCATTTAGATATCAACCGAAAGGGGGTCACCAACAAGCAACACGCTCCCAGCCAAAGGGGGTCGATTTTTTGCATACCGAAGCTCTCCATGGATGGGTGTGTTTTGTTTTTATCGAGGCTCGTAGGTGGCAACCTTTCGGTTGTGTTGGTGTTAAAGGAACCACCATGTGGCGGGACATGCCCGAGACTGGTTTGGTTTTGGGGGGGTTCGTCTGGGGTTCCACATCCAGCTTTGACAGATGCCCTGGGGGGTCCCTTCATGTCCGAAGTTTAGTATGTACAACAATACAAGTGCGGCAACTGGGGTTAGTCTCCTTACCATAGTTGCAACATGCCTTCCAGAAGCTGCCTGAAAAATCCGGTCCAGGCAATTACATTCGCAGGAGCCCGGAGCACTACGGCCGTTTGAGTTCAGACTTGAACCTTCGAACGTTCCCCTCGCCAGGTGAGACACAATCACAACTCGGGTAGATGAAATTTAGCAAAGGACAATCCCAACCAAAAAGTGGATGCAGCCGCTTTTTTAACTCCTTACATGGTTCTGGGTAGACCATGTTACCAATGTTGACCCCATATGAATCGACCCCAGTTTATCAAAGTTAGGGGTGTCCCTGGCTTTGGAGGGGAAGACCATTGGAGGGCTATGAACAAACTGGGGTTAAAGTTCGCATGGGGTCAAAGTCACCGGCAGATGGTGTAGGTGGAGGACGGCCGCGTCTCTGTGGCCATCTTCTGGTACCCCGAGAGCGCGCCGGAATCCCTCGGATCGCGCCCCGCGGATGCGGATCCAAGCCGCTCGCTCACGAGTTGAGTGCCGCCGTGATCTTGGCGTTTTTTTTGCCCCGTGGAGCCGTGGAGCCCAGTTTGGTGAGATGAAGCAGCCTGAGGTTAAACGTGGTTTGCTTGGACCTGTGACTTGTTGTTGCATATGTATGTTCTTGTAAGCGAGAAGTTTGGAAGAGGAATATGCCGCACCTTTGTTCATTTGAATATACGTACGCTTGGTGGAACCAGTTTGTGTTTTCTTCAACTCAGCGAACGGTTGAGCGTGTTTTGTGGCAATTATGAATATCCGCCAAGCTTAATGTCATGTACCCTTTGCCTCCGGCTGTGTGAGTACTGTAGGCCTCTTGGGCTTTTCATGTTTAAGGGAATATGGGTGTGTAACAAAATAGGGGACCCCCGATATTGGTGGTTTTCCCTGTAGTTTCCCTTACGAACCAGCCCCAAAAAGGTGGCCTCAAAAAAAACACCCATATGATGGGTCACGAACGCACCATACACCCAGGCGTAGCTCCCACAGTTGTAGGGCTCTTGAGGTTACCACTTCTGTGCCAAGGGAATTCGCTTAGTCATGGGAGGGTACCAACTCCAAGAAGACGAGCCACCCATCAAGTCTGCAGCCTGAGGCTGCGCGATGTGTGGAGCGAAGGAGCAGCTGCAAGAGGCGGAGGATGGCGCCTGGATGAAGTTTGATCCGGGGATAACCAGGTACCCCTCAATCTTCCATTTTCTTAAGACTATTTGTTGATTTTCCTGTGTTGGGTTTAAAGGGAATCTATCACTACTGGATTTTTTCCAGGGGACTTGAGCAAATGGAAGCAAGCGTTGGTTTGGTTTGGATTGGATTTGGATGTGAAGCCCTGGTTGAGATCGGTTCTTAAAAACAGGCAGGCCCTGAAGGAACCCCGAAAAGTGCACCTTCCAACCGGCAACACTTCAGGGAAACGGCGGGTTTTACTCCTTTAATGGTCTTCCTGGTTGTTTCCCAGTTTCTTAGGGGTTGATGTCCGGTTCAACCACTGTTTGCACAAAACGGCTGCCTTCCACAAGTTGTTGGCGGTTTTTCTGGAAAGGATCTCTAGGGAGCGTTAGACACAGAAATTCACATGTGTTGGGGGAGGATTCACATGCTAACACTTCGGCGGACCATTTGAGTGGCACAGAATAAGTTCTGACTTTACTTGGCCAATCCACTCAGGAATTGAGTAGGCGCTTGGCTCCCAAAAAAGGACTACAACTGAAGTGGGTAAACCGAATCATATGATTTGACGCCAGCCACAGCCACGTAGTCATTGGTGCGCGTAAGGGCTGTGCTTTTTGTGGCACATTGGACTGAAAAAGACAAACAAGCGACTGAAGGGTAGGGATGGGTGGCTTGGCTTTTGCAGGTTACCCATTTGTTTGTGCAAAGGAAAACCCAAAGGAACACTTTGTTGGGTCCCCTAAAAGAAGACACACCAGAATAGAGCAGGTTGTTCGGAGCATCGGGGATGTGAGACCAAACAGCTAAGGGAACCCGAGCTCTTGAAGGTGCCTGAGGTGACGCCATCCATCCCTCGCCTGCTTTTTGGTTCCCGTACCAAGGGGATCTTGGACATGGTGGAAAAGCCAAGTTTGGGGGGGGGGGCGGGGGAGGTTGGTGCTGGGTTCTATGTTTGGATGATTCTAAATGTTGAACTCTGGCCAAAACCATTTAGTCGACCTGAATCAATTGAACGCGCACTTCCCTGAACATCGCAGGAACTTCACAATTAGTTGTTATCCACAAAGAGATGCATTTGCCAACTAGCTGGGTTAGGGACATGCATTATATATGCATATATATATATGTCCATCCACACACGCTTTCCGGGAAGAACGTACACAGATCCCAAAGTAGATGGGTGCCTTCTATGGGTTCGTTTGCTCAATTCCTTTGCGATTATGAGTATTTGGAGTGTGCGGATCTCCGATCCGAGGTTCTGCATATTGCCGTGCTTGCTGGCAGCAGTGGCAGGACCGTTCTTTGACAGGGTTGCTGCGATCAATCCTGTGGGCGTCAAATCTCAGAGAGGGCCCAGCAGAATCGACCCCAATAAACATCAATAGGCACCAATCAGGTGCTAGTAGCCCCTATTTTGATTGGGGGAGCTCCAAAATGACTTCTGTCTTCCTTGTAGGTTACGCTCTGAACCAACCTCAAAACGAACACAAGCCCAGGCTTTTTAAGGCTGTACCAAGTGATCAAGTATGGGAATGACCCACATGGCCCAAAATATGAGTATCACAAGCTTCGGGTGATGTTCCATAGGTCATAGGTGTTGTTTTAAGAAACAGCTACTAACAGGGAACTCCTCCAGGACTCCAGACGGGTTTCACACGCACACACACACACACACACACACACACACACGACCCAAGCCTCCAGTGGTGTCCCTTTTGTTTTAATCCATGAGAGGTTTTTTTGTTTGTTTTACAATTTGGTCAAAGAACGGACTTGGACACGACACAGGATGCTTTTGGGTCCCTTGTTAAACAAACCTGGAAAGGGTGCCTTCAAACAAGCACGAGCAAAGAAGGGCCCCCTTGTTTTTCCTAAGGCCACTGGAAGTTGCAACGGAGAAAGCGTCAACTTAGGGAACTAACGAGAAGGTTTGTCACTCTCCAAGGCTCATGGCTCTAGATTTCCTTGGGTTTCCTCGGGTGTAGGATTTGTTCGGAAGGTTTCCAAGGGATTCTGTTTCTTTTTCGGTTTCCTTGGGTTTTCCTAAGAGTTTCCTAGGGTTTCCTCATGTTTTCTCCCATCAACATGAAACCTGACTGGAGGTCTCTTCAGACTATGGTCCATGCTGGTGGGTCACATTGCGTCCTTGTGCTTCCCCTGCTTGGTAGGTTTCAACGTCGGTTGCGGCCGGCAAACCAGCAAACGCCGAAGCTTGTGGAAGTATTGTTGGGTACTCTACCACTCAGAATCATTCGGAGGTAGACCCAACCTCCGCCTTTGTTCCTTGAAAATAAGCTACCAAGAAAGGGGGCCATTCTTTTCCCATGGCCACTGAAGGCCATTCTTTTGAGCTAGGGTTGAACAGTTGCACCCTGGGTTTTGAGGTGTCCGTTGCAGGTAGCTTTTATTGTCCCCGTCATACCCAGGCTGTTCTTGTTGGGCGACAAGCATCACCTGTTGCCAAATTCTATTTACAAAGCTCTGAGTGAAGTAGTGTTTCAATTGCCCACCCCATTCAACGTACTTATCGTCACTGTCCTTGGCATGTTGTGTAGTTATTGTTTGTGTGTGCGTGTCTATTCCAAGTGCCAGAACAATGGTGGCGCGTTGAGATGGTGGACGTCCCGACAGGATGATGCAGAGGAAGCCATGTTGCAAACTGCCCTGGAGCGATCCATGCAAGAGCAGTGATCAAAGTTTTCAACGGGACTCCCAATTCATTGCCCCAAAGTTGGGCAAGCAGGGTGACATCTTCCAGGTCCAAGACAGGAGTTTGAACCTTCAGCTCGATTCTACCTTCAGCTTGTGGACTTGCGGACCAATCAACTTACGGGTCCCTCTCCACTACCGATTTGGTTCTAATCGCTTGCACATTGTCCAATGTGTGCATCGATTTCGGAGCACATTTAGAGGAATTCATGCAGTTGGATACCCAAGCGGTGGCACCTTGCTTCAACTTGCTGATCTTGTTCAACTTAAGTGAGATGGGAAACTCTTCCAAACCTGTCTCAACTTGGGGTGTGGGAAGTCTGAAGTCCTTCGAGGAGGTGGCCAACCAATTGGCCGTTCTTTCTTCAAATGCGAATCCACGAATTGGTCTGGGAGAGGGTCAACGAGTCAACTGCAGATGTGATTGAAGTGTCGTGAAGAGCGCGGAGGACAAAACCACTCAACCGTCGGTTAAAGACCTATCCTGCAGATGAGTAACGGCCTATTCCTGTAAAGGGAATCACATTGGGTACACTCACCAAAGTGCCATGGGGGCTTACTCAGCAAAATGCAATGCCATTGGAGGACACTACATATGTATGCACAGATGTGTATATGCTGTATATAGACCGCGGCGCAGATGGTTTGCATCTTCCTGTCTTGGACCAAATTTTCCGACTCCGTTCCTATCCAGCCAGTGCATTCCAAACTGGGTATTGGATGACCATGTACCCACAAACGCCTCAGGCAAAGAAGTAAAAAGGAGGTGTCCCTTCACTCACCCGTCAGTTCTTCAGCAGTTGATCTTCAAAGCTGATCTTCATGAACTTGTTACTGATCTTCAAAGGGCCAGCTTTTCTTGAGGCGGATCTTTAGTTCTGGCAGTCGGTTTGAAGATTGGACACGGGCCAACCAAGTCTTGGGGCCGAGTTTCTTTGTTTCTTTGACACATCCAATGGCTTGACGAATTCGGTGTGTCCTTCAAGACACCTTCGCGGCATTCGGCTGGATGTTTTTCTGGGGCCAGTTTCAGGCAGGCGCCACGATCTTCGTTCGCTCGGGCTGTTCTCTCCGCTGTTCAGTGGCGTTAAAAGGCGCAAGCACCCAGCCGGGAGCAAAATGTGAGGATATGTTTTGGCAGGTTTTTGGTGAATCCGCATCCCCCCTTAAACATTTGTTGATGAGCAAATGGTTTTTCCATCAAACCTACAACAGGGTAGACCTTTTGCTCAGGGAAGATCAAGCCAGATGTGGGGGCGTCAAACAACACCGCCCCTGTCGTGAAATCTGCCACCTGTTGCCTTCGACAAGGTTTCAAGGGCCCTTCTTTCTTCTTTGGACAACCGCCCTACGTGGTTGTTTTTGTTTTCAGTGGTTGGCTTGACGTTGGTTTTGAGTGGTTGGTTGTTCTGTAGTGGTTTTCAGTGGTTGGTTTGAGCTTCGTTCTGTTTGGAAAACAGCTGTTCCGCTGACAGCAAAGATTTGACGGCAGGAAATGCCAACCGCATACTGCCAAACTTTGATCCGGCCGTTTGCTTCAGCCTGAGTTTGGTCTAGTCGTTACTATGGCATTTCAAAGGGCCGGGCGAATTGTCGTCCTCAAGAAGGATGATGACATCATGCTTGGTGAAAGGTTTCTTTTATAGGCGTTTTTTTCAGAACTCGCTTGCCTATTCAGCTTTTATCATCCAGGAATCATTTCTTGGTAAAGGCCCGAAAGCTTCAAGCATCTTCTAGTCAGTCGCTCGAGTGGTGAACTCAGGTTGGTAGTCTTTAGTGAGCGCCCGGAGAGATTATCGCCTTTCAATGATTTCTCACTTCCCGAGTTTCTGGACTTGATACTTTTGGGGAAGACCATTGTAGGGACCAACAAAAGGCTTTGTTTGGACCATCCACTCGGGAAGTGATATTTTCGCTCCAGCGGCCCATGCGGCTGCAGTGTGAATACATGTATCCCAATATCTTCAAGCAGTGTCTAAACGGGTTCTAATAAACGGGTACCAACTTGAACAGGACAAGCATGTGTTTGGCAGACCCGATTTCGGGTCTCCCATTTGTGATCGAGCCCATTCAACGGGTCACCAACATATTTTGTGATCTAAAATCGTCTATTGTTCGCGGGAATCCTTGTTGGATGATTTCTTGAAGGGGAGACTAAGCGAAAGCCACTCATTCTGCTTTTTCCTTTTGTGCTTTGGGGGGGGGCTCCATATCAAATTGTTCGGGCAACCCCCAACTTTCCGACCTCATCAGTGTTTTTTTTGGTGGGGGGACGCGCAGAGACCCATGGCAAGTTTTTTGTTGTCGGTTGAAACCGCGCAGCTTTCCCGAACATAGCCAAAACAGGGGCAAAAAAGGGCCCGACCAATAAGAAACACAACAACACACCCAGAGCCAGCACCCCGAAGCCTGGCAAATGGCAACAAAACAGCCGTTAGGAGGCAACTTAACAGACCATTCAAAGAGCTGTTAGATCGGCATCATACTCCATCCGGACAGTTCAATTTCTATTAGGTCTTGGGGGGGGCATGATCTCAACCCAAACTGGGGGTTTGAAATCCCAATCCACACTGGGGGTTACGAGTGGCGAAGGGATCGGGATGTGTGGTTTCGGCCCACAAAGCCGTTCACTAGACGCAAGGTTGACTTGACTGGCTTTGCGTCGAAGTAGGGACCCCCCCCCCCAAATGTGTGTGTGTGTGTGTTTTTGTTTGTCGGTTTCACTTGAAAACAATCCCAAAAGGGGTACCCTCGAAAAAGACCCCCCATCTGTGTCCAAGAGATCAGGGCCGTGAGCCTCTTGACCCCAAGCAAGCTTGGCACCAGCATCAACCAAGGACTGACCAATTCGAAGCCAACCGCAAAGTAAGAGGATCCAGGGCAGGACCGTTCAACTTTGCCCACTGCAGCGCCACCAGGGACCCAGGAACATGGAGACCCAAAGCCATCTGATGGATTTTAGACCAAATTGGGGGTGTCTCAAAATGGGGGAACCAAACCCCAAACGCTTTCTGTAGGGATGTGGAGGATCTAAAACATTGTTGACCTTTTGCGGAAATGGGGGGATTTAGGGGATTTGGATACCCAAGGAATTTCTGACGAAGTAGTCATGGTTGACCAGCCACTTTGGTTGAGAGTTCTTGCCCAGGTACCAGGATTTGCGGCCGAATACTTCCAATCCGAGGCTGAGCTGATGTTTGGTCAAAGGCTGAAGTATACGTCCACAAATGACCTCCTGGTATGAACCCTTAGTTTCTGGGTGAATGAACCGGTTGGATATGGCTGGAAAAGCGGGGGAAATCATCCGCCAATGCAGTTGATTTGGAATTGGTTCCGCCCGCTTTCATTGGGGTAGGGCCTAAGCTTAACCATGTCAGGACCCAGAGTCGATGGGTTTGTTGGCGCTCACGTTTGGGCGCAAGCCGCCGGCCTTCGCTTGGCATTTCTTATTTGAGCGGCGATTTTTTTGGCCGCAAGCTAATTTAGTAGGGAGAGGGACATTATCATTGAAAATGTGTGTGCGGCATTGAGCGGCGGTTTTTTTGGCCGCAAGCTAATTTAGTAGGGAGAGGGACATTATCATTGAACATGTGTGTGCGTTACACACGCGCGGAAGCATGCGGAAGCTTTGCGGAAGGGATTTGTTCGCGGAAGGTTTGCGGAAGCTTTGTGGCTGATATGAAATTCAATATTTCAGTGCGTGCATGGAAAAGCACAGAGAAACGATTGCAGTAGAAGCAAAAGGTGTTGCTGCGTACACGAAACAACGCTTACTTGAAGAGCAGTTGCCAACAGCAAGCCAAGAAGACTAAAACAGCCGAGGCATTTCGCTGAAGGTTTGCGGAAGCTACGCGGAAGCTCCGCAGAAGGGTGGCCCCGTGTTTGCAGCCAAGTGACCACGTAGCATGGGTAGCCCAATGGAGCCCAAGCCTACACAGGATACTTGAAATGACTTTCCTTTCTGCGCCAATACTCGCGGAAGCAAATCTCGTAAACCATGCGCCGCGGAAGGTTTACGGAAGCAAACCATGAAAAACACATGTGCCGCGGAAGTTCGCGGCGATCTCCCGCGGGGATGCGGAGTCCGCGGAAGCTTGAAGAATGTCCAAGCAAGTTTGTAGGGAACAAAAGCTTAACGCTCATTTGAGCCGAGAGTCCGAGCTCCCGGGGACCTCAGCAAGTCAGCAGTTGCTTTGTCTTGCCTTTTTGGCTCTCATTCATGGCCATGGAACACACATTTTGGCGCGCACCTAGACCTACTGTTTGTTTTGGACAGTCAATTTAGATGGGTACGGCTCATCGAAATGGGGATGGCCCCTCAAAGATGGTGTAATTGTTGGTTTCGTTGAAACCAATCCAAAAAGTACCCTCGAAGACAGATCCACATCCGCATGTCCCTCAAATCCGCCCGGAAAAGCATCGCCCAGCTGGTTGCCACGTGGATATCTATGAGCTTCCTGGGTGATGCCCAGGTAAATCTACGGGGCCCTGTCGTAGGGGGCTTTCCTTCCCCAGACGAGGGACCGTGGAGGTCTAGAGTGACGCAATTCTGTTTGCAGTTGTCCTGAGCGAATGGAGTTGTTTCCATGTGGGTTTCTCTTGTTGGGACGGTCTGTCCCAAATGTTGACCGCTTAAACGTCCTGCCAACAGGTTAGTATTTGAGCGAGTTTTGGGCCATTGGGCGTGATCTGAGGATGGGCCCACCGCAGACTTCGCAACCTGCATTCCAGCAGAGCCCTTCTTACCAGTCTTACCCGAGCCAGACGCGCAGCAGCAAGGAACCAATCTCTTCTTAGTTGAATGAACATGTTTCAGCAGTTACGTAGCCTATCCGCCGAAAGCAGACATGGGTCCCGGCTCGGGGGATCGCGGAGGTCTGACAGGGTGACGCATTTCTGTTTGCAGTTGTCCTGAGCGAATCGATTCGTTTCGATGTGGGTTTCTCTTTTTGGGACGTTAATTTGTCAACGTTCCAAATGTGAACCGTTTATTATTATGTCCTGTGGGCAGCTGAGGGTTTGTGGGCCATTGGGCGTGATCTGAGGATGGGCACACCCCAGACTTCGCCACCTGCATTCCAGCAGAGCCCTTCTTACCAATCTTACCCGAACCAGAAGCGCGGCAGCAGTCGACCAGTCGGAGTCTTCTTATTTGATTGTATTTCCAGTAGTTACTCTATCCGTCGAAATTCCGAGGGCTCTCAACTCGAGGGATGGTGGAGGCCTGGGGTGATGCAACTCTGCTTGCAGTTGTCCCAAAGCGAATCGAGTCGTTTAGATTTGTGTTGCTCTTGTTGGAACATTGGTTGGTCAGCGTTTCAAATGTTAACCGTTTATTATGTCTTGTGGGCAGGTGAGTGTTTGAGCGAGTTTTGGGCCATTGGACGAAATCTGAGGATGGGCCCACCGCAGACTTCGCAACCTCCCTTCCAGCAGAGCCCTTCTTACCAGTCTTACCCGAACCAGACGCGCGGCAGCAAGGGTTCAGTCTAAGTCTCTTCTTATTTGAATGAACATGTTCCAGCATTTACGCTTTCTATCCGTCGAAAGCAGACATGGGCTTCCAGCTTAAGAATTGGCGGAGGTCTGGGGTGATACAAGCCTGTTCGCAGTTGTCCGGAGCAATTCGAATCGTTTCAATGTGGGTTTCTCTTTGGGACGTTGGTCTGTCAACGTTCCAAATGTTTACCGTTTTTTTTTGTTGTGTGGGCAGGGGAGTGTTTGAGCGAGTGTTTGGGCCATTGGGCGAAATCTGAGGACGGGCCCACCGCAGACTTCGCAACCTGCATTCCAGCAGAGCCCTGCTTACCAGATGCGCGGCAGCAAGAGACCAGTTCAGTCTTATTATTTGACAATTGTTCAGGAATCAGTCTATCAGTCTATCAGGCTATCTGTTGAAATCAGACATGGGTTCCCAACTCGGGATCGCGGAGGTCTGACCCAGCTCTGCTTGCAGTTGTCCAAAGCGAGTCGTTTCGATGTGGGTTCTTTGTTTTGGGGCGTTGATCGGTCCACGTTCCAAATGTTCACCGTTTATTATTATTATTATCATTATTGTGTCCTATGGGCAGGTTAGTGTTTGAGCGTGTTTTGGGCCGTTGTGCGAGATCTGAGGACAGGCCCACAGCAGACTTCACAACCTTCATTCCAGCAGAGCCCTTCTTACCAATCTTACCCGAACCAGAAGCGCGGCAGCAATCGACCAGTCGGACTCTTCTTATTTGATTGTATTTCCAGTAATTAGTCTATCCGTCGAAATTCCGACGTGGGCTCTCAAGTTGTCCTCGGCGAATCGAATCGTTTCGATGTGGGTTTCTCTTGTTGGGACGTTGGTCTGTAAACTTTCCAAATGTGAAGCGCTTATTAGTGTTTGAGCGAGTTTTGGGCCATTGGGCGAGATCTGAGGACGGGCCCACCGCAGACTTCGCAACCTGCATTCCGCCAGACCCCTGCTTACTCGAACCAGACCCGCGGCAACATGGGACCAGTCGAAGTCTTTTGTGTGATCATTCTTCACCAAAGCGTGGATTTCCCACTAAACCCACGGACACCCCACGGACACCCCCTTCTAATAAACTGGGGTTGATTCATATGGGGTCAACATTAGTCGTCTATCCTCTGTTCGGGAGGCACAGGAGGACAAATCCCAAGTGTCCCGTCAAAGCCAAGACAGCGGGAACAACGGCGGCATACCGCAGGAATGGTCAACTTTGCTATCACATCGAAAGCACCTTGCATGGAGCTTGGGCGCCCAAAGTGCTCTGAATGACTCCTGGCGAAGTCGACCAGTGCCAAGCTGCAAAGCAACCCCGTGACAAACAGACTTCAAGCAAAGTCAATCCGGTGGCACCCTTTGGATCTTGGGCTTCCACACAACTGATCAACCTTTCGAGGCTCCTGGGCACCCAATCCTACTCCCAGAGTCGCGGCCGCAATGGTGTTTTTTGTTGGTCCTGTTTGTTTTTTGCTTTAGCACGGAAAGGGGATTTCATTTCTTGGTGGCTCCCAGCCATCCCCTCAGCTTTTTAGCCATTTAGTGTTTAGTAGCAGTCTTCCATTTAACCCGCTAAAAGTTGAAGCCGTTGTTGCTCGAGACCTCCGCGCGGTAACGGCGGGTGGTGCTAACATGAGCATTCCTGTCCCCTGCTCTCCCGCCATGTTGCATTATTGTGCCTTTGTCATTTGTGGATGACTCCTGGCAGATCAGTCCTTGGTCAGGCGTCACCACCTTGACATACTCTTCGCGGTCTACTACCTCCTCGCTGCGAGCCCACCTTGCACTACTTCTTGCTGCCCTGTAGCGCCTTCTGTGTGTGATCAGGTCTGTTTTGCGCCCAATTGCTTGGTGGCTTGCACTGGGGGATTTACATTGCATCACCTTGAGTGACCCGTGTCAACCATTTGCAAACTACCGTGGATGGCAACGGGTGACTGCGTCGTGATTTGTGGCCTACTTTGTGCTCACTCTCTTCGAGCACGTCCTTCTCCGGCACGACGTGGCTCTCGTTCCCCATGCTGGATACTGGGTTGCTGCACACTGGGATTTATGCCTGTCCGCAGACCTAGGTTTCCTACTGTTGCGGTCAGGGATGATCTCCTGCCTGGAAACTGCAAGTTGCCCTTTCAGAATGGCTTTCTTACGAAGAGGCCCCTTCCATTTGTGAGTGTTGCCTCAGCTGGGGCCATGCCAGAGCACATTGCGAAGCTTACTTTTATCTGCACAGCGGATTATGCCATCCATGCTGAGCAGCAGCTTCTCCTTGAGCCTACCTGGCCGCACCTGCAGAATAAGCCAACTGACATTTCGCAGGCAGTCACACGGCCTGCGTCTTCTTTTGTGAGGACCCCCCTTCTTGACTGCGAATTGCAGGAAGCTGGCTCTGTCTTGCTGTCTTTTTGTAAGTATCACCTTTACCGTAAACGCTCCTTTTCGGGCCTTTGACCCTTCCATATGCCTGCTCCTCCTAGGTGAGGAACAGCCATTGTAGTTTGTGCTTCGGCAGTCATCGACCCTGCAAGCCACAGCGCGCGGGGTCGGATTTCGGCTTCTCATTTGCAGCCACACTCGTTCGTGGTTCGTGGCCTGACCACCGGCCACGTTACGACTCATCGTGGTGCGGGGCGCTATAGTTGAACTTTTAGCGGGGGATTTGAGGGCAGCCCAGTTTTGTGAGGTTTTTTTTTAAAGCTCGGAAAGGGGACTTGTTTGAATGGGACGATTCGCGTTTGCGCCATGTTTGGGGTTCCGATTTGGAGACAACCGAGCCCCGTGTTCTGCAAGGAGCCCCCTTGGACACTGAGGATGGGTCCCAGTGGCATGCAGCCATCAGGCTTCCAGCGCCGTGGCTGGAAAGCTTCCTTTCTAAGGGACATTGCGGCGGGTTCCATGTTAGAGGGGTTATCTAATTACATACATACATATATACACACATATAGAGTTCGAACGCGCCGGCTGGCAAGCCCGCGTTTGTGTAAGGAGTTCCAGGAGGCTCCGATTCGCAAGTTACTTAGGCCGTATGAGCTAAGGAGGTTTTTTGGTGTCGCGAGGACAAGATCACTCAGAGCTTGAAATTTCACGAGTTTTCACGGCTTTTTCACGGAGTAGTAACGGCCTTTCAGTTTCCCGCGCGAGTTATTACGGCCGTTAGGCCGAGTTTTCACGGCTTTACGGGGGCCAACGAGCGCAAGTCGCCGAGGACATCTTAGCTCAAAAAGCCAAGGTAAGTTGGGACTCGGAGCCTCCTGGTTATGGGGACCACAGTGGGTTCGGAAGGGCTTTCAGGCGCGCCGCCGACTGCTGCAACATTCTAAGCCACAAAGTGCCGCCGTTCTGCGCCCCAGGTGTTCAAAAACCGTTGCGTGCGAGACCAACGCAAGGGCTTAAAGCGTTTGCACCAAATTAACTTAATTGCGCTAACAAGACCGAAGCCTCTCTGAAAGTTTCCCGCAGGATGGGATCCGCTCAAAGCTTTCAGCCCGGGGCACCGCGCCTTGTCCGGCAGATAAGCAGAGAGTCCTTCACATGGTTGATCCCTGGCCGTAGGGTTCAGCTCCCATTAAAATAATTGTTGACCCAATTTGAAATTTGGATGATGACAATCCTTAGGTAAACAATGGTGGTTATATGAACCCCATTGTGTTTTAATGTGGATTGAAGCTAAACATGGCGTCTACCTTGGAAACAACTGAATGGATCCCTGTGAACCCCCCTATCCCCTGGGTTTGATCGTCTATCTTGGAATCAAACCTGTCAACCCCATCTTGAGACAGAATCGGGCCACTCGCTCCATCAGAGCCCCTGATGTGTGTGTGTGTGTGGTGTGTGTGTGTGTGCGTGTGCGCGTGTGCGCGTGTGCGCGTGTGCGCGTGTGCGTGTGTGTGCGTGTGCGTGTGCGTGTGTGCGTGTTTGTATTGGCCGACGTGATGGCTCAATCAACTTGAACTCTTCACACAACTGCGAAAATCCGACAACGCATGGCCACAACCTGCTTGGTTTGTTGTGAACGTGCAAGTGAGATGGCATCTGAAGTGTCAAACAGAATTGGTTGCGTGCTTACACAAACAGGCGAAGGATTTGTTTGGACTGTTGAACGGAAGTCCAAGAGCATACCTGCGCTCATCACCTTGGAAGCTTTGCAACGCCCGGGAATAGACAAGCCATATATACATATATACATAAAATATGCGCAAATATAATTGCAAAGGTCTTTGGGTTTCACACACCGCCATTTGCTTCTGCTCTTTACATCCAATACTCACTTTCATTTTGGGGGATGTTGGGGTATGATGTCAACCCCCCGATAAAACAGGCTGCATTTAACATGGAACACCGTGTGTTTTCTCTCAATACGTCCTCAAAGCCGGGAATTGGAGGGGGGTGGTCGGGGCAAAAATACGTGTTTCGCACCTCTGTACACATCAGCCCATCGAGTCGCATCGCGAGAACATGCCATGCGTAACACTGCAGCGGAATCATGGAAACTGCCAAGACAGCAAGTCAAACTTAAGCTTGGAGTAGATACTGCTGAGCACCAGCAAATCGAGGAAAACCACAAGCAAACACGCCAAGTAAAACTGCTGGATCTCGACTTTCTCCAGCCGGTTCCTGGAATCCAGCAGTTCCATTTCCGCGCGTTTAGGACCACCCCGCCGACCCCGACCCCACCACTGTTCCCTTCGAGCTCTAGCGACCCCTACGCGATTCTCGGTCTGACATTTTCCGGCGACCTCTTTTTGTGCACCCCTTTTTTGGGGTTAAGCAAAACAGGGGTGTGGTTGTGACTTTTTCAGCTTAGAACCACGGGCCACTTTCTGTGATAATGGAAGCGCAGGAGCAGAAAACCCTTCCGACCGCCCCAGATTCCCACCAATACTAAAGTAAAGGGCAGACAAGAAACCCTACCCATTCACTCTTTTGGCCCCTGCACTTTCTCGATTAAAGGTACCCCCCTGCAGCCCAGACCTCCAGTCGAGTCCTTGTTTTTGCTTGTTTTTTGGTGATGGGTTTCCCTCAAAATCAGCTAAAGCGTCCTTCACAGGGGCCGCTCAATGTCCCCTTGTTGAAGGCAGTTTCAGTGGGGAACCCGCAAGCAAAATTGACCAACTTTTGCGGATTCCAGTGACCCCTGTTGCCCCCATTGCTGCAAACACTTGAGGGATTGGGCTCCACACAACAGTCGTTTTTGTTCCTTTTGGTTTCCCTTTTTGAACCATCCTCGCAGAGGGCACCTCACACACACAAACACACACACGCTCAACTTTAATTTGCGACCCAGGCTACGCTACCCATGTTGACCATAAATGTCTCAACAGATTCCGAAGTGTCTGAGCGTGGTTGGCCACGTCGGAGGGGTGCGTGGCTTCAGGAGTTTCCAAATTAGCTACGATTGATGTTTGTCCAACAATCAATATTAATAACCAGCTATCGCCTCCTTTCGGAGTTTCTGCACTGAACTTTTAAGTTCGTTGCTGTCTTAAACTAAAAGTATTGTCTTGTTTTAACGATCCATCGCGGAAGTGTGACTGTGGTAGAGGGGATGGCCTCAAGCACAACCAATTTACCACTAAGAGAGTAGGTTAACTTGCCACACCATGTTTATGTCAGCCATGGGAACACAATGTATAACATTGATCAGGGGGCCCTAAAAGAAATGAATCGAGGATGGTTTTGCCACCAGAAACCAGCGAGCGCTTGAGTGATTGGCCCTGGCCAGATTGGTTGTCCCCAAGTTGGACCATCCCGTTGGGGATGGTCAGGACACTTCAAAAGGAGACCAGCCAATTTTGGATGGATGGTTTTGGAGGCCTCTTGTTTTTTGATGGATGGCGGAGTCATCATCTTTGGGGAAACACCCCAAGTTCAATTAGGCGTTTGCTTCTTGCCTTGAAGCATCATCGGCCTCCGGAAATCCGGCTGTTGCTAGATGAGTTAGCCCATTTACTTGCTGACCCTGTTTTGGCGCAAATCGTTCGAAGCCCAGTTAGAAGGTACACCTCACTCTGTCACCTCGTTTCTCCCAGCGAGTTAGAAGGTACACCAATAAAACTGTGTCACCCCAGCACAGCGAAATAATCTAATACCCAGCACCGGCCCGGGTTTGGCTGCTTGCTATCAACTGGCAGTAGGGCAGCCATGGATCGGGCACTTTCTCTAGAAAGTCGGTCGCACCCTAGTGGTCCCTTTGTTGAGTTTTCCAGAAAAGGGTCAATTGCCAAAAAGGGCTCGCTTGGGTCACGGGTTGCAACTGTGCCCAAGACCTTTTTTTCGGAGGCTTCCAGGGTCAAAGAATGAAGCGGCTGATGTGAAGAGATCAGTTGGGATTTTGGCGGATGTTATTTGCAGGAATGCTGTGTCAGTAAGGCAAAATTGTGCGGTTAGGTGAACATGTGTTCTGTTTAAACCAAAGCACTACTCAATTTTGCCCTCGCGTAGTAAGCCGTGTTTGCGCTTCCGGAGCGAAGTTAGCAATGGTTGCTGGGGCAGTTGGTGAAATTAGCACAGGAATGGCCCACCTGGGCAGAGCGCGCCGCCACCTAGCTTCCAGCAGCATTCAACTGGCCCACCTGGTTCTATGCCGACCCAGTCTCGCAGCTGCAAACGCTTCGGGCCGCTTGTGTATGATGGCGCTTGTGGAACAAGGTCAGGCAATGGTTGATGGAGCCTTTGGGTTGTCCGCTCAGGATGGGCCCACCCGGGAGTGCGCAGCAGCCTAACTTTCAGTTCTCAACTGGCTCTGGCCCAATGCCGATGATGCGCAGCTGCAAGGAGTTGCCGTCTCGGAACACTGTTTCCCTGACCATCCGCAAGCAACCTCTGCAAGATCGGAAGCTTTCCAGCGAGGGTTCTGAAGTCCGAGTCTGCCCCTGGGCGGCCCGACGCTTTTTTCTTCTTCTTCGCAGTTCCTGCGCAGGGGATAACGCACATAGACAGCCAGGGTCAGTGTGCTTACACACACCAAAGGCCAAGGCAAACAGCCTGCCAGGACGAGGCGCTTTGCGTTTCTGGAAGGCCAGTCATATTTGCTGCTGTGAGTCGTTCGCTCAGGATGGGTCCACCCCCGACTGCGCAGCCACCAAGCTTCCAGCAGTATCCAGCTGGCCCACCTGGTTCTGGTGGTCCACTGCCGAACCAGAAGCGCAGCTACAATTAACCCTCAACGTGCGGCAACTGAAGCCACCCCCCGGAGTGAGGGAGTTTACGAGCCAGGGGTACATCACATGAGGTTCGGTCAAAATAGCAGTATGAATTGTTAATGCTTCTTTGTGGAGGGACTCGAGCTATCTCCCGCAAACGTCTGGGGAGTAGTTGTCCATGTTCTTACTTTATGGTAACAACATGTTTTTACGGTGGCTCACAAACTTGTTCGACTCGAGTCCTTAGCTCGGAAACTGGCAAAGACGCACCTTATGCTTCTTTGTCGTAGGGCAGCTTTCATTTCGAGAAAGGGAGGGAGACGCGGCTTTACGTTGAGCCCCAATCAAGGTTGATGTCCTGTTACCTGAATTTAGTAGCGCCAAAAGAAGTCATTTTAGTTTGGTTCTACTAGCTGGTTTCATATGAGCCGTGCCAAATGTTGACCGTTCACATGGACGAAACGAACAACCTGTGTATTCGTTGGCAGATGTGGTCAACCGAACAGGTGAATTGAGCCATTGGACGCGATCTCAGGATGGGCCCTGCGCAGACTTCGCACCCTGCCTTCCAGCAAACCCCTGCTTACCCGAGCCAGAACCCGAACCAGACGCGCGGCAGCAAGGAACCAGTCTAAGTCTTCTTAGTTGAATATTTCCAGTGATTCATCTATTGTTCGTTTGGGAGGGACACGGAGAAATTACACAATTTTCTGCAAAACCAGTGGACGGACTTCCAATTTGTCCCATCCGCTGATGCGGCCGCTGATGAGAGCCAGCGGCTGTCAATGACCCCCCAATCCCACTTAAGGTCCGCTAATGCCCGGGCACTTGTGACCCAATGTTCCCCCAAACCACAAGGAGATGCGATGGATCATTGTTTCCGGGCAAATAATATCATGGATTGCGTTGTGCGACGCACTTCCCATTCTGTTTTCTTTTCCTTAAGGGGTTCCCATGGAGTTCCCTTATTTCAGGTGAATACCCGGACCTCCTGTTTCCTTTGTCTTGGCATTTTGCTTTCCTCCAAAAACAATGACCGAAGGCCAAGTACCTTTTTCCATTCCACTGCCACTGGAGGCCTGGGTCATGAGCGTCAATCGCTGCCCCAAGTATTGCAAGTACAGAAACCTCAAGCTTGTCGGTACCCAGAGGGTCCCTTGGTACCTTCTGAGGATGGCTTTTTGGGGGGTCAAAAGGGGTCAAGCCTCTGGGATGGAACAAACAGTCAACGAGTTTTGGGCGCTGCCTAATTGTGGACCTCTTTTGGGATGGTTTTGACAAGTGAAACCAGCACAAAAACTCAGCCGGGACCCGTTTGCAGCAGGATCGCTTTTAGCGAACGGAAGTCTACACATGGGCGCTCGGTGAGAGACAAGGCTGAACAGCAAATGATTCCGCATGTGTTTTTTTCACGACAGACAAAATATGGTCTTCCAAAACCGGGGCTGCGCGATTTGAATTGAAGAACTTCCTGGGTGAGCTCCAGTTTTGGGAAGGGTTTTGAAAGGTGATGGTGTTTTCTTCCCCAGAATTAGCTCCCCTTTTTGTTTTTTACTTTTTTGGGGTCCCTTTGTTTTCCACCAACCAGGCAAGAAAGATATGTTGTTGCTGGGGTCCTAATTCCAGCCGAGTTTTTGCAGAGGCTCTGTACCCTCTGCACAAACCTTTGTGCATGGACCCGAGGATGGGTCCACCCGACAGTTTCCAGCCGTTTGCCCAGCGGCACAGCCGCAAGCAGCCGCACGCAGACGGGCTTCCGCGAGACCTGGGTTCTCCTCCAAACAGGTTTTTATTTAGAACATCCGGAGTGAAGCCAATGGAGCATCCATTTGTCTTTTGTTTTTCTGGTTGTGTCCTTGTCGTTCACGGACGTATTGTGCTTGTTGGTTCAAACAGCAGACCGTGTTATTCCTTGAAATGGGGCGCCCCTTGCTGTTCGGATGGCGTCTGTACAAATTGCGACGAGTTCCACCATGTTTAGGGGGCAAGACGCGGGAATTCAGCCATGAAGGTGCCTTTTGATTTCCGGGTTTGTGAAGAAGTAGCAAGTTGCCCCGATGGTGTTCAAAGGCCGAAGAACCCTCCCTGCCCATGCACACCTCAGTTTGGGGACCGCGCAAAAAGCTTCGATGAAGCTAAGCTTGGTTTTCGCGGCTAGCCATGCTCAGGCAATGCCCAGGGGGAAACAGTCAGAAGGCTTGCTGATGAGAATTAATTTTATGGTTTGTTCTTCAAGAAGCCTAGGGTCAAAAAGGGTGCGCCAGTAGAAGCAAGTTTTTAAGACAAAGGAATCCCCTACGTGGGTGTTGGGCCAAGTGTTAGTAGCCCAGGAAATCGCCTGATGACATCTTCCCCTTTTCGGAGGTCACTGGCTACGGTAAATGATGGTGATTACACTAACCTTCTTTGTGTTCATGGTTTGCACCCCAGAAATTCGAGTGGCAAAACATATATTATGTGTTTCTGTTTATTTTTTATTTTTTCTTTTTATGTGAAGCTTTTTTTTGTATTGAAAGCAATGTGAACTGGATCGGTATGTCCATGGTCGCTGGCAAAAACATGGATTGGAGTTTCCTGCAAGTCTCGGATGTTCTCCTTTAAAGCCGACCGACAAAGAGAAATCGCTGGTTTTTTGTTGACCTTTTTTTTTTGGAATGGCCGCTAGGAGCTCCTATGGAAAGATTTGTGACCCTACTTGGATGTGAAGGCGAGTTGGAGTTTCATCGTGCAAATTGGGTCCTTACGATTTTTCAAAAACCATCAGGGCCAGGAGCTGTTTAAAAGGGGAGCCAGACTCGGCTCAGGAGGCCGGACACCGGTCCGGCGAGTCCGGCGCCGCGCGGAAACCCGGTGAGCTTGCAGGACTTGATGTGGTCACATCCCTTTAACTTCCAGAATTCGCTGCCCTTTTTGATTTCTTTTTTGCTTTTTTGGGGGTTCCCATGGGTTCCCTGTGTTTTCCACGAACCAGGCAAAAAATATACATATATATATATATTTTTGCTGGGGTCCTAATTCCAGCCAAGTTAAGTGGTTGCTTGTTGAGAGGTTCTCAAAGCTACTGTTGTTCCCCACCCTCTCCATCCGTCTCTGGGTCCCTTGAAGGTAGCTTAAAGTGAGCTGAGCATGACGCTTTTGGGCTGTTTCCGAGTTTCCCTTGAAACCCCATCTCATCTGGCTCGTAATTTTGAGGAGATCACCTTCATGGGCCCAGGACCCGTCTTTTGGTCCAGCTGCGGGCTTCTTGAAATCCAGCAGCCCTTTGGAGGTTTGGGTTTATGCATGAGAGACCCACGCGAATTGCTGCCAAGTTGATTGCCAGCTTTCTTTTTCGGGGGTTTGAAAACCGCGGGATGAAGGTACTGTACTTGGAGCACGTGAACAGCTCAGTTCCATTGATGAAAAGGTCCACATGCGGGTCTTTCTCAACTCAGGGACTCCACGGGCATTCTGGCCAAGACCATCCCAGTTCGTGCACCCCCCGCCAGTTGGGCGTGAAGGCCAAGGTTTTGCAGAATCAGGTGGATTGTCGTTTTTGGTTTTTTGGACCCGCAACACTTCCTTTGGGTTTCCGTTTAAACACTTTCCCATACTTTCCCTTGCAACCAGCCACAATGCAGGTGTTCCCCTTAAAAGAGACACTCCGGCCCAATGCGTGTTTGAGGGGGCAAGGTAAATGTTCTTCACACACCTCTCCCCAAGTTTCGGACATGCGGCCCAAATTGTCCATAGGCTACTTAATATTCTGACAACAAAAGCTGGCGATTCTGTGTCAATGTCATTATGAAGCTCATACAATGACAATTAGTTTCAACAAGCCTTACAGCTGGGTCTGTCCTCAAAATAGGAAGCTCCTTTCAGATGGTGATTTAGAGGGAACGCAACAGGAAAACGGCCAGTTTGGGGGGGTCCTATTTTGAGACAGATCCAGGCGGGTGCCAATTGGGGAACACTTGCGTGAGACATACGAGCGGCTAAATTTGAACGACACAAACCGGTGGGACTGTATTTTGGCAGAACTTGGCTGACGCAACAATGGGGATTTCTGGGTGTGATTTCGTTTCGCTTTTCCTAGAAAGCCAAACCGAGTCGCGTCGCGCCTTTGGAGAAAGATGAACACCCCTTCTCGAAATACCGACTTTTGTTCTTGGTATATTTTGGAACACACATCGGTTTCCGTCCCCTTTTTCGTGAGTGGTTGATCATACCCTAACGGGGGAAAAGCTTTCAGCCGATGTCAGCCACCTTCGCCGAGTTCTTGCCGGCACCTCAGGATGGGCCAACCAGGTACACCTGTGTCTGGTCCATTTGCGCAGAGCCCTGGCTGAAACTTGAGGCAAAGCCGGATGTCGCCTTTGTTTTCTCCATATTCGCCAAAACCCGTGCAAACAGAGGTGTCCTATTCTGAGGCAGCAATCAAAATTGATTTGCGGCCAGTTTAGAATGGACTTCATGTTTGGCTTAAATGAATCTGCAAGAATCTTTAGGGGCAGGAGAATCGCCCTGAAGTTGGGGCTGTTTCCCAAACATGGAACAAGTTTGCTTGGAAGCTTTAGGAGCTGATGGTTTGAAGGCAACGAAGAGGCAACTAAGCATTTTTGGCCTGCTATGTTGATATGTTGCTTTGTCAATTTCAGATTCCCAATCTGCAAGGTACAACTTGCTGTTGCTTGCCTTTCTCTGGCTCTAGAACATCCGCGTAATTCCTCGCAATTCCCAGGTTTTACACACTTGCAAAGCAAATACGAGAAGCCAGATTTTGTAAGATCAAAGAGGAGACTTCCCGGGACCTCGCTCGGATGAAGATACATTGTGACAGCTCCATTCATGCCAGAATGATTGTAGCTATCCACCCAGCCAAACTGTTTAGAAACACATTGTCACATGTCACCCTAGAGGCAAAGTAAGCTCGGGGGTTGGACTTTTCATCGGATGTCGACAGGGAGTCACGTTCGGTTTGTCGACTCAGGGAAAGCAATGGAAAACCCCCTTTCTGTCAATCGCAGGGAAGAACGGGGTAAATGGTGTCTAAGTACATGCTGAGAAGGTACGTGTACCTGTTGGATTTTTTTTGTGGGTTTCGCCTATTGGTCCTTGTTGCCTTATGGCTGCATTCGTGTCACCAGTATTGAAAATCCACAATGACATGTTCAACAATTGGTTCGCTAAAACGGTATGAAATACACCAGCAAGTCTGCAATGAACTGGCTTCAGTTCCTGGGTTGCCCCGAAAACATGAAGACAACCAACACCGTGTTTAGCACTTCCCAACTCACCAGCAGGGTAAGTCAAAAGAACTCACCAGCCTGACAAGTTGACAAACTCAACAAGGGAGTTCGCAGCATGACTAAAGGAAACCGATGGGATAGGGGCCAAACGATGATGTACAAACCGCAAAGGACAGTACGGCTAATAATTCCATACGAGGGGTCGGCATTTGTCATGTCATGGGAGCTTACCTTGGGTTCACTTGTGAAGCAGATGCTAGGCAGGCAATCGCTGTCTCAAAGATTGGAGTCTAGGAAAATCATGCCGGGGCGAGAAAAAGAGACCCAACGGAAATCCGAAACACGAGCTTGGGATTCAGGTGTCATGCGTGATTGGGGCAAGTAGAGTCCATTATTCTGTGTTTGCAGGTTTCCCAAAAGAACCCATGGGTGGGTGGGGCCCTGAGATGTGCAAAAATGCCTTGGTTTTTGCCCGGGTGGCTTCGCGCCCTTTCTGAAGAGACTTTCGCGAATTTCTTCTCAGCGCCGAGCGCCTGAGGGACCGAGACCGAGCGCCAGGGTCCTGCCTGGGTGCGCAGCTGCTTGGAGTCGATTCGTTGACTTTGGATTTTGAGGTAAGCCTTGGTTCAGGGACTCCCCAGTTGGTGGTAGCAAACCCAGTTGGTGGTAGGTAACCCAGTTGGTGGTAGGAAACCCAGTTGGTGGTAGGTAGTTTAGTTGGTGGTAGGGGTTGGTGGTAGGTAAGCCTTGGCTGTTTTGGATTCGTGGGGATTTGTTTTTCCACTCCCTTTTGAAGCCAAATTTAGCCAAAGCCCCAAGGCACGGTTTTTGATTGAACTCCACTTCCGGTTCAGGTAAGCCTTGGTTCTTGTAATTAGAGGGTCAGTGGGAACCCCCTTTAGTTGGCCAGGTCATTTGGGGATTTGGATTTGAAGCCTTGGTGTGTATAGAGGGTAAATGGGAACCACTCCCAAACCACCAAACCATGAATTGAGTGATTTGAACCTGACAGATTTGAACTCCACTTGTTTGTGAAGCCAAATGGGGAAGGTACTGTGGGATTTTAACATATTACCAGCTAGCAACAGGCTGTGTATTTGCAGGAGAGACTAGGAACCTAATTTTCCTTTTGGGAGCCCTCAGTTCCAAAACGTGCGAGGTGTGCAAGGTCCGTCCAAGGTTCTTTGGCGATGCCCAAACCTCATGCCGGCTCTTCCTGTGCCATTGCTTGTATTTGCAAGTTATCTTGGACTCCTGCCCGGCCCCGAGTGAATGTCTTGCGGTGACTGGAGCGTCCCCTGGGTCCAAGTGTTGCAACCATACCCGAAGTCTTGGGCTCGCGGTTGGAATTGGTTTGGAGGTGTTCCGGGGTGGTTTTCTCCATTTTCCCACGAGGTTCAAACCACCAAGCCTCCAATCCACCTCAATTTCTGGGTAAGTTCGTGGCCCTTTGTGGCTCGGTGGCTCGGACCCGAAGAGTATCTTCCCCCCAGTTGCCCAGTGGTACCCTTTTTGACTCTTTTGAGGGAAGGGTTCCGCTTCCTTCCACCTCAACTAATCATCAAAAGGATGCCCTTGTTCTCCCATGCAATTTCCACTGGGCATTTGAGTCCCCATTTTGCGCACCCAACCAATCCAATTCTACTGAAGGTTGCCTGATTGACTGGAAGGGCGTGCTTGTGGTGAAGAGCCCCAACTGCCACCAAGCAACGGCCCCTTCCCTATGAATGTTGGTTGACAAACCTTTTAATCCATGGCTTCCCTTTTTCTCAGGCGCAGCAGCCGGTCTGGCTCCAGACGCTCCAGGCGCGCTTTTGTGGCAAAAACGCAGTCCTTGGGCCCCTTTTGGAATATCGAGCAAAGGGCCCCCCTTTTAAAGCCACCAAAAAAGGGGTACCCTCAAATAAAGACGCACCCAACCAGGACCACCCAACGACCGTTGTTCTCAATTTTGTGAAAGTGCCGCCAATTTGAAGGCACTTGTGAAAAAATCAATCGGCAGCACTTCAGGTCTATCAACCACCAGTTTGGAGACCATTCTCAGTCCATTCATGGCAGCTGAGTCTGGTAAGCATTTTCCAAGCTCAGCGGCCAAAAGAACTGTCCGCACCACTGTGAGCCTGAATTTGGACAAAAATACTGGCAAAGGCTTCTGAAATTCTTTAGCGGAAAGCAGCATGGGACAACGCGGGACGACACGGGGCAATACGCAGGCAACACAGGGCAACACGCAAGCGACACGAGGCGAAGCGAGCACGACGCAGGGCGGCGCGCGCGCGCGCGACGCTGGCCGACACGGGGCGACACGTAAGCGACATGCAAGCGACACGCAAGCGACACGCAAGCGACACGCAGGCGACACGCAAGCGACACGCAGGCGACACGCAGGCGACACGCAAGCGACACGCAAGCGACACGCTTTCGCAGCCGAAGTGATGCTTTGGCTTAAATAATTTCATGCCTTGGGGCCCCAAAGCAGAACTTTTACACTGCGTGACACAGGGCGACACGCAAGCGACACGCAGGCGACACGCAGGCGACACGCAAGCGACACGCAAGCGGCACGGGCGACACGCAAGCGACACCGGGCGACACGCAAGCGACACGGGGCGACGCGCAGGCGACACGCAAGCGACACCCCATTGACACGGAGCAAAACGCAAGCGACGCGAGGCGACGCGTAAGCGACGCGCAGGCCGAGCAAACGACCTGCAAGTGACATGTTCGTGACGAGCGATGGAGATTTGCATGGCTGTTTGCTGTAAGGGTCATTAGCAGGTTTTGTGCTGGTGTTGGCGCACAGCCCCTGCTCTCGTAGATCCGTCCGATTTTACGGGAAATTGCGGAAATTCAGCAAAGCATCACTGTGTGGCATCACTTAGCCAAAAAGTGTCGTTGTTTGTGTTTTACCCCTAAGTCACGCCAATTTGGCAGTGCTGGAAATGGTATACTTTTCTTCAGTGTCTTTTGGCTATGAAGGTCTCTTCGGGACTTCAAACATCAGGTAAACTAGTAAATGCAGATATCGAGGTCAACCCTTCAAGAAGTTCGTCTATTCGCTACCTGGTTGAGTAGGGATTTGCTAGCCTTTGACTCTTGGCTTTATAGCTATCTAGAACCTGTTTGCTGAGGCTTTGGGCGTTCAACATGTTTTTTTTTTTTGGGGGGGGGGGGGGCGGGGGCGGGGTTCGGTCATTCTTAGCATGGCATTCACTTCCTGCTTTTCTGGATTCTGGACTGTGTTCGGAACATTATCTTAGTGATAAACAGTGATAAACACACAGCTTGGACGTTTGGATTTTTTCTCGGCAAATCCACAGCCATCAGGATGTCTTCCTAACATGTTTTTTTAAATCTATTTTTTCCCCCTGAGGGCACCCTTTGGTTGGGTGGGTGTTTGGTTGCACAACCATGGGCTTCGAACCGGTCCAAGTTCTCGCGGGTTGGGAGAGACTGGCCCAGGATCATTTACTACGAGGGCCAGTACCCGGGCACCGCACGCTCTGGCCCGCCCTCCGCCGGGCCCCAGTCGACGGTCCCAGCGGCGGTCCCGGCGCCGGTCCCGGCGCCGGTGCCGGCGCCGGTGCCGGCGAGCATGCCGACGCCGAAGCCTGATTGCGATTGGGTGAAAACTCACGGTTGGATCTTTGGACGTCAACTTTTCCGAATTGAACCCACAAGAGGTGTTTATAGCTTTTGCAGAGGGGTCAACAGCAACCAAGTCCTTTTCTGGGAAGTGCGAAGCTGTAAAACTCTAAGCAATGCAACACCATAAAAGCACGGGTGGTTTGCAACAGAGAAACGAGCCCCTCTGCAACATTAATGTTCGCATCAGGGACTAGGCATGAACCAGAATCTGATCACTTTCACAGTGTACCTTAAACTTGAGCCGAGTGGCGCCCCACGCTTCTGTGTGCCTCCAAGCCGTTTGTCATTTGTGTTTGGTGGGTTTTCCTTATTGACATAGCAGCTCGCCAGATCCGGAAAGCCGGACCTTGGCTTCTTCGGTTTTATCTTGTCTCAGGTTTGCTGAAATTGTGTTTTCCGACGGGTTATCCCAAGAACCTCAAGTCTCCACCCTGAGAAGATGGGGCCAGGCTCCTCAATGAATGATATACCCCGTTTTTTAAGGCTGCGACTCCCGGTACGGTGTTTCAACAGTGTCTCCAAACAAGTCGAGCTAGGCCGGCTTGCTTGTACTTTGACCCCTGCGTGGCAGTCCACAAGTGGGTGTGGTCCTCGCTTTAGGTGGCTCTAAACGGGACCACTCAATGTGTGTTGTTCCCGTGCCTTCGCTTTTGCGATGGCCTCAAAACGGCTACCCTCAACTGCGCAATGTCGACCGCTTGACCTTTCGGTTTCCGATGTTTGGTTTGGTTTTAGTCGTGGCCCCCAAAAGTGATCGGCTTTTATTTCTGGCTCTTTTGGGCAACTGAGAAAGGCAGACCCACCACCCAAGACCAGCCAACTCCGACCGAGGACACGCCGAGAGAGCAGGGAGGAGAGGCAGAATCGGTTGGGGGTTGGTGGTTTGGACTGGTTTGAATCACCGCTGGTTCGTTTCAGATGGCAAATGGGATTTTTTTTGTTTTTCTCCGCGGGTACTTGGATTGATTTGAATGAGACCCCCTGGCTCATTGTAGAGGGTTAATGGAAAACCCTCGGAACACCTTGGAACCACCAAATCCAAATCACAAATTGGAGGGAAGCGTATCAGCATTAGTCAGTTTGCCGACCCATCCATTTGTTCTATAAAAGGACAATCCTGATGGGTATGTGTCAAAATCGGGATGCTTGTCTTTGTCGGTTCCCTTTAAACCAAGGTAAAACGGGGTCACCACCAAGTACGTCCCCTTGTTTTAGGTGTTGGTTGTGTTGTGAACAAAAGCGAACAGAAGCATACACTCAATGCACAATGAATATTAATTGTATTGTATGTTAGCAGTATATTTTGCATTGGGCAAACGAAATGGATTATGCAGAATGATATTTATTGCTTCGAAGTCGAAGTTTCCAAACACTTCAGACAAATACGTATCTTGAACGATGGACTTGTGTTTTGGCGAAACGACGATATATACAAACAAATCATATGAAACTACAAACCTCTTCAGACTGCTGAAAAGAGAAACTATATATCTTTGAAGTTCGACAGTCGAAGATAAAAAAAAAAGAAGAAGTGCGATCATCAAAACGCTGAAAAAAACAGCGTTATGCAAACAGATGTGGTATGAGAAGAAATGTTTAACAAACATTTAAAAAATAAACCTCACGCTCAATCTCTTTTTGCTCTTAGAAATAATATGAAAATATCAAGCTTTGTTGGGGTTGCCCACAAACTCCAAGGAGGCTCGGGGTCCATTTGCAGGGCATAAGCAAATCCTGGGAGGCCAGCAGATGCCAAGGCGCACTGAGATCACACTCCGGGTCTTCAAATCCCCAAACCAGTTGGGACAAACCTGTAAGGGCCGACGTGTGATTTTTGGGTTCTACTTTTTGGGGTCTAAGCACGGGCTCTTTGACGTGAGCCATGGGTTCTTTCATTTTTGAGGGCACCCGTAAGGGTAACACCTGTTCCCTTCGATCTTGGGGGGATGGTGCTGCACTCCTTCGGGAGCTTCACAGCCATACGTCTAGGGGGTGATTCCGTTTCCATTCTTTTTAGTTATCGTTCTTTTCAAGAAGCAGCCATTTCCAAAGGGGTTTTTCGGTTTTCTAGAAAGAAGGATCCCTGGAAAGAATGGGGAAGCGACCCCTATAATTTTGTCGTTCTAAAGGAGCCATGTAAAGATGTCGGATCTGTTGGCAAACGGGAGTCCTCGGTGTTCGATCTTTGGCGTACTCGACCTCCGGGCAGCCTATGCTATGACCCCGAAAAATCGGCTCAAGTTTCAGTTGAGGTCCCTTCACTCCCCCGAAAGGCACGTGGAATGGTCTGAAGCCAAACCTTACACCACCATTCCTTGTGGTTTCTGGATGTGGTTGGGTGTCTTCCCTGTTGGAATGGATCTCAGTTGGTCTTTGGAGGCTGTGGCAGGTCTTTCGTTCCTTTGAAGCACCTTCTGTGGAGCTTGTTTTGTTGGCAAGCTTGCCAACGGCACCCTGGGTTTCAATCCTTCTGGTCCGCTCGACGGGGATGCAAGGCACTTGCACCAAGGAATTTGCGGTTTTGCAGCAGCATGTGGACTCTGCAAGCGCCTGCAAATGAGCATCCCCAAGCGTAGAACTGGCCCGGTTGGCTTTCCCATTGGTTTCCGCGCCCTTGGTTTGTTGTCTTATTTCTTTGGTGAGGTTCCCTTTTCAAATCTGTTCAACCAACAATTAAAAAGGCTTTTTATTGAAAGCCAGTCGAAGGAAGTCCCGGACTTATCCCAGCAAACTTTGGAACTGTTCTTTGTTGTTTTCGTTTAGTGGGAGCCAAAATACTTGGGATTTGAACCAGGGACAGCAATCTTCTCGGATTTCGCGAAGGGCTCAGTTTCGGCCCGCGCAAATATGTGCGCGTGTGTAGTACAAGGGGGGAAAGGAACTAATAAATTATAGTTGTTTGTTCCTGCAATCATAATTCAATTTGGTTGTTCAGCACTCCCAAACCCAGCTGCATGAATTTAGGCAGCGACACCCTATGTGCTTTTCGTTTCGTAGGTCCCCACTAAACACGGGATCAAACCCAAAACAATTCTCTTTATCCACCAGGGTCACCGTGCAGCTGGTAGCTGAGGATGTGCAAACCCCGGACCCAAGTTGCGAACCTGCCAACCCCTAGTTACTTCTGTAAGGCAGAGTTTCACAAAAGGTTCCGTTCCCAATACATCTCTGGGATCTTGGCTTTCCCCGCAAGTGTGGGGAGGTTCTATTTTACAGCCCCTCCTGGTATGAAATTTCCCTCATCCTCGCCCCAAAACATGGAAGCAGCTCCAATGGGGTGCCAGTTGACCTGGTTGCGGGTCATATGTTTTGCATGATTTCGGGTTGTTCAGACAATGGCTCGGGGCTAAATACCCCAACAAAAGCTGGGCAATTCGTCCAACTTGGCCAGACCAAACATGTGTTTTTGTTCAGTACCCCCTTCCATCGAGCCCCTTCATAATTAGACGCTCCCTGGACCTTAGGACCCCCTCTGAAGAATCCTCATGCAACAGGCAAAGCCGGCGGCTGCGCCGAAGCCGAGGCAATGGGAGCTCAATTCAGCAAGTAGTTTGTAATCATGGCTATGAGTGGGGCAACCGGGGGTTGCCCCCGCATAGCCCATGGTTATAAGCTACTAAGAACAAGCTGTTTCCGGCCAATCATTTGAGCAGGTCAGTTGTTGATGCATGAAGCACTAAGTTGGTCGCTTCGAAAAGGAGAGTCCGGAACCCAAACAAGATGGATTCCTGGCTTCTACATGGAAAGCGGTGTACTTGTCCGGGGCTTGGGGCTCAAAGAATGGTCCCTTAACCAGGATGCATCCGCCAATGTTAGAGCGAGCTGACCGATTCGGGGGTATAACGAGCACACCATGATAAAGGTCCTTTTCTTGGGGATCGACTAAAATTCAGCTTTTGGAATTATAGTAACATTTGCAGATGTATAGTTGATGAATTAATTAACTGCCTGGGGACAATCCTGTTGGCATGGAGCGCCCTATGGATTATGGATGGGACAAACCTACACACCTGGTGTAAGACTTTGCCCATCCACAGTATAAGGCACATTCAGCAGTTGGGTTCTCTGTGTTTCTCTCAAAATGGGGGCAGACCAACTTTGTTAGAGAACGGACCCCCAACAATGCAAATCTCAAAGCACAAAATCCACATGACCTTATGTGTTGAATTACATTGATGTCAGCTCTTCTGGTGTGTCATGCTTTTGGAATCTTGGTCCGCGCGTCAGGAGTGGCTGAAAGAAATGACCAGGTGTTGACCCAAGTTTAGTTGCGCTGACAACCACCATGCGCCGACACCTTCACTGCAATCCCGGGATTTGGTGCGAGACTGGATGCGGGGGAACACGTTCCATGAGGTTGGGGCATGCATCAGAGCAAGAAAACCCTTCAACAATAAGTTGTGCACCAACTTCCTGGTTCTCAGCAGGGAATGAACATGTTGTTTTCTGAACTGTTTGGATCCTTAAAAGGAAGCCACAAGGGATGGTTTGTCATCCCTTCCCCAAGAACCAGCAAGACAAAGTGTACCGACAAAAGTCCGCGGCATTCGATTGATTTCCCGCTCGACTCTCTCGGTTTGATCCACATTGGTCGCAGTAGACTCAGCAGGCGCTGCAGATTGGACACAAGGAACCTCAAAGAAGCCTTTCTTGCTCTTGACTCCTAGATTCCGCGAGGGTGCCGTTTTTGGCGGGTGCCCTTTTTTGGTTGGCTTAAAGGAAGCCAAAAAGAATGCCCCTAGTTTCAGAAATGTTGGGGGGGCTTGATGTCGGATCTCCACCAAGCCCCGAAAAACGTCGGCGACATGGCGTGTCTGAATGGAGGGGTTCTATGAATCATGGATCACAAGTGAAACCTGGCAAGCCTTCCCAAACAAACGTGTAACGAATTAGTTCAAAGGGGCGGAAACTGCTACAAGTTGTGGCTTCCCCGCCCCCCCCAAAAAATATATAATAATAAACAAAATAAATAAATCACATAAAATGTATAAGCGCGGCAGGTGGACATCCATTCGGTCGACGACAAAGTAGCGGTCGACGAAACAAAAACAGGACGGGCCTTTTTCTCAGTTTCATGAAATTGATGTGTAACAAGGGGCTCTGATGATTTCCACTGAGCGGTGGGGATATGTTGGCTCCCATGCTGACACTTGGACAGCTATGCAGCTTTTTTCGGCAGGCACGAGCTCTTGTGGCAGCCTGATGCCTCTGGGCAAATGCAGCTTGCAGAGCATTGGATCTCGAATTCGTATTGGGTCAAAATACCTTCTTTTCTCGTTGGCATCACATTATGTGTGGGGCTTAGTTTAGCTTGGGAGCGACTAGACTTCAAACAACATTGGCCAAACCGATTCGCCAAAATACATGATTTCTGAAGAGAAGGATGGGTGAGGAGAATTCTCTTAGAAAGATGGGTGGCCTTGAGACGGCGGGTTCTTTCCTGTGATGACTTGTGAAGAGAAGGATGATGGGTGATGGGTGATAGTGATGGGTGATAGTGATGGGTGATAGTGATGGGTGAGGGGTTAGGCGAATTCAGAATTCCCAAGCTAGCCCCCTGGGCGCCCTGAACCACGAGACCGCCGGCCCGGCTCGGGGCTAGCCTGTTATTCGTTGAGAAGTGGCCAGGCACTTGAGTGGAGCTGGAGGGTGGACGAGATCCACGTGTGTGTGTGTTTGTTTGTGTTTGTTTGTTTGTTTGTTTGTTTGTGCGTGTGTGTGTGTGTGTGTGTGTGTGTGTGTGTGTGTGTGTGTGTGTGTGTGTGTTTGTTTTGAGGTTGCCCCTGTTGGGCGTTGTTGGGGGGGAGGGCTCGTCCGTGATGAAGGTATGTGACGAGATCCGGACCAGGGGTGGTATTCTGTTGAGTCTGACATTGCCGAGCCCAAACCTGTTTTTGGACCTGCAAACCACAATCCGCAACATGTCGAATGGATGGTGAGGTTGGAAGGCCCACAGACCCTATGCCAGGATTGACATGGGTTACATCCACAGGTTGGTAGCATCGTTGTTTCCCTAACCCTTTCATCTTGGCCTGAACAGAATCAGTCCGCCATTTTCCGGGAAAGGCTTGAAACCATGGCAATTACTGCAGTTTCGGCTTCTGGCCTCGTTTCAATTCCCATGGTTTCCCTTTGTGGATCAAAGGAACGGAATGTGATAGATTGTGATAGATTCCTGGGTGAGGATGCATCCGACCAAGGCAGCTGATCGAAGCCACTTGGCCTGTCACTAGTTGCAGCGTCTTTGGTTAGATATTCAGTCTTCAGCTTTTTGGGAAGGAGTGGATTTTCCGAATTGGGCCCACAAAAAGTAGAATGTTTTGCAGAGGGGTCAACAGCAACCAAGCTGAATTTGGGGTTATGGGGTTTGCTGTTTGTGGGGGTTATCCTTAGTTTGTGAGTTCCTGGGCTTTTCTGCGATTGTTCGAGGCGACCATTGTAGTGCGAAACAAACAGTTTGGACTCCACTTAAGAGTATCAAAGGCTTCAAGTGGCGCTGTTGCCCTTTCACCTACCACTGGGGAGTGAATTTGTTTTTTGTAAAACGCCAGTACATTCCAACGATCCCGATTGCGGTTTGGGGTTTCATGTGACATGCTCAGAAGATCCCCATCCACACTGCAGAAATCGAACTAGGGCAGGGGGGCGACCCCTGAAATTCCTTCGCAGTTTCAGACCGACCCCCCACAACCACACTCCCCCCCCAAAAGGTTCGGGGCATATGAGTGAGTGGGGATTGTCAGGAATTCTTCTAGCTTTGGAATCATGTTGTAGCCTGTGACAGATGTTCACAACTCACGCTCACTTCCAAACCAAACCCACTCGCTCCAGCTCAGGCCACGTTGCCCCGCGGCTGCATGCAGTGCCGCGAACCATGGTTTAAAAGCTGCTAACCAACCAATCTTGTTTCTGTTGGGTCCTTTTTTTGTTTCCCATGAAATTCAACCAACAAAAAGGCGGGACCGAATTTGATTCTCCCCACCGGAGGTCTGAGAAGTGGTTTCCCGGAAGCATTTTGCTGGCTCGCCCACAGATTTTCAGCACCAAAAAGACAGTTCCCTTTTGTTGCCACGCCCCTTGGATCCTTCATGAAAGGCGAGTTGGATCTGAGCAAGGTTCCAGTTGTCGATGACCGATAGTCTTAAACACCCTGGTGAGTAATTCCCCTCAAATGGGAACTCATGAGGTTAAGTCTACCAGGGTAACGTCTTTTGTTGGTTGGTACTTCAAATGTCTGTGTGTGTGTTGTTTCTTCTTCTAAAACCCAAGTCTGTTTTGTTTGTGTGTGTGTACAAGATGGACCCAAAAGCGTTGTTTTGCCTTAGTCGACTCCCAATCCCCAACAGGCTACCGACTCAACAAACGCCCAATGGGTCTGTCGTGTTTTTTTTTCATTTTTCCGAGGGCTCCCTTCTTGGGGTGATTCTACCGGAAAACCAGAATCTGAAGGACACCAGCCATTCTGCGGGTCCCCTCAAAGGACCCTGGCCCGAGCGCATCCCAGGATTCGCCGCATGGAGGAGAAGTGGGGATTGAGCTTGAAGCCCTTCGATGAGCCCTGCTCAGGCGAGGTGGGGATTTCTGTGGGCAGAGAGGCGTTGAGACGAAGGTTCTGGCACTAAAAGAACGGGGAAAGAACGGGGAAAGGGGTTCTAGGGGTTGATTCCAACGATTCTTGGCAATCATCGTTTTCAAGCACCAGCCGTTTCCGGTCCCGGAGGTTTTCTAGAAAGAAGGATCCCCGGAAAGAATGAAGAAAGGCATCCCTAAGGTATCATGAAGGGCCCCTTCCTTGTGTGAACTCATGTGGAGGGGGGCCTTAGCAGATGGCGAAGCTCGCAAAAGGCACGCTGAGTCGTGCAGTTTGTGTCGCCCCTACACATCCCGTAGGCTTAGGTGGACTTGGTCAGTTCGGAAGACTCAGGTTGGGATATTTTGGCAAGAGCCCCTGTGATTGAATGCGGGTCAGGGAGGTGGGAGAGTTTCCTGGCGGGAGGGTCAGTTCGAGCACTTCTATCAGCTCATAAAGCGAACATCTTGATGTGTACAGCTTGATGAACAAGCGCTAGCAGATTGGGCTATATTTCGGTGAAATATACTGGGAGGCGGTATGGGGCCAAAGTTGTCTGTTTTCTGAAAACCCGAGCCAATGCGAGTCGCTCATCTATTGCGCTGACGCTGCCATTCCCTTGAAGAAGTGGCCCGAAGCAGGGGCCTGTCTTCGTTCGATTTCATCTTAGTCAGTGCCATGATGCTCAATTGACTCATCATAGCTGGACTCTTCATTGGAGGAGTCGGTATGGGCATTCACAGGGAAACCACACCATTTAGTGGATTCCATTCGGCAAACCATGCACCCCATTGCACAGATTTGAGTCGTTTGGAGGGTACCCTGTTTAGGGAAACCACACAGAAGACCGGAATTTTGGGGGTACCCTGCCCACCAACTAACATGGAAGTGCAAAAAGGCCCTGTCCAAGAGGAAGGTAGTCTTTCTACAGGGGTCTGTGCACTTCCAGGTTAGCTGGTGGAAGGGTAGCCCTATTTCTCGACTCAGACCAGAAGGGTTTCGTCTCGCATCTCACCTCGTGAGGCTTCCGCATCGCGCGCCTCGACTGGAGATCAATGAATGCATGTCTGACGGCCGGCAGCTTTCTTTGTTCCATGGGGTTCCTCAAAATCCCCCGTTTTGCTTGAGTAATGGAACCTCACAAACAATCCAGCTGGTGGTTGCCTTTAAGAGAATCCCTGGTTCATTCCCTCATTCCCTGCCTATGGCACCAGCAAATTTTGGACCTGCATCATTGCAAGCCTCCGGCAAATTGCAACTAAGGGGAAATCCAGTGCACCCTAAATCCCTGATTCGGCGTTTTTTTTTTTTTTGGCTACCCTACTTAAAACGTTGCCAGTTTGGAGTGCGCGGTATTTCACGTCAATCGTCGCCAAGGAGCTCTAAATTCTCCTTCTGGGATCTCTTGCAATATACACAGTTTCAAGTTAACAAAAACAAAACGGGCCAGAACAACTTTGGTTGGGGTGGAAGTTTCAAGGAAGTCAAGGGGTGAGCTTTTCGCATCCACCCCATGTACGGTGAGTTTACTTTAGGATCTTTTGGGAGTCTTTGCCTTAGCTTAGTGGTTTTGTTGGCAGGTTCTGTTTAGTTTTCAGCGGTTTTTGCAACGAAGCCCTAGTTTTGTTGAGGGTTCCCATGATGCCCTTCAGCTTGTCCAAACTTGACTACAACATACTACACTTGACCCTTTGGATAAAGAAGACTCGGGAGACTGCAAGTGGAGAAGAGGGCTTTTTCAGAGGCTGGTAGTCTCCCAAAGCTTTGTTCCCACTTGGCTCATTTTTGGAAAGAGGGTGATCATGTTGCTAGAAGTCCTGCCCCTTGGCTCATTCTTGATGGCTTCCCTTCAAAGTCGTTGCCAACCCAGAAGAAGTGGGCACTTTCTGCCTGGAAATCCAGTCTTTTGAGAAACTGGGGAGATGCTCATAGCTATGAAATCAAATAGGGACCCCCCTCGAAAGTGATTGGTGGACTCCCCACCTGAAATATGTCCACCAAATGGCCCCTTAAGATTCATGCCCAGCTCTTCCCCCGAATCCGCCCCGGTCTGGTGCTCCAGTTCTCCGCGCGCTTTGGTCTCGCTGAGGGGAATCACCGAAGGCAGCCCGGCGAGCCGATGGAATGAGGACCAGATCCTGCCACTCGACCCAGATCGATTCCGGAGCGATGCAAAAGGAGCGATGCAAAACCCATGTAGGTCCTTTAGTCGGCGATTCATATATATGTTCCCGTCGCCCGTCGTCCCCAGCCCCCCCCCCCCCCCAATGGTATGGGTCTATCCAGGAACGGGGGACCCTGGCCCCCCCCGCCCCCCACAGGGGGGGGGCTTGTGGGGCGGCTTGCTCCAGTGCGCGCGCGACGTTGTGGGCGCGTTTGCGGCGCTGTTCGTGTGATGCGCTGCAATGCGATTTGCTCATTTTGCAGCACGCGACAAGTTGCAGCGCTGTCGCAATTGACAGTGCGCGATGCCACGACGCAGTTTGTGGTTTGCAGCGCCACAACCAAGTGCCAACCAAGTGCGCTGCAACACGTCAGAGTTTGCCCGCAAATTGTGGCCAGGTCAGGTTTCGAAAGGCTTTGGACATGACAAGCCCCCCCAAAAAACACCGACCACAGACTTGCCTCTCGAAAAAGATGCTCAGACAGAGCCTAGTTCCTTTTGCTTCAGAATATGTTATACTGATATACTCTCCCCTTTTGGGTGTGAAGGGAAGCTGCCACTACTGGTAGTATTAATATGTTATTTCTTGTCCAGGGGACTTAAGCAAATAGATGACTAAAAACTGGGCTTGCCCATCGGTGGTTTTGGTGGCTCCGGGCTGGTGGAATTTGAAAGAAACAGGGATGTGATGCTGAAGATCTTTCTGGGCAAATGACATCGATATCTACTGCTAAAAATGGATCGGGTTTGCGATGACGATGGTTCCTTTTACAATTGGAGCATGTTGGACTCCCTATGTCCGGCTGAAGTGTTACAAGCATTCTACCTGGGCTCCAAGCTACCCTCAATCATAGGACATCACTTCACTTGAGGCAATCTTCCAGGTAGATCTTTGGGCGAATCAAGTGGGGCCTGTGGTGTTGGAGGCCAGGCGTTGCATTCCAGCTGTGTTGCCTGAGGCCGCAGTACACCATTCAGCCACTCGGCTTGCTTTATTGCATGTATCTCGGATGTTTTTTCAGTGATCTTCAGTGAACTATGGTGTTTGCCAAGGTTGTGTTTCTCAGGTTTTTTATTGGCGAAACTCCTTCGGTAAATGTTCCCTAAAAGCGATACCTGAGTACTATGAACTGTGTCATGAGAGGACAGATGGCTGATGGCAGAAGCCACCCACCCACAGCTCCCTGAGGGCGCACGACGAGCTCATCGCAGTCAATGGCACCTTGGTTGGCGCGTATTTTCCGGATTCTGCGGGGACAAACCAGCGAATTTCTGGCTAGAAATGAGCTCGGTGCAAACCTATTGTTTTGTGACAAATGGGATTCGCATCTATGCACTGCCGGAAATGGCCATTGAGCAAGTGAGCAGATGCCTCACTCACTCGCCAGTGATGCATGATAATATGTAATTCTGCCGTATGGTCAGTTGGTGCATCATGCAGATTGTGCAGATGGTGTATTTTTTCGCGTGGAAATCTGACACGAGGGAGTTATATTGAGGCACGCAACCAATAAGACTTCTAACTATAAACTATTGTAAGCTTTAGGAGGTTGCTGCTGTGTTTCTTGCTTGTCCTTCCATTTTCTCAAGACAAGTGGTTGTTTGTTTTCCCCAGTTGGTGTTTAAAGGGCACCTATTGCTGGTTGCTTTTCCAGGGAACTTAGGCACATGAAGGCTTACTGTGGCACTAAAATGGCCAACGAGGGTTGCTTCTCTAAGCCTTTTGGGTCACTGGGCTTGGTTTGGTTTTTTAGGTGTTCCGAGCAGCGACAGGAATGGTTGACTCAACCATGTCAGTGTGTCATTTTTGAGGGTACACCTTTTGGAGTTGTTTTTGTTTTCTTCATTTTTTTCGGGAATCCCAAAGGCACACTCATTTTGGAGTTCCCCGAACGAAAGACGCCCGGATATTGCTGCTGAGGGTGAATCTCCAAGAGTCTCTCGTGAGTTTGTAAAAAAAACAACTGTGTGTACTCATCGGGGGTCCCACGCTCTTTAGGTCATGGACTCCCGAACAAAAGCACGCTGACAACCATTGAAGGGTACTACGAACGGAACTATAACCATGACCCATATTTTCGCTTTTGCCAGTCACACAAGTGGACAGCGGGTTTTTCCATAGGACTACTGGGGATGCTGGCAAATGAGTAATACACTTTCACTTCTGTGAGATCTGTGATCCCTCAGGGGTGCAAGGCCGGCACGTTCAGGTTACGTCCTTGTGCCGTCAGGAACCCATACCCAGTTACGGGCGCCAAATGCCAACAACTGTGCAACGGACAGAATAACTGCTAATCTATGATGTGTTGGTTTGGGAAGTCACGGGGGCCTTCCCAAATCCCCCAAACACAAAGCCCACCGAATGAATTGTCTGATGTCGCCTTGGGTATGTTTCAATAGAAGGGCCTTTCAACAACTTTCCTTTTCATGCTCGTTGCCGGGACCGTTCCCAAAAGAGTTCCTGCTTTGTACACACAGCCAAACCCCAAAGTCCAATTCTAAGTCGGCCACGTTGGATTCACTGCCCCCGTTCTCCCCTATACGCCCTAGTTGGCAGGGTTCCACTACCTGGTTAGGTCGGGGTCATAGTAATAGCAAGTATAAGAATGATAATAGTAACTGGCAAGCCCTTAAACCACATTGACCTCGGCTCATGGGCATTGATCGGGACCCATGTGTTTCTAAGGTCCACATCAATTCGGGTCCTGAGTCCTGAATTGGAATTCACACGCATGGTTTGTCTCGAATGGGATCAAGTTGCATCCTGTTTCCCTTGAAAATCAACTCCAAACAGGGGACCCTGAACAAAAAGACGCATCCAAATTCCCGGTTATTCCATTGCCTTGTATACTGCCCCACCCCTGCCGCCAAAACTTCATATTGAACTCGGCTTCGCACCCTTTGGTTGCCCCAACCTGAGGCGAGGAGCTGACGCAGGTGAACAAAGACCAGCTCCTGAAGCAGCCGCTGACGGCGCCTCACCCGAGTTGGAGCTGAAATGTTCACTTCTTCGGAGCGTAGTGATTTGTGTCTTTTCTTGGACCCAGAGGCTCCTGGGGCTTTCAATCGACGCCCCTCCAAAAAGACACCCCGGAGGCTCAAAACCTAGGGCCCTAAATACATCGGGAGCCTCTGAAAGTTGGTCCCTCTTTTCTTTTCTTTTTAAAAATAATAATAAGGGAAGTCAAAGGACAATCAACATGTTTTGTCTTCCCTTTCAAAGGACGCACCCTTGTGGGGCACAAAGCGTTTGGACGTGTGTCGGGCAAGTCTGAACTTTGAGTTCCGCAGTGTCGCCCTTTTCATGTTCTGAGAATCAGCGCGAGGAAAATGGCCAGCGTATGCTAACGTCTAAGTTCCCCCAGAGATATTTGATTTGTTCCCCCATTATTTGGTCCCCCATGTTATTCATCAGGATAGTTATGTTCCCCCATGTTCCCCCCTATTTGGGACATCAGGGAAGACTTGGGGACCCCCCGCTCAACCCCTGGGTCAAAGAATGGAACTGGGGAGTGTGACTCCACCGGAAGAATTCCGAGGACTCCGAGTGGCCAAGTTCCCTGGGGGGCGGCTTCCTCCCATCAGAACCCCTTGCTCAGAACCCGAAGGTTCCTTGAGCTTTTAACTGGAATGGGCCTTTCGCGAGCCATGAGCATGAAAGAAACAATCTTGACCCACAAAATGGAGGATCAATCGTATGATCCTTTTTTGACTTTGGAAGATAAGCCAAAGCATCTCTAAGCCCGCGCAAACAAACGAAAGATCCCAAGAGAATCTTTGATTCAAAGCCATCTCTATCCCACAAACTTTGGAAGTCTTCAAACTAAATCATCAAACAAACAAAAGATCGACTGGAACGACCCCACCCGCCGAAAAACGCTGGCTGGCAGTGCCCAAATGGCCCCGCGAGGTGGTGATTCTTCTGGCCCGGGAGCGCTGAAGCCGCTGTCGCTTGAACGAAAAAAGGACGGGGCGTAGGTCCAAAACGGAGAAAAGGTGTTGTATGTCGGGGCCAAAATTCATCTCTTGCAATCATGACGTTAGATTACTTAGGTGTGAAAGTACCCCCCCACAACCCCAGTCTAAGACTTGTTGATCACGAAAAGACACCCATGATTCAAGGCTCTGGTTTTGCTTTGCAACTTGCCCAAGTAGCTCTTACCTGGACCTTCAAACTACCCTTAAAGGCTTAGGCACTCACCTCACAACTTTGGGCCGATCTTCCAAGATTCCAGGTACATTTTGGGGCTCCCCCTAGCTCCTTCTCGTCCAGACCAATAGCCTGTCTGGGTCTTGGTGAGTTTCGGTTCGTCGCTAGGCGAGAGGGTCGTTTTGAAATCAGTCTCTCGGAGTCGGTCCATTGGAAACCTTTGCATTAAGGGGGCGGATCTGGTTGGGCCGCAGGTGTTCCAGAAATCAACGCACGAAGCCCCAGAGCCCATTTTTGTGGTACCTGGCATTGATATTTGGGGGCCTGGGGGGTTATCAACCTGGATAAGTATGGCAGAACGCGGGAATGGGTTTCGGGCGCTGCTTACTGAGCTTTAAGAAGACCCAATTCACACCAATCCAAGCCAAGAGTTATGGGGTGAAGACTGGGGAAGGGCGGCGAAGGGCTAGAGTTGCTCGGCGTTCCGCCCTTTGATAATTCCCAGAAGCTGACCTTCTTGCGGTTTTTGCCTTCTTGGGTTTTCCGCCACCTTTCTTTTCAAGCAGCCAAAAGGCCGAACATTTCGCGGGGTGTCCAAGTTTGATCAAGATGTGGTTGACACCATTGTTGGGGTTGTTTCAAAGGGAGCCCCAAATCAAAATCACGGGGCGCACACCCCGGAGCAAAGCTGGGCGCTAAGTAGTCTGTTTTTTAGTGCCAAAAGCAGTCTGCCTCATGACAGTCTCATTCCCTGAATTCCTGGACTTGTCATGGTTGTTGTTGGGAAACATTTTACATTTTGGCTTGTGGATTAGTTGTTGAACTCCAACCACTCAACTGCTAAAATTTGAGATTGGTTGCTTGTATTTGTGTTTCTCCCCTTCCAACGTCAAGCCAGTTATTCTGCTTTGGAAGACAGATTAGTGGCAAGCAATCACTTTGGACTTGTTCCGGCCCATCCACGGACAGACCATATATTCCTTGGGGAAAGACGTGCTTGTTATTGGGGTTCCAGGGTTACACCAGGCTGTCCACCTCGATTCTACTCCAAGTATATACAGAAACATCTGAATGACGATGCGCCACATAAGGGTGTGTGTCCTTTTCGGGATGGTTGATTCAAAGGGAAACGGACAGGAACACCAACATCCATGTTTGGGGTTCCTTTATTTTGACGCATACCCATATAAGAACGTTGGTTTAGTTGTTCAACAAAAACATTTGTTTTTTTTGACACGAGCTGGTAGAGGGCGTTTTTGGAACATGGAAGTGCTAACATACCCTAAGACAGCACCCAGCCGTCAGGAGTTTTGTAGCAGTTTGTCAGTTTTCTGGCGAGCTCACCTGGAGACAACATCAGCTCACCCAGGAAGGTCAATTTCAATTTTCTTGCAAAAGGCAGACTAGTGACGTACAGGGCAAGTACTTCGACTGGCGGGCTCGGTGGAGTGGGGTCTGGCAAAGCTTGTTGAATCCCTTCGCCTCAAAGGGCTAATTAGCAAGTAGTCATTCCTTGCGAAGGATAGTGGGACCTGTTGAATATCACAACCAGCTGAGTAGAAAGTTTGTGAATCAGGTGGGTTGGATGTATTGGGAGAACCCTAGCGGCCACCTTTGCCCCCAAAGCCGTCTGAGGCGCTTTCGGTCAGCGCGCGAGAGCTCGCTCGCTGAGAAAACTGGAACGCGAGATGCGGAAGGGTCGGCCTGCTCGGCTTCAGTTTTGTAAGCCGTAGAAAACATGTACATCATGAGTTGCTCGGTCACCGACTTACTGTTGGTAGAGGACTGGGAGACCAACGTCCTCACACAAGCCTTCAAACTGCTTGGGATTGAAAATCTGTGCTCCAAAAGACACCCGGCCAGGGGAGCCAATGATCTACCTGGCAGTGGAGGCGCATTCAACGAGTGAAGCATTGTGAGTTGGCAAAGCTACAGCTGTTTTGGAAGTGGGCGCACCCCCACCGCAAGTCAGGAAAGCTATGGAAGGAAACTTCTTGGAAAGGATTTCTGATGGGTTCTGAGAACCTTCTTCTGCTTGGAGGGGGACCTCAAGAATCAGCCATGTACTCAGCCTCTCGAAAAAGTAGAGAGATACTTGTATTTACAGTGGACGAGCTGTCAGATGTGTTGATGGATTGGTTTTTCAGCACCTTTGGCAAAGGCTCGAAGCAATTTGAGCTTTTGTCAGGTTCAATTGGAAGCTCTTTGGTGTGACGGGACCGGCCCCCAGAGTTCCAATTGCACCCCTATTTGAATCATCACTTCTTCAAACATCATGGGGGCAGGTGCCCCCCCGCCCCAACTCCCCCCGCTACTCCTCCGCTACTTTTTAAATACGACATTTTATGTACTCTGTGTATGTCTGTATGTATGAACTTTTTCAGGGGACGCCACCCCCGCCAACCTCTTGAAGCATTCACCCCTAGTTGAATCATCACTTTTTCGAACATCATGGGGGGGCGGCCGGCAGCCCCCCCAACCCCCCTGCTGCTTTTTAGAGTTTGTACAGAGATGTGATTGCACCCCTATTTGAATCATCACTTCTTCAAACATCATGGGGGAGGCTGCCGCCCCCCCCAACCCCCCTGCTACTTTTTGATTTTTTGCAGGGATTGAAATGCTCTCCTATTTGAATCATTATTTTTTCGAACCCGCCAACTACTTTTTGGACTTGTTTACCCACGTTTTGTTGGTGATGCTGGGGATGTTGGTTGGACATGCGGGGGATGTTGAAAACAATGTTGACGGGCAACCAAAATCAATCCGCACCCTACATCATTTAGCCCTTTGTATTGGAGATACATCTCTGGGTTGCTTAACGCCGGGTTGGTTACGTTTTTTCCACTGCTAGAACTCAGACAATTTGGTGGTTTGGGGATTTGAACCTCCGGTCCTTGTAGACGAATGGGAAACCGACAACTATGTGTCCACTTGGCACAAAAAGAAGTCTGCCAACTTGGGCAACCAGACTGGGGGTTGGACCCCAGATAGGGCAGTTCTGCAATGTGGGATCTCTTGGCTCACTTTAGGAGAGCTTTCGGTGTCCGGTCAACTTCCCAAGGTGAGCTAGTTTTGATTCGCGGGGCGACAACCAAAAAAATATTCGACCAGGGCGTGGCCTTCTTTCTGCTGGCGATTTTCATCGATGTGGCTGTGCACAGGCTCCGGGCCAGGGCCGTTGCATGGCCAAGATCTGGAGTGAGTGGTACCCCTTTGAGCAAGCCTGAAAACGGCAGGAAAGGCCCCAAGTCACCCCTTCTTCCCCCAACGTTTCCTAGGCCAGTGAGGGTTGAATGTTTGAGGAAGGGGAGGGAGGCAATCAGAACAATGTTGGGGACAAGGGAACTCAGCACCCATCAAAAGTTTCCCTTGTGTTTGGAACCCGTTGAAAATGGAATCGCACCCCTCCCCACACAAGCGGCTTCTCCCTTGTTTTTTAGCCCTCACTGCACCGCAGGGGGTGCCTGTCGCAAGTTGTGTCACGGTAGTTTGCAAGCGACAGGTACTGGGCACCTTGTGCCAATATTTTAATGAAGGCTGCACCAACATTGTAGGTCAGCTTGGCCTAGAGATCGACGGATTCCACAGCGTCACCGGCTTCAATTTGGTTCGAGATTCTTAAAAGTGAGTGGAATCCACCTGTTTTCCACGACATGGAGCAGAAACGCCCACTCCGCCCTCTCGTGAGCTTACGGCCCCATGCCCCAAGCGCCTTTTCGTCTCACTCGGCAGTCCCTGGCTGAGCCGGCAGCTGGATGCCAGCAGCTGGGCGCAGCGGGTGACCCGCTGGAAGGTGTGCGCGGGGAGCGCGACTTGACTTGGGACTCCTAGGAACATCCTCCTGAGTTCATGAACTTGAAACTTTTTGGGAAGACCATTTTAGTGGTAAATATAAAGTTTGAACTTTTTTTGGGCCATCCACTCAGCAAGTGAGGTAAGGGGATCCCCTTGCCGTCCCCAGTTGCCCAGTGGCGCCCTGTTTCCCCTTTTTTGGGAAGGGTTCCCCTTTAAAGTCAACCCACCAAAAAAGGATGTCCTTTGTATTCCCATGGCCACTGCGCAGCTGAGTGTCAATTCCAAACATGCCGAAGTGGATTTCCTGAGCGAACCAGCAAGAAAGGGAAAGGCGGGGAATCTCACATCAGTAACAATCAAAACCCGGATAAGTGAAGGTTAGTAAGGAAAAGTCCCAGCCAGAATTCGTTGCGGACACCTTTCTAGTTTTTTGTTGTTGTTGTTTTTTGTTGTTTAAAACATTGGTTTGGGCACGCCATTCTAACACCAGGTTTTGAGTGTGCCTCACTTGGTGGTGTTTAGCCGTTTTTAGTTGGGGTAGCTTCCCGTGAGCCGCGAACAATCAAGCTGTTGAAGGGGATCTATACATCACTAAAATGGACAAATGTTGGATTCGTTGGACGTTGGGATATATTGCTTTTGGAGCCCAGGGGACTTTAAGCAAGAGACAGGCTATGGTTGGCCATTTACCCCCTGACTTTTTTGGCAAGCAACCGAGCAGCATGACCCTTTGAGGGTTGATTTAAAGGGAAACCAAAGGGGAATCAAGCATTTTGAGACGAATGTGACGCCAGACTGAGGCAACCAGCCAACAGCACACCATATCAAATTTTATTGCCACAAATGACTGGCCTGTTCGCCGTCTTGCCCGTTCGCACTGTTGCCTTTTTCGTCAGCAACAAGTCAACTTGCTGCTGGGTCGAAGTTTGTCCAAGTCGAAGGATGACCCATTGCCAGGTGTTCCATTGTGTTACTCTTCGAGATTCTTCGAAGAGACCCTGAGTCAGGTCCGATGAATATTTTTACAGCTTTACGAAGTTTTATGCTGTAAGGGGGTGTTTTTAGATTTTGTTTTTCTTCTTTTGGTTTCAAGCAGCCACCATCTTCTTCACATGTGCCTTCTTTGGGTTACGGTTTCGAAGGGGCAGCAAAAGGAGAACAGCAACAATCTTGGCTCCAGCCCATTCCCTGGCTTCTTCATGTATAGGTAATAGGGGGGGTCCCAAATTGTGGCTTCCTCGTGGTCCCTTTCAAGCTAGCCGAAAAATGACCCCTCAAAAAGACACCCCCCCCATTGTTGTGGGTGGGCAAATGGAATAGTAAACCACAGGGTTTTTCGGAATGAACCTGAGGGCTGCTTTGGTTGCACACTATGTTGCATTTCTCAAAGCTATGGGAATTGAGCAACTCCGCCCCCCTCAATTGGCTTCACTGTTCTTGGCATGTGTTTGTTTTTTGGTTCTGTTCATTTTTACTGGGGGTCTGCAAAAAACAACGATTTTAGATACCATACCAAGAGTAGAGATGTTGATCTTCCGCTTTTGAGACACGCCCGGCCACCACCTTCGCCGCCGCCGGCCGCGCTCGCACTTGGCTCGTGAGTGATTTGTTGGCTGGCCAGGCGCGCGGCAGCGACGACCCGGCGAGGCTGAGCCCGCTGATCAGCGGCAGCGTGTTGGAAGGAGCTACAGCTGAGAAGATGTTCGGATCCAGGGTTGTGGGATCAATGGGGATTATCCGCAGTTCCGTGATACAAGGGAATCTCCCCCTTTGTATTGGGGTTACAGTAGTCTTTGGGAAGCCTATCACAGAAGTGGTCATTTCCCACAGCCCTGTTCGGATCCATTTGCTGAAATGAATACCCCCCACCAAATAACATGTATCCTGACAGCGGGTTCCTGGAAGACCATCTTCCTGTCAGGTTCCATGTTAATTGGTGGGAGGGTACTTATTTGGCTCGAACATGGAATCCCCAAAATGGCCCCTTGGTAAATGGAAACAACGACCAACACCTGCGTAACCCTGACTCTTTGATTTTGAGCCACATGAATACTTTCTATTTCCCTTTGTTGGTTTGAAAGGAAATATATCACTAGTGCTTGCTTTGTCGAGTCTGCCTAATTAAGAAAATGGTTTTTATTTTTTATTTTTGCGGTCTCCAGAACTGTTTCATTTGGGTAGACTAAATATGGAACAGCGTGAGAAACTAGGTTTCCTGTGTACTGTTCTGGGCAAACGAGGACAATGAGGTCACCAGTGGGCTGGCACGAGCTCACATGACAGCCCCTGAACCGGCTCGTATCCTGGTTGCCTACGCGAGGGACCCATACCAGCAAGCCTCTTGGGCGACTGAGACGCGGAGTCCCAGGACCCAAGTCACGGAGGCTCCATGCAACCTTTAGAGTTGCTCCTGGTCAACTTGATTTGAAGGACGCGGCATTCAAGGGAACGATTTGTCCAAGACGGTCGGCTTTGATATTGACACCCACTGTCCCGCAAGCGGGCTTTGAGTCGGTGAGACCTCCGGATTTTTTTTTGAGGCCCCTGTGCCCCATGCCCCATATAAAATAAAGCCGGGGCCACTTTTTGTCCTAGGCTCCTTTTTCAACCCAGCGCTGCCGTTGTTGACCCATTCTAGTCGTGCTTTACGTGCTCCCTTGATCGATACTCCTAACCTGAACCTCCTTCAAAGGGTGCCTCCCTTCCCCCATGAAAACCCAGAGGCCGCCCGCGAATGTTGCGCGTTGCGCCGCGAGGAGACGACAGCGTTTGGGCGGAGCGCGAGCGTGCGCAGATGGCCACAAAAGAGGACGGAGGTCTTGGTGGCAGCATCAATAACGGCGTCCCCAAAAAGGGTGGTTTGAAACATCACTGAATCACCTTTTTGGCCATTTAAAGTGAGACTCCCTTAGTAGGGGGTGATGCTGATAGGTGGAAATATAGGGGATCCCTAAATTGAACTATGGTCTTTCTCCATTCGAGGTTACCCCTAAACCACTCTCCAAACCAAAGATCGATCCCAGGGGAAAACTTATTTTGGGGACCCTCTACACAGTGGCTAGTGGTTGCACATCTCATTTTCTTCCAGGTGATTTGAGGTTGAAATGGTGTTTGGCTTTTGGACGTTTCTCAAAATGGGGTTGTCTTCGCGAGGCTTTTTGGTTTCCTTTCGGCTTCTCACTGAAACAATGCGTAACTCAAAGGAGGCTATGGGCAAACGTAAAAGGAGGCGCCACTGGAAAGAAGCTTGTAAGGGGCACAAGATCCCTTTGACCGAAGCAGGCACCCATTCGGGGAGCAGACGCGGGTTGCTTAGTTGACTTCCCATTTGGGGGGCATGATCCTAAATGTCCCCTTAGGCCCTGGGGTTCCCCAAAAACGGCGCTGGTCTTCCGTCAACCTCTTGCACGGTGCCGTCCCTGATTGGCTGAGCAGAATCTAGTATTCTGGGCCATAGGTGTCCTTTGTGGGTGGTTTGGTCGAAAAATAGATGGTTCTGGTTTCCCTGGTGGTTCAATCATCTACCAGGGCGCCATCTATTTGCCCCAAAAGGACACCTATTTTCTGGGCACGCACCTTGACTTCTTTGTTGGTGGCGTTCCGGGCCAAGCATCCAACGCTGACTCGTGCGCGCTCCTCCTATTTAGGCCTGCACATTTGCCTCACGCACGAGGCCGATTTTTCCATCCCTGCGGCCAGAGCGGGCTTCAATCCCAGCATGCAGAGGGTTTTGGTTTACCTTAGCTTGTCTCCTCCCTTGAATGTGGGTAAGGCCAAAGCAAGTCAAAGCAGACCAAAGGCCAAGGCCCTAACCCCTTCCGGGGTCTTTGAATCTCTTCGGGGGCTGGAAAGGTTTGCTTCGTCAAATCACCAAGCTGCAAAAAACAAACACGCGTTAATTCTTCTCCTTTTTGGATTCCAAGGGGATGTTTTCGAGAATCCGAACACGGCTCCGTGTTTTTTTTTCCCGGCTGAGGGATGGACGTGCAACGCTTCCCGAGCGCGAGGACCTGGCGCTCCACGTCTGGGACCTCGAGAAGGTCTACCGCCGCTGCTGCCGCGCATCCAAGCGAGCAGTTCGAGGCCCCTGGGCCCCGGTTTGGCAAGTGGGGCACAAGTGGGAGATGGCTGTGGTGGTCAAAACCGTTTTGGGATCTCATTTTGGGGTAGGTGAATTCACCACCCATTTTAGTCCAAATTCGGAAAAAAATCTTACCGAACCTGCAAACTGTCGTTAACACACACAAAACCAAACAAAACACGTACTTGCACAAGATGATGAAGACGAATCAATGCACGTACTTGGGGGGGCTGTTTCAGGGAAACGAACAGAAAAACCACTGTCCATGGCCCGTAACCCCCTGTGAACATCCCAATCCCCACTAAAACTTCCAAATCAAGCTGTTGTTGGTAAGTGTCTAGTTCATTCTAGTAAGGGTCTATAGAGCTTGACTTCTGGGCACGGCGTGCAGTCAGCCGTAAGTGAGGCTACTGTCGTCGGGCCAAGCCACTCACGCCAACCATTGGTTCATCAGAACTCTGGCTGCGCGTTCTTGTGGATCGGGGACCCTCGATTTGGGTGTGGGTCAATATTAAACCACCAGGGGACCGCATATTTAACTCCATGTTTCCATTTACCAGGGTTCCATTTTGAGCATGACCCACAGCCATTTCACAAAGACTCCAAGGAGTCTTAAGACGCATGTTCGAGTTTCTTTGCCACGCACTTCGTCCTTCGCCACCTTCGAGAGCTTTGGCTCAAACGGTCCGGGAGCGGCACAACCGAACCAAGGCGCAGGAGAAGGGCGCTTTTTATCACGGCTTTTCGGCCACTGCCAAATGGCCAGGGCTGAATGAAGCTGAGGTGCTCAAGAAGGTCCTAGTTGTTGTGCTGATAGGGTGGTAATTGCAGACTTGCACTGCGTCGGTCAAAAGTGAGCTTTGGGTTCTAAAAATCCACCTTTGTAGGTTTTCCCTGCCTTTAAACCTCAGCTGTTGAGGGATATCCATCAGTCGAACTGTCAGCAACATCTCCCGAGAGAACAACTCAGCGCTGAAATCGACCATGAGCGAACGCCGATCTCCTCGCCGGAGCCCAAGTTGGGCAGTCCCTGTCAGGTTCCATGTTCATTGGTGGGAGGGTACCATTTTCGGGTGTGACAACAGTATACCAAGTCATGGTTTTTGACAACTGCCTTTGGCAGTTGCCAACTGTGCTTTTGTTTAAAGGGTGTGACATTTGTCGCACTTGATCCGCCATGTTTCAAAGTTTCTCAAGGTAGCTTTAGTGTTGTACACCAATTTGGCCCTGGAAGACAAACATCAAAAGGCGATGGTTCTTTAGTTACGACCTCACTGGTGCCATTCTTGCCAAAGGGAAAAGGCAGGAACAGCTTCCGCAATCTGTCGCGGCTCGCATTTTGAAAAGGGAGCCACCTTTCGAAGGTCCATCCCCATCTAGAGGGGACATGTCACGTGTGTTTGCAACATGTGAAAGAGCCCAATGCCCGGTTTCATTTACCTCTGTGCCAACTGGAGAAATCGGCCCGGATCCACGCCCTCCGCATTGCCGAGGTCGGGTGAGGCTCTCCAAAGCGAAGCCGGGACCTCGCGGAAACGGGCGCCGTACGGCCAAGGCCCAGTTGGTTTGACTAGGTACCCCAGCAATTGGTGCCCTTCTCTACCATTTCTTCTTGTGGTTGGGAGGGTTCCCCTACGAAAATAGACTACAGGAAAAAAGGGTACCCTTGTTCGAACCTCTCTACTGGAGGACCTAGTTAAGGGTATGAGTCTAACCAGTGACGTAAGGAGGAACCATGTACCATGCCACGGAAAACATGGCTTTGCAAGGCATACGGCGACGACGGTGATTTACATAATAATATTTATAATATAGGTAATATTGGGGCCGGGCCAGGGCGATAGGGAGGTGTGTAAAGCATTTGTTGAAATCGGATATTTGACGTGGCTGGCCGGGCCACCCTCACAGGCCCTGGAGGTATGAACTATGTGTTTTCGTCGGATCCTTCCGGATTCCGAACGCAGGATGCCAGTCCAGCCCCAGCCCTCCAGTCCTGCAGTCTCCATTCCCAGATCCAAAGCCAAAAGCCTCCAAGCCCTTCAGCCTTCCAGAGCTTCGGGCTTGCCCTCCAGCCCTCCAGCCCTCCAGCCCTCCAGCCCTCCAGCCCTCCAGCCCTCCAGCCCCGCCCTGGAGACCTTCAGCCCAGCTCTGCAGCCCTCCAGTGCCCGACTGCCTTTGGGGGGGGTCCAAGGTTCGGTGGATGCCCATTGCAAGCAAACCAAGCAGCAATCCATGGTGAAGTGGGATAAAATGGCAAAGTACAGAGTTGTGTTGTTTTCCAGTTGCAGATGGGCCGGAATTGGCATTCGCCAACAAGACACAGGGCTTGGAATCGCTTTGGGCGGTGCCTTCTCGCCAAAAGCCTATCTGAGGCTGACAGAGCCCGAGAGGCGCCGTGCGATGACATGCTTGGCCCATACACACATGTTAGTTCCACACCTGTGGAACTAGCTTGGTTTCGAACCCTGAAACTGCCCTTTTTGGGGCTGGTTTTAAGTGAGACACACCCATACGCCCAATCCACGCTCCAAGTCTTGCGAAGTTGCCAAGAGCTCACACTTCCTATGGCTGATTTTTGGTGGGTGTGACCGAATCGCCCCGTTTCGGACCTTTTGGAAGCAACTTCGGCTCCGAATGAAACCTATGGATCTGAGTTTGATCGACCTTTTGCAGGGTCCAACCTTTTGGCTTCCCATTCGGTTTTTGGGAGCCACTTGAAAGCTGCAACCGGTCGAAATCGCCATTCCGAAGCCAATTGGTGACCCGCCGATAAGCCGAGTGACGAGAAGTTGCAAGCGATTTGGGGCGCTGGGCTTTGCTTCCAGACCCCAACGGGGCGATTGTTAGGAGACAAGTGCTATTCTGAAGGGAGACAAACAGTTCCACTACCGGACTTGGATTTGAATTCTTTGCCAATTTCGTTTTTTTTGGTTCAGTTTCGCCTTCAACCAGCAGAACATCTACGTTTTCCCGGGGGTCGGATCAGTCTGGCCAAGTGTCTGGGAATCTGAGTCCTTGGATGGGGCCCGAACCAGGCAACAGAGGTTTCTCCATGGGCAGTTCGGTGTACGCCATGCGAAGGAAGTCCATCCGAGCGCCGATTTGTTTTTTCTTTTCGGCCGCAGGCAGTTTCTGCTCCAATGCCTGGGCGACGAGGCAGGTCTCCCATGGGGGTTGTCTCAAAGCCTTGCGATCGGTGCGACAGGGGTCGGAATGTGGGAATGGACCTTTTTTTGGGGGTCCCCGAAGAAAGGAAACAGCGGTTGGATGGTTCATAAGCTTCATTCCGTTTCTCATTCCCTGCCTATCGCACCAGCAAGAAGATGGTCCAAAAGAATGGGGGCAAAACGGTGTTCCTTTTCCCTTGATGCCCCAAGGCAAGCCCCAGATGGTTGGAAGCGGGGTGAGGGCCCCGCATAACTTTTTTCAAGGGAACCCACTAGGTGATGAAGTAGTCATGGTTGGATGGCCCATTTTGGTATCGCAGAATGGGTCGTTTCCAGAACCCTGGAGGTTCTTGAGGTTGCAGATCATTCACCCAGCTCCCATTTGAGGAGCCGACCAATAAGTTTGGTAGTCTACTTTTTGATTGGGCAGGTGGGGGGCGGACCCAATTGTTCCATCAAATCAAGGCACGCTCAAACTGCATACCTTTGGCTGTGGCTCATGTCATGTTCTCATTTGAAGCCGACCTATGCAGTCGGTTTCTCCTTGGGACATCCCAATTACTCCAAGCACAACATAGTTTCCCACATGTTTTCCTTTCTGGGGTAGACTTAGGATACATTTTACATTTTACCAGTGACTCCATGTGAAGCAACCAATCAAATATACATTCAATAACTGGGCCTAACTCTCATCATGTTGGTATACATGGAGTGGGGCATAGTCATGCCCTTCACAAGGCAGGAGTTGATGTATTTCGACCCTTTGGTTACAAAATTGATCTAGCAAAGACACGAAAGCTCCCGTGTTGCAAGGGTAGATGGACATGGTTCATGGTGATGAGTTATGGCCGGCATGTCGGGGATTCTTCATCAACGCCGAACTATCAAAAGGAAGACTTGGCTCCTTAGCAGCTAATGTTGATTTCCTGAGTCATGTGCGTTGGCTTGAGATAGGAAACCTTCATGTTCGTTGTTGGAGGACTCACTTGTCCAAAGCCGACCTTTTGGTTTCCTGAATTGGTCCAGTTTTTGTCATGGCCCCAATTAAAACGGCCTTTGGGCAACTGAGAGGAGCAATATGAGATGTCGTCGTTACTCACGTGCACGGCTTGCTCCCTATCAACCGGACGTACTTGATTTGCCTAGGGATGGTGATCGATCCTGTAAAAATGTTAGATGTCGAAAGGATTCCCATACAGCATAACAACAGTTTTGCAAGATGCTTGACCAGTAGTTGTTGACCATGCTCAAACTGCTGTTAAGTCACTCGAGGTTGATGTTTTATGTTTCTCCTCTTAGCTTGAGACATGGTCACGATTGGTGGGTGCATCTCAAGATAGGGGAACCCCAAAAATGGTTGGTTTCCGTTCGGTGTCCCCTTAAAGCCATGACAAAGGGGGACCAACACCAAGAAAAGGACAGATCCAGCTAGCTCCTGAAGCAACTTGCTAACTTGCTGTCCCTTGTATCAAAGAACAAGCCGTGGTTTCCCTTTGTGTACATGGCACATGTACCACCAGGTTGGGATACTCTGCATCTTGAGGCTTCTCGTAAAAACGCAAAGCAGATCAAACGGCTGGGATGATTTGGCCATGAATTTTAGTTTGGATTGGTGAGCATGAATCCCCACCGAAATGATGTCCCCCAAAGGGTCCCTTATTGAAAAAGAAAACATCAAACAAAAAGCATTCGGTTCGTTTCTTTTTGGCTCGAAACCATCGGAAATTCGCGGTCCCTACTTCGAGGACTTCTTCTCCGCGGACAGCGGCTCGGACTTTGAGTCCTTGCCAGGCGGAAGAAGGGGTTCCCCGGTGCTTTGGTCTTGTTGTTTCTCTTGGCCTTTGTATTTATCTTTGTCTTTATCTTTATCGTTTTTTATCTTTCTATATTTTGTCTACGTGTATGCTGTTATTTATGTTTCTTATTTATACTTATTTACGTCTTTTGTTTGTATTGTTTTTGTCTTTCCTTCTTTCCTGCCTTGCTTCGTCATTCATTTGCTATCTAATTTATTCTGTACTTCCTTCTGTCTCCCTTTCTCCCTTTCTCCCTTTCTCCCTTTCTCCCTTTCTCCCTTTCTCCCTTTCTCCCTTTCTCCCTTTCTCCCTTTCTCCCTTTCTCCCTTTCTCCCTTTCTCCCTTTCTCCCTTTCTCCCTTTCTCCCTTTCGCTCTCTCTCTCTCTCTCTCGCTTGTTCTCTTCTGCTTCATATTATGAGCGTTTAATGGACCCTGGGTAGTATGCCTTGGTCATGCAATGACGCCTGGCCATCATGTACAGTGGCGCACCTATGTTTGTTCGGGGAAACCCTATGGTGAACATCATTTACATGAGATGTTTATTGTCAACAAACCACTTTTGAGGGTATTTTCAGAGCATGAGGATTCATAGCCAAACCACTTTTGAGGGTGTTTTATGAAGCATTAGAATTCATTGCCATTTTGGGGTCCACCGAAATTCCATTCAAGACCCACAGATTTCAAGGCTCAGTGCGGCCAGGCAGCCCTCGGAATGACGCAGACGAAGCCTTGGCGAAGAGGAGGGGGTGGGGCCAGTTTTCGCTCAGAAGCCGCTCCTGGAAGAAATGCCCCAGACCTTGGGTGCCTCTTTTTTTTCTTCGGGAGCTTCACCTTGCAAAAGCAGATAAACAAGGATTTTGTTTTGGCCATTGGAAGTCTGGGATGCACCAGCGAATTGACCAGAATTCTGACCGTCTCTCAGGGTCCAGTTTTGGCCCTTACGTGGCGAAGGACCTTTCATGCAACCAGGTCGGTTAGAGCATGCCAGTGAGCACAGGTGTCTTCTGATATTGACCCAGGCAAGTCTCAAAATTAGGGATCCCCAAAATGGTTGATTGCCTGTTGGCTTTCCTTGAAAACCAATCCAAGAAGGGCAAACAAAAATGTGTGTTTGGGCTAACGGACTATCAGACTATCATTCTCGATGCGTTTTGGTTGTTATTTTCCATGGCTTGCCGTTGACTATTGACCATTAATTTAAATAAGGAACCCCCTTGTAAGTGGTTTGTGGGCGTAAATCCCGCTACTTGGACTTTTCTGGCAAAATACAGGGACATGGTTGTGGGAAGCAGGGTGTCTTGGTCCTTTTCTTGGATCCATGTCTTCTTTTAGCTTTTGGGTTTACTGTAAAAACTCCTGCTCACAATGGTTGTGGGATGTGTTTTTTCCCCCCTTTTTACGTTCCCATTGTCTGTGATACTAAGGACAATCCCTTGTAGAGGGATAGAATCGTTGCGGGTTTGGTAAAAAGGTTATGTGCCACAACCTTCCAAAGGGACCTCCAAAAAGTGGAGAACCCCCAGCACGAGGGCATCGCCCACCTTAAGAACCAGAGGCTCGGCGGGATATGCTGAAGACCTACCAGGGGTAGGATGCGGCCAGCTTATGTCTCATACTAGACATCGACTCCTTAAACGCGTCCGATGTGTCCATGTTGACGATTGCAATGAGAATCCGGCTGTCGCCATAAAAGCCCAGCTTGTGGGCAAGGACTCACGCTATTGGGCAACGGGTCTTTGGACTTTCACTTTTTGGTAAATCAAGGGTTTTCCTTTGAACCCACAAACAGTTATTCACTTTTTGCAGAGGGGTCAACAGCAACCAACAATCATTGGTGCTCCATCATTGGATGTGCAGATGGCTACGGATGCGGAAGGTGAGCCAACCTTTCTGCACCGACGCGTGAACGCGCTGCAGGTTCAGCCTAACAAAGGCGTTGAGGGCACTGACTGCTGGCTTCGCAGTTCCGGTTTGAATGCACAACCAGCCAAAGGGTAGCCACGGTATACGTTTTCCTTCTAGTTGTAATGATGGTTGTAACTATTGGCTAGGTGGGTTGAACATCCAAGGGTGGGTGGGGAAAGGCAGACCCTCAGTGACACAGCCAGGATCCGCTTCCTTCTGAGCAAGGGGGACTCGGATGGTGAGGACGCGTTCAAGCGGGATTGCCTAATTGGCACCTCGTATTCACGTTCAAAATAGCAACCACTGCGATGTGTCCGCCTTTTTTTTCTCACCGGATGCCTTATGTTGGACACCTGTGGGTCAAATTATGTGAGTGCAAGACCCTTGAGAGAATAGAGAACCACTTTTCGGGCCATGGGACAGGTTGAACCATGTGGCAAACAAAAAAACATCTGTTTTCGTGGCTAGGCCACCCAGGAAGGCAGTAGCCCGGCATCTGCCGCATCCTCTGTGCAAGCTTGCCGTATGTGGGTGCCTTATGTGGCCCATGATTGAATCAACCCAGAGGACACAGGGAATAAGTAACTGTCATTTTCTTGAGACCGTTTTTTGTCGACCATTTTTTGTCAAACCATTTTTTCAGACCGTTTCCTTCAGATCATATTTCAGACCTCATTAGAAACTTTAGCACCCAGTCCATTTGTTTCAGTATGATTTGGCGAATCTGGGCTATTCGGGGCGGCCCAGTGGTTTTTGGAGCGAGGACGAGTTGCCCAATGATGCAGGCGGGCCAGGGATCGACAGAACGGTTTCTTCTTGTTTAAGAAACAGAAAACTTGCTTAAAGGCCACCTTGTCACCTTCTGGCTGAGGAAGCCCTTCTGGGCTTCCTTCACTTGCCCTAAGCTTTTGCTTAGAAAAAAAGGAGCCGCCCGGCCGCAAGAACTTCGCGCAGGAGTATCTCGGCGATCCAGATCTCCAGCGGTGTCTGTTTTGCTTTTGCTCCTTACCCGCTTGTACTTGACCCAGTGGATCCCAGGCAAGCCCATACTCACTTGCCCAAAGCCGACCTTTTGACCTTTTGGTTTCCCATGTTTGGTCCATTTTTAGTAAAGGTCCCAAAAGGTTAACCTTATATTTCTGGGTCCTTTGGGCAACTGAGCATATAGGAGATAACCAGCGTTTTTCCTTTTGGCTTTTAACGTGTGGTTTTGTTGGTTGCCTACCACACGGGTAACTGGATCCACGGGGCCAGTTTTGCTCTCTGTCAGGCCTCTCACTTGAGACCATCCACGCCTTCGACCCAGCGTCATTGGCGCGGCTAGGCGGATCGGGGAGATGGTTCGCGGGGTACCAAGTTTTGAGTGTGACTCAAACCCAGTTGCCCAGTGGTGCCCTTGTTTCCCGTTTTTATTGGGAAGGGTTCTCCTTTAAAGTCAACCTGCCAAAAAAGGATGCCGATTCTTTTTTCTAATGGCCACTGGGCAGCTGAGCAAAGACTGAAGCCCCAAAGGTAGAATTAGAAAGTTGGCACACTGTTTCTATTGGTTTCTGTTCCGCCTCCACATTCAATTCCAGGCGTTAGGCAAAGGGGCAAAGGCGTCCCTAGGAGCAACCCCTCCTTTGCGGGGTCGAGTTGCGCTGTGGCCTTTCAAACATGGGTCGAGACCGAGCCCTGAGATCCTATATGTCTTTGAGGGTTGTTGCTGACTTGCATTCACTTTTTTGCTAACGGTTTGTCTTTTGAGCAGTCCATGGTGAACTTTGCTTCAAAGGGAGCTCAAATTGTAAAGGATATGTCGCAATTGTCCAAGCCTCTCTGCTACAACTTCCATCTTAGTCATCCAGGTAAGCGCAACGTGCTGAACTATATTTTCATTGACGACGATGAGGAGGAGGCACGGTCATGGCCCTGCCAGCCTAAGAACAGGTTTGCTCCAAGTTACGGTGGATGGACAAACTCCACCAGTCGGTAGGTGCTTTGTGGATGTATTCAACTTGGGTTTCATCCAGGTTTATCCTTCTCAGGTGCAAAACGGACTTTCTCCATCCAGAGTGACTCCTGGAAGTTTAATTTTTCCCTGGTGGCTTCAAGCAGCATCAACTGTTCGGGCGTGGCTCAAGTTTAAAGATTGAAATTGCTGCAGCCCTGTGATTGTGTGAGCCCTAGCATGCAACTGGCTGGTTCCCTTTTGGTTTCCCTTCAAAGTTCAGCAAAAGGGGACTTCTCCTCAACAAAGACGCCTTTTGCACTCCCCTGCCCCTCCCCCCCCCCCCCCGCATAGGTCGAGTTTCCCTAGCAACTCCCGTTAAAAGCACCTTTAAGACCACCTAAAAAGACACATCCCTGTGCATCGTGCATCGTGGCAACATGGCCGCAACCCTTCACCGCCCGGCCAAGAGAGCCATAAAAAGATCATGGCTTAAAATGGGTTCCTCAAGCGCTGTTGGTACTATTCCGATACCAGTTGTTCAGTGGCACACTCGAACTCCTTTCTTGTTTGGCGGCTTCCTCACCTTTGGTGGCTTTCTCGCTGTATCGTTTACTGGAATCTGGAATCTTGAATTTACGTTTTAAGATTCACTGTGTCGTACAGAATCTCCAAACACATGTTTTGGTTGGGCAAACGTCGAGCTGGATACTTGACGTACAGTTTGCGATGGCCCCTGGCAGATCAGAGAACTATACCTCTGGGCCACTTTGATCTCGCAGGGCGAAACGCGTTTTCCTCGCAGCCTCAGTCAGTGGTCTTGGGGTGCGGTTCACCCCGCCAGGATGGGTGCACCGAAGGCATTGAGGAGATCTTCAGCTTCGACATGGACAAAGTCGCAGAGGCTCGCCTGGCTCGAAATCCAAATCCGCGGGGGTGCAAAGTAGACACTTCTTTGCCCAAATCCACGACAAAGTTCACCAAGCTTCTCTGCTCATATCCACTATACAACTTATCTGCCCGAAAATCCTTCCCCTGAAATGACACTTTTGGTTTCCCTGATTTGGTCTGTTTCAAAGTTATTTAAGAGGCTAACCTTGTATTTCCAAGCCTTTTGGCTGGAAGTGAGTTGTATTAAATACGGAGTTGGTAGAGAATTGCTCGACGGTTCTCTTTGGTTCCGGGGACCAAGTTGCTAGCCTGTCGATCAGGTCGAATGGGAACCGTCGGATCGACCTTTAGCTTCTTGGAATGTCAGCGGACAAGGTTGCCAGGGTATCGGTTATCAGATTGTCAGGTTGCATGTTGCGGCGAAGATAGTCCTGGGTTCTGCACATCCACCCGCCACATCCTTGTTTTTGTTTGACAACATGGACACACATATTCAACTATAATTCATACAACCTTGTTTGTATCTTAAATTAGTTAGGAGAGAAGTCGAAACAAGGTCGTTGGGGGAACCCGTGGCTGGAAGGTATCGTTTTGATTTTGGGTGGTCCCATTTGGGTTGATAGGCAATATTGGGTGGTTTCGCCCATCTTTCCGGGCGACGAGGCGAAGCAGGGAAACAACCCAGTTCTCGTTGGTTTGGTGGGAAACTTTTTTGCACGAGTCTGTTTGTTTCTTTGGGGGGAGGGAGCTGTGTAGAAATCCTGACTTGCTAAAACCAAGACTTGAAAAGTGTCTTTGTGTGTGTTTCTTTTGTTTTCTAGTTTTCTTGGGTGGCTCGAACGTCACCTTTTGCCTCTTGACTTGTACAACATCGAGCTTCGAGCTTGTTGAAGCATAATTTCCCGTCTTTGTTAATGACCTGAAGTTCGGGACCCGGTCCCTTTGAAAGGAACATGGTCCATCCAACCCCCCCCCCCCCCCGAACGTCGAAGGGTTCCATGTGACAAGGGTGGGGAGGTATCCAGTGCCGGTCTTGAAGGCTTCGCAACCCGATGGGATCTTAAGAGTTCTCGAGCGCAGGCTTTGCGGCGAGGTGTCGACCGGCGCCTCGGGCACCGAAAGGACAAGAACATCTGGGTGTAAGTGGGTCCCAGTTGCCCGGCGGAAGGGTTCCCTTTTTAAGTGAACCGAGGCATCTGAGGGGTGTGTGTGTGTGTGCGTGTTTTGCCGAGGAAAACCTCTAAAATGGTGGATTCCCTGTTGGCTCCTTGAAATCCACCCCGAAATGTACCCTCAAAACAGGACAGACGAAAAGGATGACCAAACCGCAAATTCGAAGATTCCGCCTCTTTTTGGCGAGCTGACCTGAGGGTAACACGAGCTCAAACTGATGATATACCACCTCTCCTTGGATCCGTTTCTTATTTCAAGTTTGGAACTATGACAAAAACTGCGAGCAAGTGCTCGATGTGTGTTTGGTCTCCCTGAGGAAGTGCGGGTCCTTTTCTGCCTGTGCCAGACATTTCGGAGCATCCCTGTTTGACACTAATTCTGCAAAAGTGATAGGTTTGGAGCGTTTGCACCGATCCGGGGGAAGAGCGAGCAAAACTCACGACTTCCGATTGCTTAAGAATATGTGTTGTTCTTCCCAGTTGGCTTTAAAGGCAATCTATGCCTACTGTTGTTTTGTTTTCTCAGGGGACTTAAGCAAATGGAGGATGATGTAGATCCTAATGATTACTTGGCATCAAGTTCTCATTTCAGGTATGGAACTGTTGTAAAGTTGGCAGTATTTATGACAATCATCTAGTCAAGGGGATGCAATTGGGCACCACCGAGTGCCCAGCCCAACTTGGTTGAGAAGATGCATAATATAATATTGGCCGTGCGCCATGCCGAAAATTAAAGTGCATTCCCAAAAAACTGTTTGCATTTGCTGATGCACAATTTGGCCTTGAACAACTTGAAGACGTGGAGAAGCAACGGAGTGCCTACGGAAAACTCGTTCTGCTTTGTTGAAACCTACTCCTCCACCGATCTCAGAACAACTCATATCGCTTTGCTGAAACTCACTGCGGCTTTGAATGGGTAGAGGGACAGAGGGGGGATTTAATTAAATCGTTCCAATGCATGGAGGATCACATGGAGGATCTTCCGCAATCTTAGCTTACCTCGCTGAAATTAAGCGGAGGATCAGCATAAAGATCATTCCGTTCTGTTGGAACGCACTCTGAAGGCACAGAGAAGCAGAGGGCGATCTACGGCAAAAGTGTCCATGTGTTGAAACGCACCCTCTGGCGTGAATGCATGGAGGAGCAAGGGGTGGAAGGGAAAATCAATTGAGCCACAATCCAAACCTGGGTAAGTTTGATTCTTAGAATGGGAGAATCCCAGCCATAAATGGGCGCAGCCAGCTTTTTGGTTTCAAGGTTTCTGGGTAGAGCATTTTAGTAACAGCATCGTGATTGTGACTCAGCTGAGATGCAAACTGTTCAAAGCGCACAGATGGTTCATGGTAGCCGCCTTGCGCTTCTTAGCGAGGTCGGAGCTGAGTTCAGTCATTGAAGAGGCGGGGAAGCCGAAGCAGTTAGGTCCGCATGGTGCGGTTCAAGGAGTTTCCGCATCCGTTTGGAGCCGAAAGGGTTGGTTTTGACATGGCTCCCAGCCATCCGGTTCCTTGGCTTTGTAGTTTTCCTAGTGTTTAGTGGTCCATTTAACCCACTAAAGGTTAACATTTTAGCGGGGGATAGGGATCCTTGGCTTGATTTCACTTATCGTTTCAAAGAGGCAGGTTGCGGGACCTGCTGCAAATGGAGGTGAGGTAGCACCAGGCTCGCTATTCACCTCGTAAGCATGGCATCCAGCGGTCCGTACGAACCTATTTTGGACCCATCCTTGACCAGAGTTCAGAAGGGAAGTCATGGGCGCTTGGGTTGTCTTGCTGGTTCTCAGAAGGGTCAAAGAATTTGGGCCATGAATCTCGTGAGAAACCCGCAGGCAAAACCACAAAACATAGTTTGCAGGGGATGAAAAAGTCGTCCGTTCCCGAACCAACAACTCGGTGGTCGTCGCCGGCTTTCGCCTGGGAGGCGATGGTGAAGGACCTGCCAGTCCGCATCTCCAGATCCCAGGCGGCGGGGGCTCGAGAGCGCGGGGGGGTTCCCCAAGGAGGTCTCCCAGCAGTCGTGGCCTTTGACCGTTTCTTGGTTTTTGGGGAAAGGTTCCCCGACCAAAATGGACTACCCAGAAAAGTTGGTGCCAACTTTTTGGTAACCTCTCTATTGGAGGGCCTAGCCAAAAAAGCATCCCAGACCTTCCGTTGGGCATGTGCCATTGCCTCTTTGGTCTCAAGGGGGAAACCGCCGAGCAAAGGGCGCCGGCCCGCCGGCCCGGTTCGTCGGGGTTGAAGCGAACTTCGCCGAAAGTGGAAGTGCTCTGGGCGGTTGGCACGTCATTCGCAAACTTGAAGTAAGACTCGGAGCTTCGAGAGCGTCAGGGGGGGAGAAATGCAAAGCCGACCTCCCTCAAGGTACGTGGAAAGGATTTTTGTGCCCAAAGGACCTGGAAAAGAAAGTTAAGCTCTTGAAGCCTTGATTAAGTATGGACCAAGCGTGAGACGAGCTGAATAAGCAGCAGCTTCTAAACAAAAATAGCAGAAGGTGCTTGTAGGTTTGCTTTAGAAACCAACCTTTGCTGTGATACCTTAAGGACAAAACAAGCCTCTGAACTCCACATCTTGCACAGCCACAATCTGCAGTGCTTGCAAAGGCTACACTGTCTCCACTTCTGCGCTGACTCGCCTTGTTTTTTTTTGCCTGCGTCAGTGTCGTGTGGCCCCGCGCTTGAGAAGGGCTGAACACATCTTCCATTTTCATCATTAGTTTAAAGCTGGGGGGTCGAAGGCCCATATTCAGCTCCTTGGGCTCCTAGCCCTCGAAACCAGCGGTCTGAAATCAATTTACGTGGTGGCTCCGAGTCATCCGGATCCTTGGCTTGTTAGTTTCCATTTGACCCACTCAAAGTTAAGCTTTTAGCGGGGGATCAGAAAACGGGCAGCCCAGTTTAGATGTCCCCCCCCTGTTTAGGAACCCGGATGACTGCCTCACCTTGGCGCTCGCTCCGCACGCAGGCCATGCCCAGTAGCAGCTCTACATTGACACCTCGCACTGGTGGGGCAGCCTGGGACACGTACGAGCTATGGGTCCAACCCCCCTTGCTTCCATTTGGTTACGAATATGTTCTTTTTCCTGGTTGGTTTCAAAGGGAATTTATCACTACTGTTTTTTTTGTTTTCCAGGGGGCTGAAGCAAATGGAGGCTTGGGACCTCCTTTGACATCATCAACATTGGGGTCGTGCCGTCAACATCATCAGCAGCATATTTTAGCAGTCTGAGCATCGAAGAATATGACAGTATAAACACGACGTTCTGAGTTGGGCAAATGCTGGGGTAGGTGTTGGGCAAGTAAAGGAACCTCCGACAAGCACTCGAGAGCAATTATTCATGATTGGTTTTAGACGGACATGGCCATGTCTAATAACTACTCGTGTTTGTTTGCACCTTAGGCAAGCAGAAGCGGACCGAGATGGAGGCCCCCCTATGTTTTAGCCAAGGGTCTCAACAGACAATCCCTGGGGCCAAGTGCCATGGTCCAGTTGAATGTCGAGCTGTGCCGAGCCCTAGGACCCTAGGACGCACGAATATTTATCCGTCCGTGCATACGTACATAAGTACATACATCCATACATCCATACATCCATGCATCCATCCGCCCGCCCGCCCGCCCGCCCGCCCACCCACCCATGCATACATGCATGCATGATGTGTCTATACAAAATGTATGCATACACAATACACATATGTGTTTAGTGATACATCCACACAGACCGACCACCGCGAAGAGAGACAACATCACGCCCACCGAGGCTCAAGAAGCTCTGAGATCTGTCGCAGGCTACCTGCAAACCGTTATACGTCATAATCTTATTGGTAGATCCCAGAGTCAATGGGTTCTTGGCACTGCCCATGGGGTTACAACTTCTTCGCTGGAGACCCCTTCCTAGGTGCAAACTGACAAAACCTCTTTCAGGGACACCGAGGGATTGTGTTGATCCAAAGATGAGGAAGCTTTTTCTGATACGTGGGGTTTCTCTACTGCCTTTACACTATGGGCATTTCATTCGCGAGTGCCTTTCATATTGCTGCCTGCACCATGAAGTCACTCCTCTAGGGAACCCGATATATGTTCCCTTCGCTTCTATAGAGCTGAAAATGGTTGGACACATATTTGTCTGAAGGCTGAGGGTTCTGAAGGGAACCAAAGGGTTCTGTTTTGGAGAGGGTTTCACTTGCCATTCAGAGGATTTCTTTATGGGATGTCATTTTGAATGGGCCCAGTAAACAAAGAAACTATTGGAGAGGGATAGTGTCCCTTTAGTTTCCCTTGAAGCGGCCAAAGCCATCTGCGTTCTGCGCATCACTTGAACCGTTTTGAGGCGAGCTCTCAGGGCTGATGACGCCCCCCAGCATGCCGGACTTGGAAGGCGCTCGCCGGATGATTCTTTTTCGCGCGGAGATGTCGCTTCAACGAAATGGAAGTTCGCTTCCCGAGTTCCGGGTCAAACTTTATACCTTTTTTTGGGTTTGGACCATTTTAGTGGCAACCAACAAGTTTGGACGCTTTGGCTGGGCAATCCACTCAGGATGTGAGTGGAACGTAGCCAGTGCTTCCCTTCGGCGTGAAACGCCACATCTTGTAACCATTCGGGGTTCTCAGCTCTAGTTTCAGTTCTTTTTACGCATGGATGGTTTCCCCTGGTTCCCTACCATAGTGGGTTTTACGAACCTGTTTGTAGAAACAACACAAGCTTAATAATCAAGGCAATAATTGGGCATCTCATGGTGCGTTTGAATATGAACATAGCTACAATCGACACATGGGAAGCTGAAGGTCAGTGCGGTCTTTTCCCAAACTGTGTGCTGTTTTTTTCAGGGTCCCTTTTCACCTTGATTTGATTGAACACTAAGGGGGAAACCACCATGTTCGGGGCTGGGACCCAAGTTTGGAGAAGCAGAACCTGAGAATATTTTAGGTGTACTGTACTGTGCCCCAGAGTTAGGCCGAGGCTTGGGTCAAGAAAACACGTCATACGTCAGCTTTTGTGCTTCCAATTGCTTAAGACTATGTTTTTAATTATTGTCCCCTGTAGGTTTTAAAGGAAATCTATGACTACTGGACATATTTCCCCAGATATCTGAAAGCTATAGGGGTTCTAACTTCCAAAAAAAGAAGGGAAAGTGATTTGCGAGATTGACGGCTGGGTGCTAGGGGGCATGCAGCTTGGGGTGTTGGTGTAGGTGCTGTTTGGGGTGCTGTTTGAGCTGCTGGTAATAGTACCAGTGCTTTTTATTTGGATTGACGCAGGGTGCTAGGGCATGCAGTTTGGGTGCTGGTGCAGGTGCTGTTTTGGGGTGTGCAGGTGACGGTGCGGGCGCACTTTTGCAAGATTGACGGTAGGGTGCTAGGGGGCATGCAGTTTGGGTGCTGGCGCAGGTGCTGTTTTGGGATGATGTGCTGGTCATGGCGCGGGTGGAGAGATTGACGGCCGGGTGGTTTGGGGGTGCTGTTTGGGGGTGCTGTTCGGGGTGATGGTGCAGATGGTTTTGAGGCGCTGGTGACGGGCGTGGCGTTTTGCGAGATTGACGGCTGGTGCAGGTGCTGTGTTTGGGGCCTGGTGACGGCCATTTTTTATTATTATTGAGATTGACGGCAAGCTTAGGAGCAAACATGTTGGGGATTCTTGTGCAGGTGATACAATATGTTTGAGATGCTGTTTGGGTTGTTGGTTGTGGTGCTTTTCGGGCTGCGCTGTTAGAGGTGCTGGCGTGCAATCGTTGGCACGTGTTTTGCTATTTGGGGTCTATGCTGGTGTGTTGTTTCATTTGGGGCTTAAGCAAGGTAGGTCACTCTGGCAGCCTGTGGTGACGCACTTAGCTGTTATCAGGAACCACGGGTCGCCGTCAACTCCCCCAAAGGCTTAGGTGACCTTAATACACCTTGTTGGGGCTCATGCTGGTCTTAACGGTAGACTCCGGGGTCGTTGGAACGGTGGTTTGTAGGTTCCCTGAAAGCAAACCACGCACCACACCTCTGAACGGCACATTACTGGAATGAAATGCCCGCTATAGACCTCTGGAGTCCCCACAGCCCTGAGCAAGGAGTCATGCCCCCTTGCTGTTGGGTACATGCCCAATTTTCACGGACTATGGAGACTCGAGCTACTTCAAAAGGGATTGCGAAAGTTAGTTTTTGTCCAAGGCTTTGGAAGGAAGCAGGTGGTTCTTGTTGAACTTGTATCTGCTGTCTTTGTTAGTGCCTCAAACCAATCCAGAATCAGACGCTGTCGAAATGGGATGTGAACCATTCGAACGCGGCACCAACTCCGAGCCGCCGGAGGCCTCATGACGCCTCCCAAAGGCCCGGATCGGACGCCAGTGACCCCCAAGAAGACCGGATCGGCGTCTAGCTTTATGGCTGTCAACGGGTGGGAATACGGGAATTTCCACAGGAGAACGGCATATTTCCGGTGTTTCGGGGGCCATTTCCCGTGGGTTTTCTTGTAACCAAACCTTTTGATATCGGGTCGGATCTTTGCACTAATAAGTTTTTGGAATATTTGTTGGGGTTTCCGGAGGGGTCAACAGCAACCAAGTCCAAGCCCCTAGCGCATTTGGGTTGGGCTCAATGCCAGAAGCCAAAAGCAACACACCGCCATTTTGGGTCTGCCCTAATTTCGACACCCACCCACAGACCCAGCCTTGCTTGTTCTTTGGTTCGGCCCTTAACGGCTTCACCCCTAGTTTTGGTCCGATGTTGGTTGCCTGACACCCCGGATTGTTGCCACATTGGGTCCGCTGGTCTCAGGTGTGGCCAATTTGCCCCTTAGCCTCCAACTGGTGGGATCGTCCTTCTCAGGGCTTGCTCACCAATCTTGGGACCGAACCCCAAACAATTTGGCGGTGACTTAACCCATGGACCAAAGACGGGTTTTCAACGTATGGTTTTGTAAGCTTTTGGAACAGCTCGCTGTTCAGAGGTTCCAAGCTCAGAAGGCGAAGATGGCGAAGATGGCGAAGCAGGGATCCCTCTCAAACATGGTTGCTACCCAGAAATCCATTCATGTATGTTTGTCCCTACCTAAGATTCATATCCAAATCGCAAACTTCAGAAACTGGCTTCAGCTTCCCTTTGGGTACCCTTGACAATGGCCAGAGTCATGCAGTTGACAAAGCGCGCGAGCACAAAACAGGGCCCAACAAGAGTGCCAATTCCAGAAACAGGCCGGCCCATTCGGGTCTCACACACGCAACAGCGGAAAAGCACCAGGCCCTGCGTCGTCTTGCGGGCAAGGCGGGACAGATGGCAAAGAGAAATGTGTTGTGTTTGTTGGGTTGTGGTTGGGGTTTGGTTGGGTAGTGGTTGTGTTTGGTTGTGATGGCTCAGAAGCTAGGACCCTAAAAGAAGCAGTTGACATACAGACAAAGTGCATGGTTGTGGCAGATTTGTGGTTTTAGTTTGAAACCCTCTTGCAAACTATTCAAGCAAGCTTCGTTAATGTATCACACCCCTACCTGTGGTACATCATTTGTTTGGTTGCCACCTTGTTTGATACCAAGGGAACTTCGATTTTTAATGGGATCGCATAGTTGAGGGATGCGAGCCCACCTTGGTATCAGTGAAAGGGGCCCAGCCGCTTGTGTTTGTGGTGCTGTTGGTTTGTATTGTGCCATGCCGTTCCGCGCATGTGTTTGTCCTTGCTCCCTTTTGAAAAACACGTCGTGGGCTTATCACGGGAAGATCAGTAGAACAAGCAGTGCATCCAGTACAGTACTGTTTTCAATGGACATTTGGCGGTTTTTTTGGAAAGCAGAACTGGGGAGGCCAACATAAACCCTAAAGCAGGTGATCAAACCCTAAGCAGTGTTGGTAGGTCCAACATAAACCCAAAACACAACATAAACCCTAAAACGTGGTGGTGGGGCCAGCAAAAACCCTAAAACGTGTCTGCAGGACACCCTAAATGAGTGTTGGTGCTAAAAGGTGTTGGCGGGGCCCACATAAATGGTAAAAGGTGTCGGTAGCGGCAACAAATAAACCTTAAAAGGTGTCTGGGGGCCAACAGAAACCATGAAAAGCGTTTGTGAGCCCAACATAAACCTTAAAACGTGTTGGTGAGGCCAGCATAAACCTTAGTGGGGCCAGTAAAAACCCTGAACAGTGTTGGGGGTGGGCGAACCTCGGGATTGGCGCCAACATGTTTTGGAAATTATGTTGTGGTGTGGAGCCATTGCAACCTAATCGTCACGATCAGTGAACAGACCCTGTTAAGGACCATGAAGTTCCGAATCTTCCCTTGGCACCCTCATGCCTCTGAATCAGTCTTGGAGATATGTGCCGCTAAGTTCTCATCTGCAACGTCTAGTTGTGTGAAAAAGCAAATAGAAAAACTGAACCTGGAGACATCAGATATTGTGTCCCAATTCATGACATCCACATTTGGTCCTTTTTCTGTTCCTTCAGAAAAAAAAGATATCCCCTAGGTGTGTTAAAACGTTATTGAGAAAGCAAAACAAAACTGAACCTGGAGATGCCCCAGGAAGGACTTCTTCCATTGCAGTCCACCTCTCTGCGTGTCTGGAGGAAAGCGGTTTGAGATGGAGGCGGAGTTGGCCGCGCGCTTGGAGCCGCTGGAAAAGCCTCCAGGAGGCCTGCGGAGTTGTTGGGGCGGCGATGGTTTTTTTCCCGACTGATTTGTCTACTGACTTATAGAATGGGTCAGTTCTTTGTTTTTTAGGTGAAACTTCCTGTATTTATTTTTATATGGGTCTGAGTCTGTCCTTTCTTTTTTCAGGACTCGGACCCCCCAAAAAAAAACATGGCATCTGTTTTCTTTCAGACCGACCAAACATGGCGGTCCCTGAGCAAAACGAAAACAACACCCATGTTGGAATGGCATTGTAAAAAGCCTTTTTGCAAAAGTGTATGCGTCTCTTGAATAAATGGAATCCCGGAGGCGGATATGAATTGGTAGGTGTGACTCCAGAACCCTCTAGTTGGCTGCTGTTTGGTTGGAATGGTAACCTTTCACTTGTGGAAAACGTGTTTTCCCACCTGCCAGCAAAACATAAGCTTTTGCGCAGAGGGCAATAGCCACGAAGCTGAAACAATGTGACATCGTGCAGGTTCACTGAACATGGTCCAGAATCACAACGGCATTTTAAAGGGGGCAACGGCCAAGGTTTGAACGGGTCCTTTGTTTCTACAGGGTGTTAAGTTGATAGTCGTTTGTTACATTGGTAATGTGGTTTGTTTTCCCACAAGAAAACCAGGAGGCCGTTGGCATTTGTTCAAATCCCACCTCTTGAACACGCAGTGAAAGTTCGTCCCCTCAAAAGCAGCCCGGCATCATGAATTTTGAAGTTGGGTAAGCCTCCGAAGAACAATACAGGAAGATGTTTCTATTATTGCGGTTTGCCTGTGCTGTATTGTTTCTTGGTATTACTGTTTGCCTGTATTATTTCTTTTTGAAATTGGGGGGGGGGACCCAATGAATGGCGATGTTCCATTTGGTTTGCCAGTCAGCCTCGAGGGACCTGACAGTTTTGAAAAGAAAGCAGTGGATCCATTGCCACGGGTGCGTCGATTGGAGCCAGTAGCCTGACGGGCTGTTTTGATCCGAAACCAAGGGAAACCGAAGCCCAGGTTGGCATCACCCTGTGCGACATAGCCATTCGTGAAGAACGTTTGGAAGTAAGATGCAGACCAAGGAAGAGTTCAAGTGAAGGACCCCTGGGCTGTCATCGGACAGAGAACCAACACGTGAGCAGTGCTCAATCGCCTAAAGCCTGGGGCCTGATGCCGACTGCCACAAAGGATGGGCAAGAAAGGCCCAACCTTGCCTCAGGATGCACCCGCGCGGCTGGAGAGTCATGCGACAAAGGTCGCCATGTGCGCATTAAGACCAACCGTTGGAAGCAACATTCATTGGTCACATGCTTCCAGCTGACTTCGGGTGACGGGTAGCGGTGCCCCGTTTGCTGGGCGGAGTGTGCGGGCTGTCGGCCTGCAATGCAGCTTCGGAGTGGACCACCTTCGCCCCAAGTTGGCGCGAAATCGTGCTGGTTTGCGTTTTGGATGTTTGCAGAGAAGATGAGATGCCGGTCTCATTGGCCGTTTTAGCAGGTGATTCTACTACCTGGTCTTGTGATAGGTATAGTGAGGCCTATACCTGGGTCTTCCATTTGGCCATTTTGGGTTGTGGGCTCTTTTTCTTTGCTCGTTTCAGATTTTGAGCGGAAAAACACTAAATGAGCGGAAACCTTGATTTGGCATGATTTGGCCAGTTTTTTCCCAGGACGTGAGCGGAAATTAGCGGGAAATGAGCGAAAACAAGGTGCAGATCTGGGTATGCACCTTCAGAACCATGTTGGTCGAACCCCTGAGACTCAAGCAGAGGTTTATAAGTTCCGAGTCAAACCCGGCTTTGTATTCCAAAGGAGCAACACAGCGAAAACGACCATTGCCCTTTCATGGACCTCGCCTCCCAGCAAGGCTAGGGGGGGCTATCCCTGGGGCCTAGGAAAAGGATAAGCCCAGAAGGCCTTACTAAGGCCTAATAAGAATAACTCGCTTCTGAGGTCTATGACTTACCAGAGGTTCATGCGTGGGCCTGTCAAAATAGGGGGCCCCGAAGTGGCGGTTTAGACCTTCTAGTTTACCAAACCAAACTGAAGGGCACCCAGCCTCAATAAACATGGCTGGTTGACCAAGTCGCCCTGTCAGGACCTTTTGGAAACAAATATATTTTCCATGAAGCCTACACAACATTGACCTTCAGCTCGGTTGGGTTGCTTCCACCTTCAGGCTGGCTTCCCAGAATGTGGAGGTGAGCTAGTGTCTTTTTTTGGGCGTGCTCCCTTTTTGGTGTTTTCAACAAACCTCCCAAAGGACAACCCACCCATTTGGGGTTCCATAAAAAAGACGAGCCCCCCATATCGGTATGAACATCCACATGTGGAACCCCGGCGCGATCTGATGTGAGGGACCGATCTGCGCAGGGCGTCAGAGCTGCCCTGCCCGGGCGGGCATGTCGGGCTCCTAGGGTGGAGCTTCGATCCTTCGCCGGGTTTCTCACTTCCGGAGTTGGACTTGGCGCTTCTTGGGGTTTGGACCAGTGTGGCAAACAAAACGTTTGGGAGCTTTTTTTTGGCCAGCCCACGGACGCGAGCTTTTCCGGATGTCGGCAGAACAAGGCTAGTTGCTTGTGGGTATGCCACTCCCTGAGTTTGCGGACTTAAAATGTTTGGGTTTCGACCATTCTGGTGGCAAGCAACAAGTTGTCGGCCAAGCCACTCAAGGGATTTTTTGGCCAGCGAGTTGTGGTTCTTTCGAAACGATGGGATCCCCTTGTGCTGGATCATGTTGCATGAGAACAAAGAAAGAACACCTGGTTGGGGTCCGAACTCAGTGCCGATATGCACACACGATTCTTAGTGAGCTCGCGGGGGGGAGGGGTGAAACCAGCTCACTCGCGATGATGGCTCCTTTACTTGGGGATTCCTCTATTCATGTTTTGTGAATTATGGTTGGTAAAGTCTGTGTTGTGCTTTAAACATATACTTCCATTTGCCTAAGAATACTTTCTATTTCCCCTGTTGGTTTTAGAGGGAGTCTATCACTCGTGGGTCTTAGCCAATTGGAAGTAGAGGCTTGGGCCCGGCAGACCTCACCAGGCCCAGCAGACCCTCCTTGGGCGCGGGAGTGGGTCCAATGCGGATAGGACCAGGACACCACCTTTTGGAAAACCCGCCCCCACTGACTGGGGCTCTTGGGACAGCCAACAGCAGGTGTTTTTTTTGTTGTTTTTTTTTGCTCGAAAAAGACCGGTTTCAGATGGTAAGATGCTGGGATGAACCATTCGTACATCGCCAGACGTATCATGGGCTTTGTGCTGTTGCGCCTCTGGGCTTCCTTCATTTACTTGTTTTTTCCAGACGTACCAACGCCGCCGGACCCGACCGCAGGCGTCGCTCTAGCATTGCCCAACACCCGCAGCTTCTGGAGGCGGAATCCATCGCAGTCTGTCGCATGTTTTTGTTGCTGCTGGGCTGTTCAAAGTTTTCATCCGCAAGATCCTCCGGCGGGGATTCCCTGTATGGATTCAGATTGGCCAAGCCTCCATTTTCAGATCAGAAGTTCAGAGCCGCTTCCTTAATGCTGACCCCATATTTTCATGAACCAGAGTCAATCAATGAACAGGGGGGTGTTCCATACCCCCCTATTAGAAAACTGGGGTTGACGCTTCAGGCCTGGAGCTTGGAAAGCAGAGCAGACCTGTGGTACCACAAAAAACCGCCGGTTGCCGGCCCAGACAAAAGGGACACGGGGCGCGTTCTCCTCGTCTTGATCGAGTCAACCTCAAAACTTGAAAACACCCAAGACATGCGAATTTATCAAAAGGGCGAACATTTGCACTTGTTGATTGAGGCCGTCCTCTCAATGTGACTTGTATGCGCTTTGATTGAATCATTGAATGTAACCCTATCCCAAATAGCATGGTTTTGCAGGGGTTATGACGTCAACTTGTTTGATTGCATTGCAGCCTTGTGTTCCCTTCCCGCATGCAACTCAAGCTTTCAAGTCTATCTGTTCAGGTGTGAGTATTCCACTGCAAGTCAGCATAGAACTCCGAAAGGTGTTCTTCCCCAACAGGAGATTCCTTGAAGTGTGGATCTTGGAGCAAATAGCAAATGTTGTCTGAAGAGTCCCCCACTAGGTCCCAACCATTTTAGGTACATTAGAATCAATCAGCCAGAGGGTGAGTACCCGCCTCAAACATGCAAGCTGACAGAAGGTCCCAAGAGGAAACACGGTCTCTTCGCCAGCTTCGTGGGTGGGATAAATGACCACGCTGGTTCATGCAAGGGAGGATCTGCTCAGAGACTTGGGAAGTTTCCAGAAAAAGACGTGTTGCTTACACTAATTTGTAAGCCCCGGATTTTCACCACCCCCTTGATTGATAGGTGGGGAAAACCCCTCGAAAAGTGGGTGATGATCCACTCTTCCACGAAAGGGACACCCCCCAACTCTCTCCAACTCCACTTCTGCTTGAAATTTCTCCAGGCTGTCTCCGCGGCCACCGCGCGGCACCGCCGCAGCATGGCAAAGGTGCCATGGGCCTGTGAGTTGAGCCCCCCGGCAAGTCGTGAGAAGTCTCCAAAAAGATAGATGTTACCCTACCCATCAACATGGAACCAGCAGGAAAATGGTCTTCCAGGGCTCCTGTCAGGTTCCATGTCCTTTTAGAACATAATTATTGAGCAGAACTAGAACATGTCATTTTCCGGGTTGGACTAGCTAGATCTAGAGCAGAGTTCGAACATGTTTCCTGTGTAACACTCATGTGAACATTAACAGGAAACACTTCCAAGCACACACACACACACATACACCAGCGACTGCTTTTGAACAGCACTCACTTCCCGTGCCATGGACCTGGGTATAGTGAGCAACAAAGCGGTTCGCGCGTGCGGGTTGTTCTAAATTCCGTTATTTATTGTCTAGAATTGACGTGTTCACGCATCTTTTTTGCTACGCAGATTGCGAAGGGCTCGCTCATCCCCCAATTGTGGATTTGTGATCCAGTTGCTGATGAAAGTCTCATGTGTAGTAACTGTACCCAGTGGGTATGCTAAGGGATTGTTGCTCACTGGCTTTGCTAAGTTCTCAGCCACCCATAGCAAGGGCTTTTCCAAGTTCCAAACCCCCACACCACAACTTACTTTTTGAGTTCCTGGACTTTAGTCACTTTTTGGGTTTGAACCATTTTGGCAACTAAACAGTTTGGGCGCTTTTTTGGCCCATCCAACGGGCGATCGATCTTAACAGCAGATGGGTGCTATATGGACTGATTTTTCTACGCCAGGTGGTGGAAGCAGAGCTGCGGCAGGCGGAGTTGCCGTTTTTGTGTTTTTTTCTTCTTCGAGCGGAGTTGTTGGTAACTGGCCGTTATTTAGTTGAAAAGGCGACATGTGGCAATCGAATAACTGGGCCGCTTTTTTAGTTGGATTCGGAGAACCAGGTTGTCCATTTGTTATGGTATCGAATTGGACTTGGTGTTGCATACTGATATTAGTTACCTCTTTTACCTGCAAGGCCCCATTCATATAAGCCTTCCTGAGTTCCCGGCCGTCGCTCCATTCCGGAAGTGAGTCTAAGAATATGGGGGACCCAAAAAATGCGGGTGTCCTTTGGTGTCCTTGTAAAACGTTGCTGAAAGGGTAATGGTTTGCTCTCATATTACATTCGTATATATCGTTTTTATTTTCAATTCCAACCATATTTTCCCTTATTTTGTTTAAAGAAAACGTTCCCTCGGGATGTGTGTCGCAGGATGGGCTGCGTCCCTCAGTGGCCGCCAAGGCGGGCGGCGTTAGAAAAAGGTTCTCGCGAGGGTTTGAACAGGGCCTTGATCGAATCATCCAATGGCTGATTTAGAGGTTTCGCTCCAAGTGCAGCTAGGAGGCATGTACAAAAACTCAAGTGGTTAGGGTCCGGTTCCAGGTGCAGGTAAGAGGCAGTGTTTGTTTTTTCAAAGCTCGAGTGTTTAAGGAGCGTCTTTGGGAGACCAAAGGAAGCATTGAGGTCGGTGTTCCATTTTGCGACCCCATGTGCCGATTAAAGCAAGTTGCTGTTGGACATAAATGTTGTTGTAAATGGAGTCCACCAAAAAGGTCCATTTCCAGAATCAATATTGCAGACACCGGGATTCTATTTTGTCAAGAATTAGCTTAGGACTTGCCCTACGTTTTAATTCCAGAAAGGTTCTCGGAGATTCACAGCTCTAAGAACCTTTTCTGGGGCGGAGGCCTCCAGGCAACAAGTTCAGCGTTATGAGCTCCCCCCCCTTAGACTTCATTTCGGGGATCCGGGGGTCCCCCCAAGATTCCAAGCACCCTCCCCTCACTTTGTAGTGTGCTGCTCAAAAGCCATGTGTCTGCCTATACTAAATGCTTTTTCAGCTCTCTTTTTGAGTTGGGCTTCCTCTCTACTCCCCTCGCTTGGAAAAGTGTTGGTCAGACTCTTTTCAAGAAGAATTAGATCAAGAAACAGGGTTTTGGGGGCGCGGACTTGTTTCTGATTTTTTGATTTGGAAGCCAACGACAGGAAGTTCTAGAGGAAGTTCGCCAAATAACCCCCCCCCCCCCCATATAGTGGCCGTTTTTTGGCCATCTTTGGCCATTTGAGAGGATCGCATCCGGCTACCCACCAAAACCAGTGGTTTGCGATAGGTCGTCCATATTTGTTCGCTGGGTTTCTTCAACCGGTCTCCTATAGAATGTCCCCTTTTCGCTGGGTTTTAGACCCCTGTCACTGTCTCCCCCTCTCATGGTTGTTGTCGGGAAACCTTTTACATTTTTGCTTAAGTGGTTGAAATCCAACCACTCAACTGCTGAAATGGTGTCAACCGAGCTCTTTCCTCCCATCCCGGCCGAATCCGCCGCACCGCGCGACCCGAATCCGAGGTGCGGCGGTCGGTGGCCAGCGCCCAGCGCCATCGGAGGGCCTCCTTCATCCGTGCCGCCGAGGTCCTGGAGGCGCGCCCCGAGCGCCCAGCGGGGTTTCTGGTGGCCGCGACCAGTGGCTGAAACGAATACGTCCCCGAAATCCTGACGTTCACTGGGTTCAAACCAAGCAACCAATCAACCAAGCAAGCAAGCAACCAAGCAAGCAAGCAACGAACCAACCACCCACCAACCTGCTTAAGAATATATGAATACCCTGCCACGAATGAACATGGAACCCGACACAAACCCGGCCCCTTTGAAGGAACATGGTCTTCCAGGACCCCCATCATCTTCCATGTTAATTGCTGGGAGGTATGTTTGATTTTTCCTTTTTGGTTTTGTGGTTTGTTTTTTTTCACTACTGGAGATTTTTTTTTCCTACAGGGGGCTAAACCAAATGGAAGTGGGCACCCGTTTTGGGAAACGGCAGATCACCCAATTTCCCTATAAGTCCTTAGTTTTGGGCCCACAAGAGTTCCCCTCCTTCTGCCCTTCAACTGGGTTCGTGTCCAATTTCGTTCTAGGGCGTTGCCCCGACAAACGGATGCTTTCCCCTTAGAAGTGTATTTGCTCACTTCCCACATGATTGGACTTGTGAGGGTTAGTTCAAGAGGTGTGTGCCTCCCTTATTCACTAAGATAATAGAATTCGCTGGAACTGTTGCAAGCACCTAGATCCAAAAATCAAAGAGTTGTGTATCGAGCTGAGTGTCGATCACCGGGACAATGTCCCTGTAAATCCATCAGCTGGCTGAAAGCTCAGTCGGCCACAGCAGCACTCTCAGTGACCTCATTTGTTTTTTTAATTAGGTTCCTCTAAGGTGGTCACCTTTTGCTTTTGATCCCAAGAAAGCTACTCTTCGAGTTTGGGGCTTCTATTGCAGGATTGCCAAACTTGACAAAAGACACGCCTTGGAGGAGGACACCAATCTCATGCCGCCTTGGACAGCAGAAGTTGCTCCAACAATCTTCGCAGTTGGTCTTGGCTGACTTGGGTTCAGTCATAAACAACCTAACAGACACCCTCAGTTCATGCAGGAGTTGCAGGAGTCAGTCTCAGGACCAGCGAGCCGCTGTCAGTGTCCAAGCGTTGGCCGACGTCAGAGCAGGCCTCACCGCAGCTGGACTTCTTGCCGGATTGTGTTTCAGGCTGGAAATCGGCAACAGTTTCTTTCTGCAAAGCCTGTAAACACAGCGTGTGCAGAGAGATAGAAACTTTTTGGCTCAATCTGTGAATTTGTCTGTCTGGGCCATCCTATACACCCACACTCAAAGACGCAATTCGAGAATGCGACGGAGACAAAATGTTCACATGGGACCGCCCAGCTTCAAGCTGAGAACGCGGAAACGCACTGTAGAGAAGCACATGTTTAGACTGCGACCATAATACAAAACCACGAGCTTCACACGTAACGCAAACAGCGCCAAACAAACCAACGCTTGAGCCTGACTCCTCCGCTAGCTCCTCGCTCTTTTCCTGCTCTTCTTCCCTGTCGTCTCCTTGCCGGCTCTTCTTTTGAGGCTGGCCCAGGTCTTGGGAAGATGCCTTCCTGCTCGTGCCTCCATTGCCTAGCGGTAGGCTTGCGTCTGCCTTGCTGGAGTTGTCTGACCCAGCCCGGCCAGCCAGCAAAGCGAGGTGATGCTCTTGGAACACTGTGCCACTAAACACGATGCCGGCAAAGTCCTGCGCCAACTTTGGAGGGAGGTCTGCAAACGTTTCTGGCGCTGGAAACTGCGCAGGGAAGACCCCCGGGCAAAGCAGAAGCTGATGGCCGGTAAGGTAGCGGCCCGCCGAGTAGATATCATGAGTAGGCCGGATGCAAGCGCATCCGTGCGCAAACCACTCAGGATCTCTTCCCGCGGAGGTGTTGGTGTCAATCGTGACGTTCTCAAGGCTAACCTGGCTTTTGCCCCGCGAGCCTCTTCGTGGCAGCCAACTGGGCCTGGTGGCGTGGAAGGACCGGTATCTCCTGAGGCAACGAGGCCTGTCCGCAAACTCCGCCCAATGCCTCCTCATAGGCGGGAACATCTCGCGCCCTCTGAATGGAGTCGCTGCAGCAAAGTGCGGCTGCCAATCAAGACCAATACCAAGAGCTGGCTGTGTCCCCGCAGTTCAGTGTTTTGTTCCTGCACTCGCCACGGTGATGAAACGCAAGCCGACCGGATGCAGCAAGCTGCGTTCGTGCGCTTGAGCAACGTCCAGAGAGAAAGCACAAACACCTCTCCCTTGCGTGTGACATTGGCGCGCTTTGCAGAACATCCTTATTTCGGGGATGAGGTTCTGATGCTAGTGGCATCCGTCAAACCCGACATGGAAGAGTCGACAGACCCAAGAACTGTATTACACTTTACTGTTCAAGAACTTGCGCGTAGGGGAACATAGCTAGAGCACAACGGAAACTTGCTTGTCAGAACGCATTTGAACATCCCTTTTTGCTGTTCCGGCCCCCAAGCCCAAGCAAACTTTGGAAGTCCACATTCCAAATCGGACACCCTGGGCAAAACTGCTGAAAACTTGAAGCCAATCTCGTTGGGGTCACTCAATGTTGTGTGAAACCGGTTCTGCGCCTGCATTCTTGCCCGCGAGGTTGCCGGTGTAGGCGTCGGTGAGTCTGGCGCACAAGAGGAGGCCTCACGGGCCCGCATTTTGTTGGGAACTCCGTTGGCATGAAACTCCCTTCCTGAGTTCCTGGACTTTGCGCTTTTGGTTGCTGTCACGGCTGGACTTTGCGCTTCCTGGGTCTGGACCATTTCCGTAAACTAGAAGTTCAAACTTGTTTTGGCCCATCCACTCAGGAAGTTGGCCTTTGGTGTTGGAGGGGGGGCACCGGCGCCAGCCCAAACTTGCCAAGGGTTGAGCCATGAGATGTTCCGTGTTGGGAAGCAAGTCAGGTCCGGGATTCACAGGTTTCGCAGAACAGGCTCCATTTCCTCAAGTTGCAACGTCCTTTTGGTTTCCCTTGAAATGCCCACAGATTTGGGGTCCAAATCCCATTTAAAGAAACACAAATCCGTGTGGGCATGTGTCAAAATAGGGGGAGGCACAGAATGCGAGTTTTCTCTTGGTTGTCCTCCACGCCACCCCCAAAAGAGGTGCCATCAAGAAAATATGATGCCTCAGCCTAAATTCGATTGAGCCCGAATTGGTATACACCACCAAGCAACCCCCTTAACCAAGACTGTCCTCTTCCATCCCCCGCTTGCCAGCCATTTTGATCGCCCTATCCCAAGACCTATTGTCTATTCTGATGTTTTTGGGTTGGTGGCCTTGGGCCTCAGATTGGCGGCTCGACTTTTTTCGGTGCCCCTCAAAATGGGTTGTTTTTTCTTTTAAATGGGACTCCCTGAGAAGGCATATCCATAGTGTCTTAAAATAGAGGACCCCCCAAAAGAACAGATCAGGGCCCCCCAATGACTGGCAAATGGTCTCAGTGACCTAGTTGCTGTGGTGGCAAGGTGCTGGGCCCCCAACATGCCAACGGGCTTGGTTTCCCTCTAAACCGACCCCAATGCAGGTACCACCAAAAACAGACCCATATAGAGTTTTTTTGGGGGTACCCCCCAAAACTGGGTGAGTGTTTTCGTTTGGGTTTCCCTTTAAAGCTGCCAACCAAAGAGGGTAACTCGAAAAAAACGAGGTCAGGCGCCCGTCTACTTGCTGGTGCTCAGCAAACGAATGAACCTCAAAGGGTCCCCAAAGGCAGCACCAGTTGGATGGTTGTAATCGGTTCATCTCTCATTCCAGTTGGAAACCACCAGTTGGATAGTTTGTAAACTGCCTGGATGGTTTGTTCGGGTCATTTCTTATTCCCTGCTCATCGCAGCAGCTGATCGCATACAGGTCACCTCTTGCCTCGAGTCGGACGTCAGGTGCTCGAGCAGCTGGACGTGGTGCAGCAGGCGGTGGAGGAGGCGGCGCGGCGCCACCGCCAGCCCGGGCGCCCAGCGTCGAGTCGGAGGGCTCGTTCCGGGCGGCGGCGAAGTGTTCTTCTCCGGGTTTCTGGGTGTTTTTTTTGGTGTGTGTGTGTGTGTTTTTGTCTAGGTTTTGCAGTAGTGCCCTTTTAGCCTTTTTTGGGGGAGGGTTCCCCTACTAAAATAGACTACAGAAAAAGGGTATCCCTATTCTAACCTCTCTACTGGACGACCTAGTTGTGGTTTTTAGGGAAACCCATGTTTGGGATTGGTTTTTAGGGGAGTCTTTCTTGGGTGGTACCCTGTTTGGGGGGGGTGAAAGGGGAACCAAAGGAAAGATGTGTCGCAGAAAGTGGAGATGTCACAAGATGTGTCTCAAAACAAGGAGGACTTGGACAAGTCCAAAGTAGTTGGTTTCCCTTTGCTCAATTTAAACCAACCAAACTGCCAACAGGGGATTTGGGAGTGTCTTTTTTGAGGGGACCCATGTTTGATTGGTTTTAAGGAGAAACCAAAAGGAAAGCCAACCCATCTTGGGTGTCCAACCTTAATTAAGGACGACCCGCCCAAATTTGGATGTGACTCAAAAGTCGAAAAATGACGGGCCATCCATGTCGAAACCGAAGGAGCATCATCGTTGCCGTTGCGCACGTGACCAACACCATTGACGAAGAGGCGGGATTCCCGCGAAACATGGGTGAGGAAATGGGGAATTTGACCGTTTGACCCCCCAAAATGGGTGCTTGTCCTTTTGGTTCCCTTTGAACCAAGCTGAAAAGGGTATCTTGAAAAGCACACAGGGACCTCAATCGGTAGAACACTTGATTTCTTCAAGGGGATTGGTGGAAAGACCGACCTTGAGACCATTGTAGAATGAGGTATCCCCCCCAGCAAAAGCAAAGAAGTCGTAGGTTTCGTTCTGGAGATATGGTGGGCTCCTTTGACCCGCGATGTTGATTGAATTGGGTATTGTTGAGTTGGTACCCCTTTTTGGTATAGGTTTTAAAGGGAAGCCAAAAGGAAGACGACCCAAAAACAAATAACACACGCTCATGCATTTGTCAACTCACGGCTTCTTTTTTTCCCGAGTCCTTTTTATCCATTTCGCACCTCTGCGGCTGGATCGGTGGAGTTGGTCCCTGATGTTTGGCGTGGTTATTGGCCATCCGGTGGATCCGACTTCCGGGTTTGTCTTTTTGAGGGAACCCCTAAAAGGGGAGGTCTACACAAAATTCCAAGAGAAAAGCCAAAATCCTTGTTTGGGGCTTATGTTCGGACGTACCCTCTTAGAAAATTGGATTGGTGGTTTGGAGGTTGGGGGTGGTTGGGAAACCCATTTTCACTCAAGGACCAATGCTTCAAGGGTTCATCCCCAAACCATCTCTGCAAACCACCTTATTTTAAGACAACCCCTGCAGATCAGGGATGTATCCCACCAAAAACCACCCTAAACCACAGTAAACCAACCCAACCAACCCCAAACCGGAAAAAAGAAAGAAGCCACCCCGCAAACCAAGTCAGAACTAAGCCCACCCTACAACCGCCTGAGTTCGGGTGATTTGGTCCACAGCCCATCGGATGGACTCGCGCCAGGAGCCCGAGCCTTTGCCCGAAGGTGCGCTGGTGCAGGGGGATGGTTCTGTTTGGATCCACCAACTAACGGGCTACCCTCCAAAAACAGCTAACAGGGGTTTGTGCACAGACCGGACCCCTGTAGAAAGACGACTTTCCTGTTGGTTAGTTGGCCTTTTTGCACAAACCCATGTTAGTTGGTGGGAGGGTACCCTCAAAAACAGACACACCCATGATTGAGGGAGCCCTCTGCATGGCAAACTGCAGATATGGCAGTTTTTGTTTCTGTGTCCCCTGAATTCCAAAGGTGTTCCCCGAAACAACAACTGCAACAGACCACGTGTCATGATACACGACTTGGTTTGCTGCAGCCCAGAACCCGGATTATGGAAGCCATTCACCTGGTGCCATGGCACACCCACGCACACCCACATGCACACTCACACAAGCAGTAAGCGACTATCTCAAGTTACACTTCTCAACCAGTTTGATTTATCAGAGATGTTTAGCTATCTCCTTTGTCAGGTGGCTCCTTGATCGGCACATGTTTTGGCAATTTGTTTGGAAACTTGTTTTGGCAATCCGGCAATCCGCTTAGCGAATAACTTTCCCAACATGTTCGACAACCAACTCTGCAGTTCCCACCAAAAAGAACCTTTAGGAGTTCCCAAGAGTTTTTGACACATCCCAAGTTCCCACCATTTTGTTTGTAAAAAAGAGTTTAGAAGGATTTCTGACACATTCCACGAGAGGTTTCAATTTTAGCGAGGGATAGTTCCCACCATTTTTTTGAGGAGTTCAGAAGGGTTTTTGACACATCCCGCCAAGGGATCAACGAACCGCGAAGGGAATCAGCCCCATCCTGGCGCCTTCTAGGACATGAGGATGACGCGCCCCTCTCGCCCACTTCGCCCACTTCCCCCGCGTCGCCCTTGCCCAGCGCTCGGAGAGGGTGGCCTCGGAGAGGGCCTCGGAGAGGGTGGCCTCGGCAAATTCGGCAAATGGGTGTGGCTCAAAGTTAAACCGGAGGGGTTACACAGGTTTTGGCCCATGTTTCCACTTACCAGCAACCCATTTTAGTACCGGTTTTTTGAGCCACAGCCAAATGGTTTCGGTGACCCTAAAGTTCTAGAATGGTAGCAACATGATTTATCCTTTGGTCAAGTTGGAACCCGTTTGTTGGAGCCTGTTTATCCGAGTGGCTAGCAACAGGTCATAACTGAGTCATAACCCACTTGGTCCTCTTAAGAGGAGGTAAGCGTTTGCAGGCGAGGTATATCCAAACTGGCTAACAGCTGTGGCCTTTGGAGTCCCTACTATGTACTTTCCTGAACATGGAACCCCAAACACTGATGTTTAAAGAACTGTTCATTTGTGCAACGGACCCCTTTTCGGCTTCGGCTTATTTGGGGAGCAACCAAACCGAAAGATACACGAAGTCACGACAACCATACTATCTCTCACCCACGTTGCTTCAAGCCTCATATCCGAACAAGGTAGAACATTGGGATGGCCCCCTTGTCCAAATATCCCGGGGCCAACTTTCTACTGGACATAATTTTCCAGCGCGCTCGTGTCTTACTTAGCTTCGCCAAAAGGAGGAAGCACAAAGGGCACATATCAACATACCACAAGAATGCAGGGGTCTAAGTGTGGCCAAGTTAGGAGGGGCTGACACCTATATTCCTCGGCAAAATCTCAAAGTTACTTTGAAATGTCTCGCTTCTTCCCACAAGCAAAGCATGTGCGGGCTCTTTTTAGGGCACTTCCTGAATGACGGTGTTTTTCGAGCAGAATGTTCTGTAGTAGCCACGGGCCGTCATTATGATACAAAAAAGGGGTATGTGCAGAACAGCGGCGCCCCCTAGCTTTTCTCTGTTGTGTTTGTTGTTTACAAGCGTTACGAAGCACCTTCTGGTCATGATTGTCCTTGAAACTGTTCATTTAATGCGATCGTATTGTTCATTTGCTGCTTGTCATTGGTTGTAGCGAGTCAATGCCTTATACGATGTCAAGGACCTGTTGGTTTGGGGAAACCTTCACAACTAGAAATTATATCCGCCCAGTGTTCGCATCTGCAGACGTCGCTTTAGGAGTGTTTGGGCACGGCTGAGATCAATGAATGGAGGGTATGACTGACGCACATCATTCATGTCTGGTGAATACACTCACATGTGCTCTCCGGGAGATTCTTAACACTGGCGACCTGAGAAACGGCTAGCTGGTTCTGCTTGCTGCCTCGAATCGATCCTTGCTAGCACCGAGGAACTTCGAGAGCTACCTGCAAGATGCCGTCAATGAGATCATCGCTGCTGCCTTTGCTGTCAGGATCTCAGTCGGAAGCCATCCTGTTCCAGTTCCCCAGTGGCACCCTGTTTCCCTTTTTGGGGTGTTCGGGCCTCCCTCGAAAATCAAGCAACCCAACAAGGGTGCCCTGTACTGGGCTTCAGACTGTTGTTTGGGGTTGAGTAACAGGTTCTTCACATGGGATGACCATTGGGCAAAACCACTATGATGATGTTTTCCACATGAAATAAGTTACCCGTGGTCAAAACTAGGGTCCGAACGGAATATTGATCAACCCCCATTTGCCCCTTTTGAGCAAGCCAGCAACCGGCCTCAGGGTCTCCGGTCTTGTGGATGCCTCTCTCGAAAGCGCTGAGCCCGCGCGGTGCGCGAGCGAGCGGCCGCGCGCGAGCGTGCCAGCGCCAAACCGGCAGTTGGAGGAACTAGCAGCAAAAGGCAACTTGTTGAAGGGGGGGGGGTCCTGTCCTACAGAACCCATTTTCGTGGAACATCAAGTTTCATGGGGTTTGGGGCGTTGATGTGGAGTCTGCTGTTGGACGGGGTCTGTCAAAAGAGGTTGCGCACCACAACATGTTTGCTAATGCAACTCAGTAAGAGGGAGGTTCCAGATCGCCTCACCTCTCGCTGAAGATGATACATCCCCTTGGATATCCTGTTGGTGCCAGCGTTTTCTTAGCCGAGCTAGGTATCATGGCTGCAGGTCTGGCCTGGACAACCCAAAAAGATTGAGGGGCAAGTCAAGGGGGGGCCAACTTTTAAGGCCTAGTAAAAGTTATTAGACTTACTGAAGGACAAAGCATACATACATATATATATATATGTATATTGTGTAAATATACATTGTTATATGGAATTAACAGTGATCATTGTTATCATTGTAGTTTCCAAAAAGGGATGTTGTCACTGGTTCTTGGTGGCACCTCTGAACATGGATATGCCCAAATTCAGCCTTCCTTGAATTTCAGGTCGTGTTGGGGCGGCGAGTTTTTTGTCGCGATCTTGTTTGCGGTTCACTGAATGGGGGCACAGTGAAACATGTGTTCTTTGGGCAAAAAATTGAAGAGCTTCATGCTGACAGGTGTCAGCTGTGCCGGCTAACGCAAGGTAGGTCAAAGCTTGAGCTCGCTCACTTGGTCCAGTGCCCGATTCTTGCGATGCTCCCATTCGCTGGCCAAGGGTTGCAATGAGACAGTAGGCTCATGGTCAGAGGTCAGACCCACAGGTTAAGGTAGTCTAAGACACAATTGGAATGGGGGTGGGTTGGATGACCTGTTCAATGGGCAAGTTGGCTCCAAAATCGCTTGACTACACGCATGATTATCCTCAAGCCAATTAGAAACTCGTATGTTAGGACCCATGAAACGGGCTCCCTGACATTCTCGTGGCCTTGGATCGACCTTGTGTTGGCTACAATGTTCCATTTCTTCGAACACCGATCGACTCCGGGTTGGGAAAACTTGCACCTTTCAGGCTTTCAGGCGCGGGCTTTTGCCACTCGGCCTCACTTCCAAAGTTGCCGCACTTGGGAACCCTTTGGGCGCACCTAATGCCCACTCCAGACCATTCTCTGGTTGGTTGACGGGGGTGTGTTCTTGCGGGACTCCTCGCTTTGTGGGTGAGCCCCCTTTCAGTCGAATGTGTTTTGTTTCTTTTCGAGGATCCCAAAAGAGGGGTAAGTCTCTTGCCCAGTGGATTCCGCCCTTTTTTCCTTTTTTGGGGAAGGGGTTCCGACTCTTTGAAACTCAACCAATCAAAACAGGGTGCCCTTTTTTCCCCAAGGAAATCCACTGGGCACATGTGGGGTAAAACAAACAGCTTGAACTTCTGTTATTGTCCAGGCCACGGAAGTCGGCGCCCGGGGAGCCGTTTTGCCACTTGGGGGGACTCGCGCATTCACGTGTCCATCCATGATTCTGCCTATATACATGAGCTCACCGATTCGGGGGTAAGACGAGCTCACCGTAAAGGCCCTTTGGAGTGCCTGATTTCAGGTGGGCATGGGTCAAAATTAAGCCACGCAGGGGAATTCAGGTTTTAGTCCATGTGTCCACTTACTAGGGCCTAGGGTTCCATTTTTGGTACGTATTTTTGACCCGGTTGGAATTCATTGCGCAAAGCAACAAACAACCACGACACCAACATAAGTTCTGTGGGCCCAGCAACAAAACTTGTCCCAACCTCCGCCAGTGTGCTTGAGGTCTGGTTTCGACCTGTTGCCTTGGCAACCATAGCTCACCCACTACGCCCGGCAGGTTGCATAAGGTAGCATCATCATCCGTCCACTTCTAGCTTCAAGCCACACCTTTGTGTAGTCAGCATTTGAGGTTCAGGTTCCCTACATGTGCCTTCAATCTGATAGGCCACTATCCCTCGCTCCCCTAGTTAGAAATGGCCTGCCGTTGTTTTCTCCTTTGAACTCCTTCCCTTAATTGAACATCAAGGCACCTGTGGAAGCCGCTCATTGAGCAGTCTCCCATATCAAGCTCGCCGACTAAAGTAGGAGCAAATCTCTGGTGATTTGGTGCCGTGTTTCCCCTCGGAAACGCATCGTGATGGTCTTTCATAAAACGGTGCAACAGTGAGTCCATGTGGTTGGCAATACCTGGGCATGCTCAAAAGCGCCACACAACATGTCCCAACTGCAAGGTAAACAATTGGTCGTGGGTCCGTTTGCTTCCCTCTTCAGCGGCCATTCTTCCCTTTGCAACATGGGCTTTGCAACCCTGCCAAAGAGCCAGCAGAATCAGAAGTGCACTGCGCAGCTAAGAACGTCTTAGCAAATACGGCGATCGGCTCACCAGAAGACGGATTTCGGGGACACATTTATTGTCAGACCAACGGCATTTTCTCTACAGTGAGAAAGCAGAACCACTATGGTTCGGCCAGATCAACAAGTTAACCAACGTTTCCGTGGGGATGTTCGCGGGAAGCAACATGCCATGACCTGCACTTGGGCAAAGTATGGCAAGCCTGTAAAGGGAATTGGCAACGTGATGGTAAATTCTGACAGCGTCCCACACCTTTTTCTGGGTCCTAAATTGACTCATGTTGATTTGCCCCAAAACCAAAACCAAAACAAAGTCGGTAGTAATTGCCAATTTTTCCAGATCCCCTTATTTGCTACAGTCATGCGGTTCCAATTGCGCTGTTCAAGTTAGTTCCACGATGGCTTGAGATGCTTGAGATGGCTTCCCTGTTAAGTGCAGGTAATCGCCTTCCTGTCGCATTGAGAGTTTGGCGGTTCTCAGGCGGCATACCCCGGCCCCTGTTCAATGGAATACTTTTTTCCTTGCTCAGTGGAATCCTTGTTCCCTTGTTCATTGAGAAAGGGTTCCCTTTTTCTAGCAAAGTCACTAGACCGGGATTCCCTTGACTTAATGTGTTTACAACATTTGGAGCTGTGGTGGGGCCTCTCCCACTGAAAGTTCTTCTTTGATCGCAAGGGATCAACAGATCAAGTATCATGCAAACAGACAGAAACAACTGGAGCAGTGAACAAGAAGGTATGTGTGGGTCGACCAGGAAATGGACCGCAGGTTTTAGTCATTTCCATTTAGCCGGGCATTGCCTTCTGGCATAGGGGCCTAGGGGACTCGAAAGTCATTCCAAGTCACCTCGACCGAGTCTGGCGTCTTTTCAGTGGCCCCTTCGATCGATTTGTGTGTACTTGAAATGCCCAAGCAATTGAAACGGGTGTGGTTTACTTTTAATCCAAATCAAGTTATGATCAGTCATCCCCTCTTATTTCTGGCAGGGAACTCTCACGTGGCTTCGTGACGGATGTGCATGGCACTGCTATGGTCGGACCATGGCCGCTTATAGCTGTTGGTTTTGAACTATATCGTTCTTTCTTTGGGGTCCACTAAATTTCGACCAGGATCAACCATATCATGTCTGGTTGGCAGTATTCGCAATATCAATGGCCGTGAGGGACGAGCAAGATGAGCAGGGAGCGGGAACAAAAACAAACACAAACAAGCGAGCAAGGGGGAGGCTCGCAAGCACCAGCCATATGATTGTTCATGGTGAAGTATAGGTACTGGTACACAAATAGACATGATTGTTACAGGTTTTTTCTCAAATTCCGATGCGAAGGTTATTTGGGTAAGTGGGCCCATCAGTCATGTTTGCCCTTTCAATTGCCCTGGCCAAAGTACGTTCCCTACCATGGGTCTCAAGTATGAAAGTGAAAGCCCTCAAACAGACGCTTTGTCACCCTTGTGGCGTGAAAGGGGGGTGTACCTGCAGAAGTCCTTCTCTTTGTCCGTTGCAGTTTGCTTTGTTTGAGGGCTCGTCTTGTCTGAACTTCTGGGTCAATTATAACGACCTCACACGACCTCACCCCAAATGGTGGTTTATGTGGGGAATAGCCCCCAAACTACCTTGTTTCAGGCTGGTGAAGTATTGTAATTCACCCAGACTTCTGACCTGGCGCACTCCTACTTATGCCTTGCCATTTATAGACCTTTGCAGTGCGCGATCCCCATCCCCCGGATGAACCAGCGTCGACCGTCGGGTGCATCTCTGGCAGTTCTCCGGAACAAGGGGCAAAGAGCAAAAGCAAAAAGATGGCCTGTTGCCTGCTAGCTGTTAACCCAAACAAGCACAACTGTCAGCCCCAAAGAGGGCACAACCACACATGTGCACTTCGTCCTATCCAAGGTGTGGCAATGTCCTCTTTGAGTTTGGACTTTATCTATTTTAGCGGGTTTCTGTGCCTAGGATCTTTCACCGGGGGGGGCAACCCTGGGATGTTCTCGCACTGGGAGTCGCTGGAAATGTTTCCGGTGCGCCACTCCCTGAGTTCATGGACTGAACAAAACATGGGAAACCATTTCTCACTTGTCCAACGCTTTGACCCGTGGCTTTGAAGGTGATCACCTTTGACTTCCAGGTCCTGAAGAAGCGAGCCACAATCAAAACCCGGGTAGATGAAGGTTAGAAAGGGACAATCCCAACCATAAATAGCTGCGGCCGCCTTCCTAATTCTTCACATGGTTCTGGGTTGACCATTTTACTACCGAGTTTTCATTATGTCTCAACTGAGATTTTGGTGGTAAATAAAAAGTTAGTTGTTACTTGTTTGCTAACCTGCTCAGGAAGTGAGATAAACAAAACACGGGTGCGATATTTTCATCCTTGGAAGTCCACAGGATGCTGGGTTCACTGCTTGGCTAAGAGGCTCTTGGGTTTCTTACCTTTAACTTCAAGGGCATGGGTGCATTCCCACGCATCAAAAGTGAGGAACGTTCTGCACATGGGCAATAACCACTAGGACTGGAGTGGAATTGCTGGGACTCAGGGAACTGCCGGACAATTCGCAGCGACTTCATTGAGCTTTGAAGATCTCCAGGTCCACAAGGAACCGATCCGAAAAGGCGGAGCCTCCCCAAAACGTTTTGCTGGGGAACTAGCCAATGAAAGGATTCCAGCTGCGCCATGCTTTGGACAGGGGATTCAGAGCCTTTGTGACACGTAAAACGGGCTTGCCGAGGAGAGCTTGGAGCAACCTCAAGAGGCTACCCCAAAAAAGACACATTGTAATGAATCAAGATCAGCTGAAGTAAAGCTCAAAGGAGTCGCATGCTTCTCGCGTGCCAATGCAGTGGAGGATGGCCGAACACGAAATCGGCGGGAGGAAAAGAGCGAAAGAATGCTGCAAACAGGTGATGCCCTCTTATACACGCGTCAACGCGAAGGCTGACTCTCCGCCATAATGTGTTCTAGCTGCGCACCACTGAACGTTTCAGGCCATTCTGGCGGATTCATGTTGCTTCCTGAGCAGACCTGGTACTTGCTTGCCGGGCCTTCCCTTTTAAATTTGTCTCATGTTTGTAGGTCCTTCAGGGACAGTTTACAAGAGGGGCTTGTTTACGTTGACCAAACCAACGACCAACAAGTAGATGCCCTGCTCTTGAAACCCACTGGAGGTTGAAGCAGTTCTTCTTTAAACAAAGGCCTCTTCATCTAGCAGTGGCAGTTATGTCTTAGGACTGGGGGTTTCCTTCGTTTGTTTTTGATTTTGGGGTAGACTGAATATGAGGCAGACCCGACAGTATATTTGTTTGGTGAGTCCAGCCGGCATAGGAGTTGAGCTTGACCAAAGCAGGCTTGCTCTGAAAGGCTTGCTTGTTGCCTTGCTCTGTCTTTTCAGGTGCAAGTGGGCAACAAAATCCCAATGAGATTCCCACCAGC